CGCTAATAATACAAGATTTCAAATTAAAGTTTAAACCTGGACGTAAATAACAATTCAGTAGTCAAGTAAGTAGAATTATTTGTCGTTCAAGTGAATAAATAGGTAATAATATCATATTACAAAAAAAAATCATGACAAAATATATTTCTTTACATAAACTGACCGCGCAGGAGCAACGCGCTTAAATCAAATGCGCATGCGCGACTTTACTATCTCCCGCGCATGCACGAAGACATAGAGTAGTGCACATTTTTTGTTTAGAAAGGATTCTCTAGTACGTAGTAGGTACATATAACTCAATGGTGAACGCATAGGATTCCGATGCTAGCTGAGGCAGCAAGGGGAGTGCCCGGAAATTGAAGAGATACGACAAAGGGGTTCTTTTTAGCGGTAAACGCGCTTCTTATATAATAGCCGCTTCTAACAATCGTAAATTATAAAATTTAATGTTTGTTGTTATATGATATTGTTAAGAAGTATTATACAGTCATCTATAAACCAAGACTGAAATATTTCTATGCCCTTCGTGGCAGAGTATGCTGAGGGGTTATTAGCACGCTACTAAAACAAATATCTAATTTTAAAATGTTTGTCTGTTTGGGCTATAAACGTCTCGACGTCCCCCAAGCCCCACACTGGGCCGCAGCATTCGCTTACCATCATGTAGACCGTGTGCTCGTTTGTTTCCCTTACTCTATTTTTTTTTATGAGTGGGCAGGTTAGGTCAACTAATGTAAGGTATTTTGAACTCATCCTCAACCGTCGCCGGCTATCAAAAACGACATTCGAATTTAGACCTCAGAGGTGACAATGTATCTGTAGCCTTGTTTATTTTAAGCTGGTTGCAGGTGCCTGTAAGCTGCAGTAGCCACTTACCATCAAGTGGATTATAATTTCGTTTAGCACTGACTTTTATTTAATACTAGCTGTTCCCCGTGACTTCGTTTGCGTGGTGCTTATTACGATTGGATTTCACGGGTTTAATTTTATTTTTTGCGCGGAATCCCGATTATTTTACTAAAATAAAATAAAATAGAATAAGTTAAGCCTAGTAAATGATAAAATAAAGTCTGTTAGATCACTCCTGGCATTGCTCTCTAGCTGTTCGTGCATAGCAATCAGGTCAGCCATTTTGAAGATTAGTCCAGACAGACAGACAAACAAAAAATCTAAAAAGCCTAAGAGAAGTCAGTTAATTTTATACTACAGACAGACTCTACAATTTAGGTATTATAAAGCCGGTGCCGGATATAGCAACAAGATTTGAACACTTATTGCCGCAACTTGCCAGACATGCTATGCAAACACATCTCTCCACAAACGACAAACAAGATGGACGACGATATTGTGGATGCAGTGTACCTGTATTATTTAAGTGCATGCCATTATTTATTACATGTGCAAAAAATCTATCATAACGGCCGAAAAGCAGGCGCGAATGGATGTGTTGTCAATATTCCTCACATTACATAGTTACATTACAAAGAGAACATTACTTAATTTTATTTTTTACGGTTGAACTTTGCGCACGTGCGGTAGGCTACGCAAACATTTGAACACTGTCGTGACGACTTTGAACGCTTTGATGTGCGCTAAAAAACCGAAACCGCTTGGCAAAGTGCATTTCTTTGCGCACTTATTTGAACATTGATTCAAAGTCTCGTGCCACACATAGCTTCAAACAGGTGTTCAATTGTTTAAAGCTGTATCTGGCGCAGGCTTAAGAATAGATATGAAGGGATATATTGGCATGGATCAGATTTAAAATAAAAACTCCAATTTATTAATATTTTTATTTATAATAGAACGTATAAATGAATAATATTAAAATAATTAGCTTAACACTAACGTACAGCTAATTGTTTTGTTTCAAATAATCACATGATACGGCGGGCGCGGTCTCGACAGTACTCTACTACGTACGACTACGTGTCCTGAGATTCTCGACTCAATGACAAAATATTTGTTATAATTAATTGGCGGTCCTTCTGATATAATTTAAAAATAAACATATTTTTAATTACAGTGGTCAACAAACAGTTTCATAATTTTTATTAACATTTTTTTATTAAAAAATCGCAATCTATCAGCAAACTTACACAATATTAATAGTTTATTAACACAAAAAAAGAAAATGTTGGGCGCCCAATTTATATGGTCAAGAACATTACGACAATATATTGACTTAAACCTGATCTTATATATCTACCGTACTTGGCTATAACCCCACTTGATGTGAACCTTAGATAATAAATTGCACAGGATTCTCTTTACAAAATACTCCACTTGCCTGAGATTGTCATTCATTCGACAATTTTGGCGTACATATAAATTTCTTCACCACATTCTAAACTATAAATTATAACAAATAGAAGGCTATATACCAGGCATGTTTTTTTTTAAATTTGCTAATGCATATTCGAATTGTCTTGCACCGCACCCTCAACTGCGAGGTCTCAATAAAATAATAACAATAAAATTAAATAAATATGGCCGTTTCTGTCACAGAACCCCATTAATGATTTTCCCTTTTGGGTTTTCCCATATACTTCTATAAAACAAAATAATTTCTTACTTTACATTAAATCTTATAACATATTCAAAAAAGTGTTAAACAGTTATCAAAACTGGAATGAAACAAAGAAAGATAAAACAAATATTAATAGAAAGATTTATCAACTACAAAGAAAACTTCAGCAAGTGCAGTGCTTATGTAACCAACTGCTTTCGAAATTCCATTCCCATTTTCACAAAGTTAAAGCAGCAATTCAGTTTTATTCCTCTTTCTTACATATTATAAGCCTATTCTTGACTAATAATATATAAAACCACATAATAGTAAATTATGATGAAACCCTAGATAGTAAATCACACTGTATTAAGGCCGATTTACACTTCGACAAGTACAGTAGCGAGTTAACTTGCGAACCTGGCGAGTTATAAAAATATCCTTTGAACGGCAATCAGTGAGTTAAGTAGCAAATTAACAATTATATTAGGGTAGCTGGCCGGTCTATTTTTCGGCGAGTAACTTCGAAGTGCTGCCCTCCCGCGCGTCTCTCGCCACCCGCAACTAAACACGCCGCTTGTGTGAACGAGCAAGTTTAGTTCAGTACATAATTTGACAGAACGCAATGTGTTCGCGTTCGACCCACAAAATATAAAATTGTACCTTTCTTAACTAAACTCGCCACGAAGAAATTTGAACGCTACTGCCCACTTAACCGTTTACTGTCAACTGCCCTGTAAATGAACTCAGCACTGTACTTGTTGAAGTGTAAATAGGCCCTTAGCCTTATAGCGTATTCACCCTTGAAGACACGAAAATTGTAATCGGACGGAAAGAAAAAGGCCGGAAAATTAATCCATTCCTTTGTTGTACGCATTATGAAAGGCGAAGCAAACAGTTTGGTTGAATGAAACTATTTCGAATATCGACAACAAAGTGGTGGAGACCCGGCGACCGTCTAGTTGTCCCATGGTGGAAAAGAGAGGGTAGAATTACACTTACATTACCCGGAATCTTACCTATAGAATCCTCTGTCTTATTACCATTAATTCTGTTTTAATTTAGATATGATTTCACAAATTTACTTGTTAACTCTGTCACAGTTTTGGTTATGGATTTCAACTTTGCACTTTTTTGATGGTTGGAATACGTTCCATGTATTCTCAATGATCTAGAAACTTGCAACAAAAAAGGAAATGAGAATGATACTTTTTTATCCAATATCTAAGAAGTTTAGTCGTAAACTAAACATAATAATCACTAATATAACTTTTATATTTTAATCAATAACTTTATAATTATTTCGACTAGTGCTGCATTAACTTTCGCGAAGAAATTCTTATCCTTGAATCACAGACTCGTAAACTGGCATCGTAAAAAAATAAAATTAACCAAATTACAACATACAATTATCACCTACTATATTTTAACATTAGAGTGCAAAATGTATTCAATTTAATACTTAATATTACCAATATAAATTAGATTACTTTTTCCTAGAAGTATCGTCACTTATATACAGTATAGGGGGCGTCCATTAATATGTGAGCTGTTTAGAGGGGATCGAGGCGAATCTCACGTGGGGGAGTAGGGAGGCTCTCGGCAAATATTACGTTTATTTTCCGCAAGAAACTGTGTAAAATTTCGAGAAAATTGGGTTAAATTAAGTAAAATTATGTCCAAATCCTACATAATAATAATTAACGCGTCGATGCGAACTCCACAAATTACATATAAGAATGATTAAGCAAAATATTTTTTTTTAATCCCAACGCAGCCAGGCACAGTTTACCATATTTAAACTAAAAATACGTATTTTGAAAAATCTCACATGAGATGTGGGGATCGTGGCATAACTCACATCTGACCAAGGGTAGGGGGAGGGGGAGATGTAGGGTAGAAAAATCGCCAAAATTGCCTCACCTGATTAATGGACACTCCCAATGACAGAATATATAATAAACTTCAGTGGAGATTATAAATGCTATAATGGCAAAATGCCACAAATATTTTGAACATCACCACCACCTGGCATTTATTTTTTAAATATATTTGTGTAAACTGTTAACAAAATGCTTGTTGTTTGTAGACCTTGTAGGACTGTCGATGAGTGTCAGGTTGGCAATGAATGTCAAAATTAAATGATCAATAAATAATTTATAAAATCGATCATACAATTTTGAGAGCATTCTATACTGCCATATGTAATTAGTAACTTTAAACTAAAGAACAGTAACACAATATAGTTAGTAAAATTTGAAGTATTTTATGAATTTGACATTTTTCTTTAATACTTAATTTCAAAACAATGTGCTATCTTATAATGAAAAGTTAAATAATGCTATAATGTAGCTCGTCACAATATTTATGAAAAGACATTGCAAAACAAATACTTTTATAAATAATTACACTGGGACGCGACGCGTTAAAGGAAATATCGATTTGACTTAGGACTGCTGCAACGTAAATAGGGTGGGTTCTGTGGGCAGGTTCAGGCCATTAGCTCCCAGTACTGCACGAGTCGTTCGTTAGACGGCAGTGCCATGCCCTGTGGCCGCATGAAGTTCATCTCTATCGTTTTGAATCGTTTCTTCATTTCCGCATCAAACATCTGATGAAAAATTATTATCTATGATGATTTCTTATATTTACTCGAATACTGCACATTAATAAAACCAATATTACGGATTTTATCGCGTTTAACCCTTTACCTGTCCCGTGCATTAAATGTAATTCATTGCTATTGTCTAACTATTGTGTCTGCAAACTGGACAGTCAGTGTTAATTTTCAAATAATCTATGATTAAACGTGATAAAATCTGTAAAATTTGTCTGTCTTTTTTTTTTACTTTATAGAATAAGGGCAACAAATGAGCACATAGTTTACCTGGATGGTAAACGGATACTGTGGCTCATAGAAGTCTACATCTATACTGGATTGAGAATCAAAATGCAGATGCATTGTCACTCCTGAGGACTAAGATGGAATATCTAGTTATAGGTAAAAAGGGTCTCCGGCACATGTTGAATTTGGGGTGTTCATTGTGCAGGTGTTTTTTTTTTTATACAAGTAAAGGTGACAAAGGAGTATAGTTTACTTGATTGTAAGTGTATCATCATTCATTAACTTTGATGCCTATCAAAGTCCACCGCTGTACCTATAGTCCTAAAAAATAAACCTTCCTAATTATAGATTGCTTATTAGGAAGGTATACTTGCCACAGTTGCCACGCTTAGCGAACGTGTTGGCAATCGCAGTTGTTATGAGTAGATGCTGTTGCCCATCTCTTGTTTCAATTTCCCTCTGTCGCCTCTTACATCAGACACCCACAATGGGGTCGGTTTAGGTGGATAATTAGGCAAGTGCATTTACGCATAATGGTCTGAAAACTGGGCTGTAATGAATAATTGTATGAAAGCATGCTTAGTATAAGATGAAGGCTACTGTTTTGGATACAGGTAAAGATGGAGGTTACATAAGCAGGCGCGGGTGGAAGTGGAGGGGATGTAAGTTAGCTCGTGTTGAGTACGTAGGTGGCGTTGTGGAGTGAAGGCTTAAGTTACGTAAGTAAAGCGAGGGTGAAGTGGAGGATATGTAAACAAGCGTAGGTGGAGTGGAGGTGGAGGCTGTGTTAGCAGACGTAGGTAAATTGGAGGTGGAGGCAAAGTTAGTGAGTGTAGGTAGGATGGAGAAATTTAAGTTGCGTCGAGTGAAAGTAGAACTGCGGCGTACCTAAGTACACTCTGGTGGAGGTAGAGGTGGAGCTTACGTAAGTTGGCTTGAGTGAAGGTGGCGATGGAAGTGGAGGGTATGTTAAGCAAGCGTGGGTGGATGTGGAAGTTATGTAAACTGACGCGGGTAGAGTTTAGATAAATGGTACTTAAGCAAGCGCAGGTTGAGGGTACGTGAGCAGACGCGGGTGTAGGTGTATGTAGTCGCGGTACATACCTGGACATAGATGGAGGTGTAGGTGTAGCTGTAGATTATGTAAGCAGGTGTAGGTGGACGCTTCAACAAGCGAGTGCGTGCGTGCGTGCGCGTGTGCGTGCGTGCGTGCGTGCGTGTGTGTGTGTGTTAGTGTGTGTGTGTGTGTGCGTGTGTGTGTGTGTGTGCGTGTGTGTGTGTGTGTGTGTGTGTGTGTGTGTGTGTGTGTGTGTGTGTGTGTGTGTGTGTGTGTGTGTGTGTGTGTGTAGAGGAGATTTAAGAAGGCGCAGGTGCAATCTGTGTAGGCCGCAGGCTGCACGTACCGTGGCACCGGGCGGCGCGAACTGCAGCGGCTGCGCGCGCGTGTACGCGTGTAGGTGTAGGTTACGTAAGCAAGCGTGGGTAGATAGATACGTGTAGGTGTAGTTGTAGAGTACGTATGTAGGCGTAGGTGTATGTGTTACAGATGCAGGTGTATTGTGTAGCGTGTGTGTGTAGGTAGAGGATACGTAAGAAGGTGCAAGTGCAGGAGTATGCGGGATCGGACGGCGTGAGCATGTGCGGCTGTAGGTGCAGGTGTAGGGTACGTAAGCAGGTGTAGGTGAAACGTATGTTACGTAAGTAATATAACCATACGTAAGTAAAGTATGAACCAGCATGGTGACGATCACCTCATTCCCAGGGGTTATTTTTATTGATGTATTCTTTGATATTATAATAATCCTTTTTGTATATATATTTTTAAGTAAAACGTTTAAACTTGTTTATTAATAAATTTTGTACATTTTCTAGGATTATGTTGTAAAAGCGTATACATTGTCAACTGTAAGAAAGTCCATTACACATTTCGTCCCGTGGATGTCGTAAGAGGTATGCGAAATGCTAGAAAAATATGACTCGTTAAACGGCGGTATACCATCGTAAACTAGACGTAAAATACAGAGATTTGTGATAGGCAGCAGTTTCAAAGGTATGATGAGATGTCCGGTACTGCGATTGTTAGTGTACCTGCCAGGGGTGTTGTGGTTAAGCAAATCTTCATTGCAAAGGGAGAGGTGCATGTTCATCAGTGAACTATATTTTTTATTGATTCTTAATATCTATGATATCATGCTATCCTTAAGAATCTCGCGTAACGGATTGTACTGCGACGTCGAGGTGATAAGTAAGAAGGTGCGGATGTATATGTGAAGGTGTAGATTGCATGTGTATGTGGTGACAGCACATACCGCGGCGTTGGTACACACGTATGTCTACTAGATATGAGCGCCGCGCCGGAGCGCCGCCGTAACTTCCTTTCCCGTTCAAACGTGCGGCCCGACCGCATTAGTTCTCCTTGTCGGCTCGCCAAGCTAGTCGCTCACTCAGTCGAGTTGAATATTTTAGTGAGTGAACGTGTATTGTTGTGTGATGTGTTAACAATTGCAGCAACTTCGACTGTTCCACGTATGGGCCGGCTCAAGCCGGTGTGGTAACACGACCTCACAGAATACCGGCGTGAAGTGGAAGATCTGTTTCTGCGTTTCGTCTGGTGAGTGCAGGAGAACCCCCCCCCCCTCGAGACGGTGAAGCCTCGCTGGCTTGCTCTTTGTGACTGAGACGTAGGTGTACTCATCGGCTGATACTTCGTATCTCTCCTACCCGGGGTAAAATTGAGAGGACATCTGTTCTCGACGCCTCGGCAGTCTTGAAGGTCCCGTCCATGCTTTGGCTACGCGTAGACAGCAACGACCATCCGCATGTTTACGGGTGCCTCTATAGGCAATGCCGAAACAGACCGATTCATGGACCGCGTCCAAATGGTTGCAGATTCCGTGCTACAACAGGTCCCATCCGCAGAGAACGTGATGCTTGGTGATTTTAACATCCACCACGCTGAATGGTTTGGTTTTTTTTTTATAGGATCGGGTGACAAACGAGCACACAGTCCACCTGATGGTAAGTAGTTGCTGTGACCCATAGACATCTACATTTATCCTCGTTTGCGAATCAAAATGCAGATGCGTTGTCACCCGTGAGGACTAAGATGGAATGCCTCTTTTCCAGTAAAAAGGGTCTCCGGCTCTCTACACTCACCATACGAAACGCAGTGTTAAGCTGCTATTTTACGCTGGTATTCTGTGAGAGCGTGGTCCTTCCCCGGTCGAGTCGACCCATTCGTGCTACAACTATACTACTAATATAGCTGCAGCATGGCTCTACCACGTATTAACCCATTTAACCGATCATGCAGTTAGATCTGTTTATGACTTTGCCTTGGCAATATGATCTGACACAACTGGTAACTTCACCTACGCGGATTCCAGATGTGGAAGATCATGCACCTTCCCTGTTGGACCTTCTGTTGACCTCTCATTCGGATAGATATCAGGTCTCCGTCCACTCCCCTCTTGGCTCCTCAGACCAGTGTCTAATCCGGAGTGTGGTGGAACTCACACTAACATCGCGATTGCATTCTGCAGACTGGCTAAAAAAGGCGACAGCTCAGACCCGTCTAACTATGCCCATCACCATCAGCAATATATCGCAAGCAAAATAATGGAATCCATTATAAACTGCCACTTCATGCGGTATTTTAAGGATCACTAGCTGTTTAGTGACTGCCAATACGGTTTTCGTCGGGCCCGGTCAGCTGGTGATTTTCAGGTCTACCTGACTCATAGATGGGCGGACGCATAAGAGTCTAAGGGGGGACGCATTGAAGACCTTCGATTGGGTTTGGCACAAAGCACTTCTTTCGAAGCTCCCTTTTTATGGGCTTACAGAAATTGTGTAATTGAATCACCAGTTTTCTTGTAAATCGGAGCATCATCTCAGTTTCAAGGCACTCCCCTTGTTGCCTCAGCCAGTATCGGAAACTTCAGCATTGACATAGCGAGTGATGTGCAAGTTTCGTGGTCTCTTGGAAGAGAAGGTTAAATTGGCCTCTAAAGAACTTTGTGTGTTCAGCAGAGTGGGACAGTATTTCATGCCGGCACACATTTTTTTTAAACTGGCTTTACGGCTCTGGGTTCTAGTCCTTCTGAGCCTGACCGGCACACGGCCTGCAACTTTATAAGGCGCAGGATCGGCCTCACATGGTAAACTGTTCTCATCACTGGGCTGGGGTTCCCCGGGGCTTTATTAAAAAAATATAAAATTGTTTTTGGTAACAACAATATGGTTTTCTTTAAGTTTTTTTATTTTTAAGAAATCTCTTCTTAATAAAACAATATCTAAGGGTCGAGGCGAGCCAAGCCGCGCCGCCGCGACGCCGCCGCCGGTGAGGAAATTTTTCAGGCCAGGCCGCCGCCGTGGAATTGGCTTTCGGCGCTCATATTTAATGTGTACGAGTAGCTGTAGTGTAAAGTATGTACGCAGGCGCAGGCAGGTGAAGGTGTAGGTGTAGGTGGAGGCTAGGTTATTAAGCGTGGGTGTGTAGGTAAAGGGTACTTAAGAAGGTGTTTGTTCAGTGAGTATATGCGCGAGGGGAAGCGAGTGCGGGTGTAGGTGCGGGTGCAGGTGGTTGCGCGTACGTACCGCGACGTCGGGCGGCGCGAGCTGCAGCGGCTGCGCGCGCGGGCGCGGCTGCACGGCGGCCAGCACGGCGGCGGCGGCCGCGCCGACCGCGGGCGCCGCGTGGCGCCGCAGCGCGCTCACCTCCCACAGCGACGAGCCGAGCGCGCGCGACCCCGCCGCGCTCGTCTCCTCCATCACGTACGGGTCCGCGCACACTGACACACACACACACACATATTAACACCCTACTTCACATTTGTCACTAATCACTCCTATCAAGGATGACTTGCGAAGCTCTTGAAATTAAAAACATCCTAATTTCAATAGAAAAAATTGACCGGGTGCCACCATCTGCTTGGGATCCTATAATTAATAAAATTAAATCCAAACCCAAGCATACTACAGCAAAACTTCACGATACCGTAAGCACATTATGCGTAGATCAGACAAAAATTAGTAATTAAAAGTTGAAAGTAGCTTTCGTTAACTATGAAATTAGGACATCAAACACCTCAGTTCCCCCATCACTATAGGCACTGTAAAGTGCCCAAAACGTAGAGAATTGGATGGCTCCGTAGCGCAGTGGCTTAGCAATGAGTTGCAGCGCTAAGGGCCGCTATTCGAATCCCATACGAAACAAGTATTTGTATGACCTACAAATAATGGTTCTGGAACTGAATGTTTGTCCTTATGAAATCTATGGATATATTCTGTCCTCACGATAGAAGATAAAATCCTAGTGAAGATAATGTTTAAAAAAAAGTTAAATTAAACACAACAAAACCCGTAAAATTAGGTTTATTCTATATACATTTTTTTATAGAATAATGAATGCTACAGCCCATACACATGGACATCTATTCACAATAAAGAATGAAAATACAGTCATTGTCACCCCTGAGAACCAGGTGGAATGCCTCATTTCCATTCAAAGGGTCTCCAATTCCTTACACTCACCTTATGAAATACAGCAGCATTGAGCTGCTATTTCACGCTAGTATTCTGTGTAAAGTGAGTAAGAAATTTATAATAATTTATTACAAACGTCCCTTATCATAAGATTCACATCACCATCAGAGCACTTGTTTCATTGTTTCCACTAATAGTTCACAGACGCAGACATTTAATACACGAATACATTTGAAACTAATTTAAATATTTCACTCTAGCAGAAATAAATATTATTTTTTAAAAGCACTATTGTCCATTATCACATAACAAAGCCTATTTACGCAGCATGATATTTATAACTTTTTTCTAGGTGAACCGATTTTAATGTTTCTTTGAAAGCTGGTGCTTCTCATGTGGTACCATATAAACTTAATTAGTGTCTGACCAGTAGTTTTGAAGTTATCCTTAATAATTTATATTGAAGTTGGTTGTACAAAATTTTTAATTTTACCTTTGAATGGACTGTTGTCCATTGAGATATAACAGCACCCATTTACACATAAAATAAGGCAGCTTTGGAGAATATCCGGGCGTTTTTTACCATTACAGCCTATGAAAATGCTGCTCATTGCCTATTTGACATGGTTGCCACGCTTGGCAGGTGGGTTGGCAAACAGAATTGTTTAATTTTCTAGTTGTTATTAGTAAGACACTGCACCACATCTCCTGGTTTATTTCCCTCGGTCACCTCATACCGCACCCATGGAACGATATGGGGTAGTGGATATTCCTACATTGTGCTATACAACTGTAGTCCTCTGTTCCTCACTGGAAAACGATACAAGAGCTCGTTTTTGTCTGTTATAATTCTTCACAAATAGTTTAAACAACTTACTGATAGCAGGTGTGTCCTCATAGCAGATCATGCGTTTAAGAGCAGGGTGCCGCAGTAATAGGTTGGAGACTAGCTGCAATAGAGATATTGCATCCTCTGGTGAAGCTACCAATGCCAATCGAGACAGACGCTTCGCAAATGCTGCTACCAGGCCTTCAGGCAAGTGTCTAAAAAAATCAAAACAATATATTTAATTTTTCATTTACCTAAATATATGGTTACATTCATAAAATTATTCGTTTTCACCTTTAATCCGTTTATTTGTTACTAGTGCACCTTTTTCTTTAGAAATTTTAATTTTAGTTGATATACTTTATGAACATATGAATCAAGACATTAAATGTACTAAAAGCAAAACCTAAAAACTACTACCACTACAACATCGCATCACAAATCTACTGCCGAACACAGGGCTCCGCCATAAACTAAACACATTTTTTTATCTTCCGTTGGAATTTGTAAATTATTTTGGTACTTACGTGGAGCTAAGGAATATATCAGCGAGATGCACGAGGCGACGTTTGTAACGCGTTGCGAACATCTCTGGCTCAAACATAGCATACAGCCTGTCATACATATCCGGGTAGTCAATGTTGTGTCTTCGGACCAGCTCTAAGACACCCTGGAGTGCAAGCATGCTGATAGGACCACCTGTTGAAATGTATAGAATGTTTAGGTTTTCAGTCATAGAATTTATAATATTTCTTTTTAAAATTTTCGATTCAAAATTTTTGCACCACTAAAATTTAATAATAATAGAGAAGATGGCTGGGTGCCATAATTAATCAAGTTAAATTCCAAACCAAGCATACAACTGCAAGACTTCAAAGATACTGTAAGTTCATTAGTTATTCTATTCTATTCTATTCTATTCTATACTGTGTAGATTGGGAACAAAAATTAATAATTTTAATCTGGAGGTAGCCGTGGACCAGCAGCTACATATATATACATATATATACTGTGCCATATCGGTACCTGCGTCGAGGCTGTCGCACAGCATGTCGGTGGCGAGGTGCGGGCGCGCCAGCAGCGGCATGAGGCGCTCCACCAGCAGCTACATATATATACATATATATACTGTGCCATGTCGGTACCTGCGTCGAGGCTGTCGCACAGCATGTCGGTGGCGAGGTGGGGGCGCGTCAGCAGCGGCATGAGGCGCTCCACCAGCAGCTACATATATATACATATATATACTGTGCCATGTCGGTACCTGCGTCGAGGCTGTCGCACAGCATGTCGGTGGCGAGGTGCGGGCGCGTCAGCAGCGGCATGAGGCGCTCCACCAGCAGCTACATATATATACATATATATACTGTGCCATGTCGGTACCTGCGTCGAGGCTGTCGCACAGCATGTCGGTGGCGAGGTGCGGGCGCGCCAGCAGCGACATGAGGCGCTCCACCAGCAGCTACATATATATACATATATATACTGTGCCATGTCGGTACCTGCGTCGAGGCTGTCGCACAGCATGTCGGTGGCGAGGTGCGGGCGCGCCAGCAGCGACATGAGGCGCTCCACCAGCAGCTACATATATATACATATATATACTGTGCCATGTCGGTACCTGCGTCGAGGCTGTCGCACAGCATGTCGGTGGCGAGGTGCGGGCGCGCCAGCAGCGGCATGAGGCGCTCCACCAGCAGCTACATATATATACATATATATACTGTGCCATGTCGGTACCTGCGTCGAGGCTGTCGCACAGCATGTCGGTGGCGAGGTGCGGGCGCGCCAGCAGCGACATGAGGCGCTCCACCAGCAGCTACATATATATACATATATATACTGTGCCATGTCGGTACCTGCGTCGAGGCTGTCGCACAGCATGTCGGTGGCGAGGTGCGGGCGCGCCAGCAGCGACATGAGGCGCTCCACCAGCAGCTACATATATATACATATATATACTGTGCCATGTCGGTACCTGCGTCGAGGCTGTCGCACAGCATGTCGGTGGCGAGGTGCGGGCGCGCCAGCAGCGACATGAGGCGCTCCACCAGCAGCTACATATATATACATATATATACTGTGCCATGTCGGTACCTGCGTCGAGGCTGTCGCACAGCATGTCGGTGGCGAGGTGCGGGCGCGCCAGCAGCGGCATGAGGCGCTCCACCAGCAGCAGCAGCGCGCGCCGGTGCGCCCGCGGCTGCTCGCACAGCGCCCACTGGCACGCGAAGCCCCAGCACCGGTTCGCGTGCCGCCGGCACACCGCCGCGTGGTACTTGAACTGCGGCTTGCCTGCCACACCCAACACCACTCCAATCAACCAACCCTCAAAGACCAAACCACAAAACTAATTGTAACACTTGGCGATGTTGGCCGTCGTCTGGTCTCAATATTATCCACTAGCGTAACGTGACAGATTCCATAGTCGCCTTTTACGACACCCAGGGGCGAAATGGGGTAGAGGATTCTGTTACGCTACCATCATCAGTCAACAGGGGTAGAGCCACGCGGCAGCTTTTGCTGTCGCACGGATACGCCCACCCACTCGAACCGGGGTGGTACCACGACCTCACAGAATACCAGCGTGAAGTAGAAGATTACTTCTGCGTTTCACTTGGTGAGTGCAGGCCGGAGGCCAAATTCCCCCTCCCCCCTCTTTTAACATGGTAGTGGAGTTAAATAAGACACTACTCCAGGAGGGTACCAGCACCTCTGGTGTCGAAGAATCCCTCGCTGTGCATCCACGCCTAAGCTATCCTCCTCTTCCTGAGCGTGTGCTCAGGCTGCACCGCGTATTCTGAAGAATTATTATGAGCAATATTAGTCCCAAAATTCCGCTCGCGGGTCGCAACTAATACTGCTCGAGGCAAACAAAAAAATCCGTAAATTTCTGCAACATCAGGGGACTTAATTCAAACCTTAACGCCGTCTACTACCATCTGGAGACGGCGATGCCGGCCTTGCTCTTTCTAACCGAGACACAGGTGTCCTTTCCGGCTGATACTTCATATCTCTCCTACCCGGAGAACTTAGAACATTCCTTTGTGCCTCGGGCTGCGGTTTGCGTATGTCTGTTTTCGACACCTCGGCAGTCTTGAAGGACCTGTCCAACCTATGGCTGCGCGTAGACTGCGAAGACTATCCTCGCGTCTACGGGTGCCTCTATAGATCCCATAGCGGTAATGTCGACACAGACCGACTCATCAACCACGTACAAATGGCTGCAGACTCCGTGCTACAACAGTTCCCATCCGCAGAGATCGTGATGCTTGGTGATTTTAACGCCCATCACGCTTAATGGTTTGGTTCCCGTTTAACCAATCATGCGGGTAGATCCCAGTTGAACCTTCTGCTGACCTCTAATCCGAACGGATATCAGGTGTTCTTCGATGCGCCTCTTTGCTTCTCGGACTATTGCCTAATCCGGAGTGTGGTGCCACTCACGCTCCTATCGCTGTTGCGTTCTGCAGCGGCGGTAGTCACTCACCATCAGGTGAGCCGCATGATCGTTTGCCCCCTCTCCTATAAAAAAAAACCTCAACTTTTTCTGGGTGAACCAATTACGATTTTTTTTTTATTTGAAAGCTAGTGCTTAACATGTGGTTCCATATAAATTTGATCAAGGTCTGACCAATGGTTTTTGAGTTATTCTTAATAATTTATATTGAAGTCGGTTGTAAAATTTTTGTAATTTTAAATTATTTGCATCCTACCCTTGGCGGGCGGGTTTGCTTCTCGCCGGAAGATCCCAACGTTGTTGCTGATTCTATCGTTGATGTGATGCTTCAAGGAATGGAACTTTTTATTCCATCATCTGTGGTAACTATCGCCATGACCTCCTTGTTCTCCAAAATAATTGAAAAAAAAAAGCTCCCAGCTCATGAGCTTCCTTGAGAATCACCAGCTGATTAGTGACCGCCAGTACGGTTTCCGTCGGGGTCGGTCAGCTGGTGATCGTCTAAGTTACCTAACGCATAGATGGGTGGAGGCATTAGAGACCAAAGAGGAGGCGTTGGCCGTTAGTTTGGACGTTGCTAAGGCCTTCGATTGGGTTTGACACAAAGCACATAGCGTTTCTTTCGAAGCTCCTTTCCTATGGGCTTCCCGAGAGATTGTGCAAGTGGGTCACCAGTTTTCTTGCAGATCGGAGCATCAAGGTCGTAGTGGACAGTGCATGCTCCGATTACAAGCCTATCAATTCTGGTGTTTCACAAGGCTGAGTGCTATCACCAACGCTGTTCCTTCTGCATACCAATGATATGTTGTAAACCGATGACACTGAATGCTATGCAGACGATAGCACTGGTGATGTTTTATGCACCGGCCTTGACAATATTTCTCGGGAACACGTCGCCGAGTACCTTGATAAACTTTTGTTTGTCAAGTTTTTGATGAGTCTTGGATTGGGAGCGACTAAATCTAGTCCAGTTCAATTCCCAGAAGACACAAGTTTGCGCGTTTACCGCTGAAAAAAACCCCTTCGTATCTCCTCAGTTTCAAGGCACTCCCCTTGTTGCCTCAGCCAGTATCGGAATCCTCGGCGTCGACATATCGAGTAGAATAGAATAGAATAATTTTTTATTCAATATTGATTATTACATAATTCTTATTGAGTCATTTTTTATTTACCACTGGTTCGGAAAATACCTCTGTCCTGGGAAGAACCAGCAAGAAACCCAGCGGGACTTTTTTTTCAAACATATTTCACTTAACAATAATTTCGTTTATACAATTTTTAAATGATTTATCATAGAACCAGCATGGTGGCGATCACCTTATTCCCAGGGTTTATTTTCATTCATGTATTCCTTGATATTATAATAACCCTTTTTGTACAATCTTTCTTCAATAAAACTTTTAAACTTGTTTATTGACAAACTTTGAATATGTTCTGGGATTTTGTTGTTAAAGCGTATACATTGCCCCATAAATGAATTACTGATTCTGTGGAGTCTAGCAACTGGTATTACAAGCTTATGATTGTTTCTAATGTTTAAAGTATGCACATCCTTATTCTTATTAAAGCTATTTATGTTCTTATGTACATACATTACATTTTTATAAATATATTGTGATGCCAAAGTTAATATGTTTATTTATTTAAATTTTTGTTTGAGGGACTCTTTACAATTTAGATTATAAATCGCCCGAACGGCTCTCTTTTGCAAAACAAATATAGCTTCAATATCAGTCGCATTACCCCATAGCAAAATTCCATAAGACATTACGCATGACGCATGACGAATGGCGTGCAGTTTCATGGTCACTTGGAAGAGAAGGCCAAATTGGCCTCTAAAAAGCTTGGCGTGCTCAGCAGAGCGGGACAGTATTTCCTGCCGGCACACCGCTTACAACTTTGCAAGGCGCAGGTTCGGCCCCACATGGAATACTGTTCCCATCTCTGGGCAGGGGCTCACCAGTGCCAGCTCCATCCACTTGACCGCATCCAGCGCAGAGCAGCTCGAATCGTCAACGACCGAGTTCTTTCCGATCAGTTTGACTCACAGCCACTGAGAAGAGATGTTGCATTTCTTTGCGTATTTTATCGCATCTACCACAGGGAGTGCTCTGAGGAATTGTTCGTACTAATTCTAGCCGCTTAATTTCGCCATCGCACATCGCGACAAAACTCGCAATATCATCCACACCATCTGGATGATTGGTGGTCGATTTAGAAGAAGTTTTCTTCCTCGCACAACTTCCTTGTGGAATCGACTACCACCAGAGGTATTTCCGGACCGATACGACTTAAGAGCCTTCAAGAAAAAAGCCTACTCTTTTTTTAAAGGGCCAGCAACGCATTTGCAATTCCCCTGGTGATCCAGTTGTCTAGGGGCGGCGGTCACTTACCACAGGTGAGCCGCATGCATGCGCGTTTGCCCCTCTGCTGTTAAAAAAAATCTCACGTCGATATAAATCCAGCAGCTTCTTCATAAAAATAGATTTTTGTTTTAATCTTCGTAACATCGAAGATTGAAGACTTGGAGATATGCGGTGTAGTGGTAGCTTAATAAATTTCATCATCCCATTTTCTTCCATGGGTGCTGTAGGAAGGAACTTAGGAAAATATCATCTTGTATAATAACCACCGATAAATACATAGACCAATGTCAAGGAGCAGTGTCAAAAATGCGAGACATCTAATACTGTGATCGACATTTGCTTGTGAGTGGCGAGAAAGATAAATTCTTTTTACATTCAGAGGGGTTCATGTCCAGAAACCGACTGTAATATGCCAATACAGAAAATACAATATGAAAATACATGTGAATCGTACAATGTTTTTTTTTTTTAAATAGAAATAAGAGTGACAAACGAGCACACAGTCCACCTAATGGTAAGTGGTTACTGTGGCCCATAGACATCTATGCATGCACAGGCAAAGCAGTGCCTGTTCACCAGCTTCTATTCAATGAATTTACCTTTGAATAAACTTCAAAGTAATAGCTTACACACATCCCCCTGTACACAAATTCTTGACATTTTTATGATTTCACAGACATGCCAATTTACAAGATGTTTTCTTAAATGGCAGAGCATGTCGTAAATAATAAATTTTTTTGACTGGCTTATTGGTCTAGTGGTCCCAAGTTTGAATCCTAGGTTGGTACAAAATTAGTTACTGGGTGGAGAAATTCTCAGTAGCAGATGTCGCTCTAAACAAAATTCTGTTTGGAGGACAATAAATATTAAATCACCTTCAGCAGCACACAGCACCTTCTCTTCTTTATCTTCATCCCTCTCCTTGATCTTGTTTTTTACCTCTGTGGGAATCTCATTTGCAAGCAGTTTGTCTAACAGCTCAAGGTAGTTCTGCATATAAATTGATGAAGGCGATCTGAAAAAAAAAATGTGTCTTAATAAAGGCATGGGTTAGGTTGCATGTGTGCTTCTATGATTATAATTATATGTTAAGGTAGCAGTACACGTTGGGCGAACGCACTCGCCGAGTGCGTTCGGCCAACGTGTACTGGGCCGTTTTGTGTGTATTTAGCGTTTGCGGCCAACACTCGCCGACAAGCCGTATAGTGTCGGTTTTCCGTGCACAAATCAAAGGAATTTGGCGCAAGCCGCAAATAGCGATCACACGTTGGCCGAGTGTTAAGTTCGTAGTTGCGCTTTACTACTTAATAAAATTATTTCACGAACATGGCGACATGGCCTAATTAGGAAATATTTAGGTTCATTGATTCTTATCACAATGAATCAGTTATATGGAACCCCAAACATGAGCAACATAAAAAATAAGGCCGTGATCACTAACGTCCATCATCATCTAGCTACCAAAGCAGAATGAAGCACGCCAACGTGTGAACGGCACCACAAAAATCTGCCGAGCGGGCTCGCCAAGTGCGCTTGACCAACGTGTACTGGAGCCTTTATATGGCACTAATATCTCCTACACAGTTAATGGCTCCAGCCACATGCATTATTTCAATAGTTAATACAAACACGAAACTAAAATCATTGCTGTAGAAATATGGCCATTAAAAAGTATGTTAGAAATGACTTTGATTATAGATTGAAAAATTGTGTAATAGATAAGTGTAGTTTGCAAGATCTTGTGTGAGGGAATCAAGAAATACTTCGGTGGTATGGACACAAAGAATTAATGAGGAAAGAGTGACAAAGCTAACTGATGCTGCAGATATTAGTGTTAGCAAAGGATAAAATTTATCAATCAAATTGGTGATATATTGAAGATGGGCAAATTTATGAGTACCTTTAACCAAAGCATATATGAAGTAGATATATGGATATGAAAGACCATTTTTGCCTACCACACCTTTTAACCACATCTGGTAAGCTTAAAATGCTTGTGTTAGAAGTGGTTCATGACAGTAGTCGAATGTTGGATTCAAACCTTTCGATTTCACGGTCCGCACCCTGCCATTAGGCTACTGACACTTAATAATATATAATATACACTGCCTTTGTCCATTTTAAAATTTATTTTAGTAAACTTACTTTTTGTAACCAATCGTGGAAAGAACTTTAAGGCCATATTGCTGCACGTCTTTGTATTCAGTAAACTCTTGAAACCGTGCAATGGGGGCTGACATTGTTATTTCAGAATCCAGTAATACAGTAAATATGTTCTGAAAAGAGATTAATAACAGATTACGTCTTTTACCTACATCTACATAAGTTATTAGCTAAGATATATTATATAAGAAGATGTTTTTATTTAACTCACCTTCAAACGGACTGATGGGAAATAGTACCCGTTGGTGGTCTCCAATGGATTTTGACCTTCAATTTGCATCAGCTTGCAGGCAGTGACAAGTGCCTGTAGACGGGAATTGGTACGACCACGCCAAATACATTCCAAGCATCGCACCAAAGCTGCTTCATAACATTCATTCAGCCATCTGGTATATTCAGCTTCTGGGCTGTGATCTTGAAGAAAAAATATAAAAATAGGTCATAGGATATACTGTCTAATTTCACCAAATATTTTGGTACTGCAGGCAAAATTAAAGTGGCTTATAAATGACATTCACAATTTGTTATTTATTTATTTATTTATTTATGTACACACAAAAAGATAAAACATTAATGCAGTGAGTTAATACAAAAACACTACTTATTTACTATAATACTGAAATATCTTCCCTTCGGCTCATACATAAAAATATATTATGAATTGGCAAACTTAGTCTAATACATGAATAGTAGTCATTTTCAAGAAAATGGGTTATATAATAGAGGATTAAGAAGTTGGACATCTGGAAGTAAATAGCAATTCACTGGTAACAAGATATTTCATTAACACAGAGTAAGAAGAACTACAGTCAGTAATCACATTTGATGTTGTCGAAAAAGCCGACATAAACAATAAATTGCTAGTATTGTCAGAATGGGAAGTAATAAAAAAATAAAAGACTGATTTTATTTTATTTCATGTTTAAACAAATTAATGTGTATGTGGAAAGTGATGAAACTATTTCCTTATCATTACATGAGGACAACCCACAATTTTTTACCACACATGTAGTGAGAACCATTTTATTTGCATAACAGGACAACCCTAGCAGACAGTGCTCAACCTGCATCTTGCCCCACACGATTGCCCCATCTAGATGCCTTTCATGACAGACTGTTAATAGTAGTTTGACTGGACCATTAGTCCTCACTTCCTCCACATTCTTTTACCTATCCACTACCATCAGGTGAATTTACCATATGCTCGTTGGTGAAGGAAAACACTGTGAGGAAACCTGCATGTTTGAGAAATAAGAAAATAAAAAATATTATAAAAATGTGAGATGTTCGCCAACATGCATTGGGGCTGCGCAGTGGACATTTCCTTGCCATAAAACCATCTCCGGAATGAGAGGAGGCCTGTGCCCAGCAGTGGAACATATAAGCTGTAACTTTAACTAACTTTTACCATCAGGTACATTGTATGCTCCTCCTACTCACATCTACTGAGAAAGATGTGACAATATACTCTTTACACTACTATTATATTAGGTAATGCACAACATACTATTTTAATATTAATTACAAATAAAATTGTATTTTTTAGATATTATAAGGGATTTGTTATATTTATGCTGCACTGCCGCATATTAATACTGATTTTCACCAACCAACTTTACCATTGGATGGCAGATTCACTGTATTACAAAATGTAGTTAGTTATCACCTACTGGTACAGTAAGTCATAAATATATATATATATATATATATATATATATATATATATATATATATATAGAGAAGAAATAGATTATTAGATATAATAGATAGATACAGAGATTATGCAGCAGGATGAAGACAGTCTACAAAATAAATCGAGCTTTTAAATAGACTTTGACGGTTACAAACCACCTAAGGTTGAAAATGTCACATGTTACAAAATATAGTTAGGTATTTAGTAGCAGATTTAAGATAAATATCGTAGATATTAATACTGTATATTTAGCTTAAATGACGTAAAGTCGTAAACATACACCGACGAGCTTTAAGCGCGCAAAATCAATAACATAACGATCGACATAATAATCGAAATAATGTATATTGCTTGTACGTACCTATCGGTTTTAATGGGATTATTTCTTGGACCAGGTCTCCCCGTTTTAGTAACTCTGAGAATATTACTTCTATAGTAAGTAAAAGCGGCGTGTAATTATCCGTTTCAGCCTGAAATACAAACAAAACACCAGGTATCCAAAACGTAACCTAAGACGTAATACCAATGAAATATAAAGTAGCACCATAAAACTTAATTTATACTTACATCAAACATTTGAAGGATATCCGCTAGATTGTTTGCATGTTTTCTAGAGTTCAAAAATTCGTTTGCTTTATTACGTAGCTGTGCCGATATCATTTTTGTTAAATTTTGTTGCTCCGCAGCCATTTTTGTATTGAAAAATTGAAAAGGACTAATCCATAGAGAATAGAGAAGACTTAACGTTGTTGTTGCGATTTGCCAAAAGGTCTAAGACCATACAGCCTATTCTAACGTGTAACGTGTTACACACATTTTCAAAAATATTTAAAACAATAATAATTAAATAATTAAGAGACTAAACATTAAGAGATAATGAACCACCATAATTTTTATATATTTTTGGTATCGCTTTTAATAGGCATGAACATAGAAACATATTCAGACGTGGTATGTTCATAACTTCCAAGAACTTAATAATGTACCTACAAATTTTTGATGGTTTTGTGTACAAAACATACGCTGTATGGTTATAGAACTTTGCCTGCCTTGGTAAATCGTAACAACAACCTTTGACTATGAGACAGTGTTTCCACTTTTAGGGATTTCGCTCTTTTTTAGGGCGAAACCGCACATTGAAAGTATGGTTTAGGGCTATTTTATATTTTTAGGGATTTAGGGTATTTTAGGGTAAAATTGATTAATAAAAATAATGTAAAGGTGACAACACTATTTTAATATAGACTTCGCCGTTCCGAAGTTCCAAGCACATGATTATTCGACAAATTACTACAAGTAAATTAGTTAATTGGTTTCTTTTATCATTTTCCCTTCTTACATCTCACACAGACAAAGGACCATCAATTAAAGAAAAAAAATACGTGCAAAAAATTAAAAGTTCATGGTTGGAGAATCCGGATTTTAAGAATAGGCTGAAATGAGAATGTCTGAATTATTAAGACATAAAAAAATGCCAAACACGAGAAGCAGATGACCATTGTGTGTCTGTATGTGGTAATAAGTCATAGTTCTTAAGTAGACACCTGAACCATAATAATAAGGTTTTAGAAATGAAACTAAAGATATACGGTTTTCTGGTATCGTCTACTTCTCTTGGTTAATTGTTTATTACTACTTAAGTAATAAACGATTTATGATCGTAGAAAACTACTTTATTAAAATAAAAAATGAGGTTTTTGTTTTATTTCTAACTCTTTAAATTTTACACCCTAAATCAATGATTTTCGTAGACTAATTTGAGCTATTTAAGGCAATTGTCAAAAAGTCTAGGGCAAAATTAAAACCTGATAGTGGAAACACTGCTATGAGATGTGATTGGATATGAGGGGAGTTTTGGCGGGAACTTGACCGGCGTCGGTTTGCTGCTCCTGTGTTATTGTTTAAATAATGGTTTGAAGTGGACTTTGATATGTAAAAGTGGTGCGATTTTGTGTATTAACTGTCTACGCATGTGAACTATTAGTGGAAACGGTGAAACAAGTGCTCTGATGGTGATGGATTCTCAAGATAAGCTGTTTGTCTACATATGCGCCTTTAGATACCATCGCCAACTGTCAGCTGTCTGCTGGCTCAAGTTGCCGTCAAAATCTCCCAAGGGCTGCACAATGTGACGCATCAACATATTGTGAAGCAGTGAACTATGAAGGATAATTATACATTTGGGGAAATTATAATAAACCGAGTAAAAATACTTAAGACTTGGCCTAAAGGTCTAGATACCAGGCCATAAACTCCAAAAAAAAAATTATTGGATATGAATTTGAGGTTATCTGTCAAGGCGGCTGTATTGTTTTGATTTTATGTAAATCTGTTTATTATAATAGTTTTGAAAGTATAATACAAAATGGACGGAGATCTGTATGATGAATTTGGTAATTACATCGGTCCAGATTTGGAATCAGATTCAGATGACGAACAGAGTGTTTATGGGCAGGATAATCGTGACGCTGACGAAGATGCCATGGAGGAGGACGAAGATGCTGATGTTGAACCTGAAGCCGCGCCGATGTCGGTAGTCTTACATGAAGATAAAAGGTAAACTAAACAGTCTTACCGATATAAAAAGATGCAAAGTAGAAAGCTCAGTTTCAGTTTTCACTTTGTATTTGTAATAAACTTCCATTAGAATTATATGGGGCTGGCTATAAACGTCCGATACTTGATTTTAATTATGTTTTCAGTTTAGGAGGCTTGTCAGGGTTAAGCTTGAAGCTTTTACACTGTTTTGGAATGTCGGAAAGGTGGATTTAATTACAGTAAAACTCACTTAAGACGATTTTGAGGCAGTAGTCAGTCAAAATCGCGACTTAAGCGGGAAAGCGTATTATGCGGGATAGGTAAAATAAAGCATATCATTTACAAATTTTGTGTAGGTTTTGAAATATAGGTATATTTATAAATTTGTTAGAAAGGTATAATATTCTACATACGTATATGTATTTAAATACAATACATCATACATCATAGTTAATTATTATTTATAATGACATTACTTAAATTTATCACTTATTTTGGTTTGACAAAGAGATTTTGATGCATTAGTAATGACAAGGCTTCACTTTCCCTGAAAGAAGATACATAGTGTTGTATAGTTGCATAGTTTGACAAAATCCGAATCGACTCTCCTTCATCTTCATCATCATCACTTAGGGCCTTTTATTAGGAGTTATTCACATCTTCAATAAAATCTTCAATTGAACGGGTTTCGTAGGGTGCAACATTGTCATCAATGGAAAAATATCCAGGAAAACCCTGCAGTATCGTGGATTCTTCTTCCAACACAACGTCAGCTTCGTTATTTCGGAAACCTGCTTTCTTCAAACAATTTTGTATGGTTTCAGGCTTAATTGCTTGACATGCCGCTGCAATGTTTAGGATCATATCATGCACAGTCAAGGGTCGTTTGCTGTCAGGGTTTTCCATTTTATTAAGATAACAATGTATCAATCGTGTTCCACAGCCTTGTTTAAGGACTTTTATAATGCCCTGATCCATTGGTTGTAAAATCATCGCATTCGAAGGTAAGAAAACAAGCTTGATGTTCTTTAGCTCAATATATTTAAGGTGAGCGAGGCAGTTATAAGTGAAGAGAATTATGCATCTACATTTAATCTGGAAGTGAACATATCTAAAGCTTTTAACCAGTTAATAAAACGAAGGCCAGTCATCCAAGCTTGAGATTGTGCATCATATGTTATAGGGAGCGATTTCACGTTTTTGAAGCATCATGGAGTTTTCGCCTTACCAATCACTAGTAAATGTAACTTTTAGAAACTCATCAGAAATTGCACAGGTCAGGACAATGAGTTTTGCTTTACTTGCTTTTCCACCATGGAAAGTTTCTAACTTGAAGACATATAATTTATTTAGCATCAATTTCTAAAATAAACCAAATTTGTCTACATTAAAAATGTTTCACGCTTTATAATTTTTCAACAATGCAGAAAGTTGTGCTATCCATGTATCAACTTGCTCTGCCACTATCTCCGATTCCACACTGATTTAACGATACACAATGCTGTAACAATTTTTAAAACAATCTATCCAACCATTTGAAGCAGTAAAATCTGTAGATTGTAATATTTCAGCAATTCTTTGCGCTTTTACGTATAATATGGAGCCAGTCAGATTGATATCTGAGTATTTAATTTATGCCCTGTTTGTTATCTTAATTTTAATTTACTGTTTGTGAATTTGTCTAGGTATTATCCACAGGCTGTCGAAGTTTATGGACCTGATGTTGAAACAGTGGTACAAGAAGAGGACACACAAGCATTGGATAAACCTTTGGTAGAGCCAGTAAAGCATAAAAAGTTTCAATTGCAAGAGCAACAGTTACCGGAGACCACATATGATATGGAGTACTTAGCTGACATGTTAGACAACACAAATTTGATGAGAAATATTACTTTAATGGGACACTTGCATAACGGTAAATGTTACATTGACTTGGAAACAAGATTTTTTTGTGAATTAGATATTCTTAGTATAGCAGTTATGGCTAAATCCGGAATACAGACAAACCTAGACGTAGTAGGCTACAATTACCCAGTGTAGCCAAATGTAGTTGGTTAAACTTAGGTGTTCAATTTATTCATTATGTGTAAGGATAAATCCAGTAGAAGTCGTAAGCTTAGGTTGACTTGGAATTATCCATGGTAAAATATCTGTGGCTTTGGTGGTCGTCCAACCACAACATTAACTTACTGTCAATGTTAATATGTCTTTACCTATGAAATTACCGTTCAGCAGTACTGGCCATTTCAAATCAAAATATTTTTTGTTTACACTTAGGTTTAATCAACCACAATCTGCTTCATCTAGTTGTAGCCATATTATAAAAATTAAATAGAGAAACATTAAAATTGCCTCTCATTCCAAGGTTGATCATCTTTTTGGCTTAAACGGCTGGACCATAAGTGTCCTAAAGTAAAGAACTTAATAGCATCTAAAATCCTCTATAATTTAAAATTAAAAATTTTGTACAACCAACTTCAATATAAATTATTAAGAATAACTCAAAAACTATTGGTTAGACTTTGATCAAATTTATATGGGACGACATATGAAGCACCAGCTTTCAAATAATAAAAAAAGCATCGAAATCGGTTTAGCTAGAAAAAAGTTATGAGGTAACACACATTTAAAAAAAACATACAGCCGAATTTAGTACCTCCTCCTGTTTGAAATCAGTAGAAAAGATCCAATTTTTGACTGCAGAATAAAAAAAATGTTTACCTTGTTTATGAAAAAGTGTAGCTCAATATTATAAGATGGCAGTGTGAAGTGTTAAAATATATAAATTAAATTATGTACATTAGAGTAGAGTAGTGCCAGCTCTCATGAGCAAATAATATAATGAATGTAAATAGTAGGTTGTTTAGTTTACGACGGGCCGTTTTCCGCAACTCCACGTTAAGTGCGTGTTTTGCGTGTGGGAAACAGTGATTAAATGGCTAGACATTTGAGTGGAGTATGTACCATTACAATTTCATATGGTAGGGAAATGCAGTACACAGTGCATTGTAGTATGATACTACTACTGGCGATGTTTTCTTTCATATTTATTGTGAGTTCTTCAGCCTATACTTCTGATTCTGACAACTTGGGCTTGTTGATCTTTTAGACTAAATCAATTACTAATGTTTTACTGTGGTTTTTCTTGTATTAAAAAAGCTTAAAATCAATTCATAATAAACATTTATTAATTTGAGTTTTACTGTTTTGTTTTACAGGCAAAACGTCCTTTGTTGACTGCTTAATACGGCAGACACATCCTGGAACCATAAACAATGAGACCACAATTCCAATGAGATACACTGACACATTGTTTGTAGAGCAAGAAAGAGGAGTATCTATAAAATCAATGCCTGTTACACTCTTGCTTAAAAACATTAAGGGAAAATCACATCTGCTAAACATAATGGATACTCCAGGCCATGTCAATTTTAGTGATGAGGTCACTTCTGCATTGAGGATATCGGATGGTAAGTATTTAAATATTTTCATATACAATTTTCAGAAGAAATTATATATATTATTACTTTAGTGCTCATTAACAACTGAATAATCATAATATATACTTGTTTTTAAAGCAAGTACTTTTCAAGAGAAGAGAAACAGTTTATGTTATATAAACTTAAAAATTCCTTATAATAATTATATCTTAGCCATGTAAGTTTTATATTAAAAACTTCAAAATATGTTTGCCAATCTGCCCGTTGTAATGTATATAAAGAACACTTATTTAGTAAGAAATATATATTAGAAATTAAGCAATATACTTTAAGGTTTTGACTTTAAAAATTAAGGTGCGTGTGCAGTAAATGTGAAATCATAAGATGGCTCTATAGTACAGTGGCTAAGCATTTTTTTACCGTGCTGGAGGGCCAGATCCCCCACCCCGAAAAAGTATTTGTATGGCCTACGAATACTTGTTTCAGGTTTGGATTTGTGTCTTATGCAATTTGTATGTATGTAAACTGCCTCCGCAATATAGAAAATATCCTACTGTGGAGTTGATATTGATGTTAAAACTAATGATAAAAATCTGAGTTTATTGGCATGATGAGTTAAAGTTGCCAGCACTCTTTAAAATCAGTTTTATACAACATTATTTTAATTTCCCAATGAGAAGGAGCCAAGAAATCTTATACACCAGTATCACAATGCAATTCTAAATATGACTTAAATTCACTTCACAGGGGCAGTTCTATTTGTTGACGCAGCAGAAGGCATAATGCTCAACACAGAACGTCTTCTTCGTCACGCCGTACAAGAGCGAGTACCTCTTACCATTTGTATCAACAAAATTGACCGTCTCATGCTGGAGCTAAAGCTTCCTCCTGCAGATGCTTACTACAAACTTCGGCATATCATTGACGAGTTGAACTCACTGGTAGAGACAAATCAGCCCCAGGATAACCCAGATGAACCACCCGTTATATTCTCTCCATTGCTAGGTATGTATAAAAATTTGTTTATAGTAAGTAAATGTTTATATATCTTTCATTCCTGTGAGGAGGATAGTGATGATAATGTTAATCTCTATACATAAGTAATATAAACAAAGTCACTTCCCGTCGTTGTTACCCTTAGATCTTTTAAACTATGGAACGGATTTCGATGTGGTTTTCATCGTGCGTGCGTGCGTGCGTGCGTGCGTGCGTGCGTGCGTGCGTGCGTGCGTGCGTGCGTGCGTGCGTGCGTGCGCGCGTGTGTGTGTGTATGTGTATGTGTGTGTGTGAATTATCATCAGAAGGATTCAAGAGGAATGTTTATATGTATAATACATGCATATTATAGGTATATTAAATAATTCTTCTGTCCATGGGTATGTGATTGAACTCTTGTTAAATTATTTAAACTGAAGAAAGAAACCCCTGGGTATGAGGTAATCGCCCCCATGCTGGTTCTATCAGAATTTACATTAATGCATATTTATTTCAACTAGAATTACGTCAAAACAATTGGTGACAGTTTTTAGAGAACCTTTGCATGGGATTGTGTATCTAGTTTTTTATTAGTGATAGATGCTTTAGTTTTATAAAAAAAAAAATCTGTATGTGAAAAATTAGTTTTATGTAATACTTGTTATAAATAAAACTAATTTTGCAGATACAGATTTTTCAGCCTTTTAGAAAGGAATTTAGGGGTTGTGTGGTGGTGGCGTACAAGATTCTACTACCCTATATCATCCCGTGGATTTCGTTAAAGGCGACAGAGGAAAATAAAATAGGAGATTGGCAGCAGCGTCTTCCGGCCAACACAACAACTTAATAAAAAATAATAATGATTAAAAATTAAAAATTTTGTACAACTGACTTCAATATAAATTATTAATAATAACTCAAAAACTATTGGTCAGACCTTGATCAAATTGATATGGGACCACATGACAAGCACCTGCTTTCAAATAAAAAGAAGAATCATTGAAAACGGTTTACCCAGAAAAAAGTTATGAAGTCACACGTTAAAAAAAAACATACAGTTGAATTGAGTACCGTCTTCTTTTTGAAGTCTGGAGAAAACTGCAGTTGCCTACCTGCTGGCCAAGTGTATGGTGTATAGGCCAAGATTATGCTGTATTAATTTTATCAGTGTTTTTAAAGTGGTTTGGAATTTTCTGTCTGTATGTCGGTTAATTCCTTTTTACAACTCGAGAGACTCATGTCCAGCTCTGGACATACTGATGAAAATGAACATGCTTTATAACACTAAAGTGCATATACAAAGATTGCGAAATGCTGCTAATGCTTGCTTTGAGCAAAATTAACTTACCTATATCCGTATCGTCCCAGGCAATGTGTGCTTCGCGTCATCTCTCTACGACGTATGCTTCACGCTGGAATCCTTCGCTGCGATGTACGCGTCAGCGCATCCGAATAGTGGACTGCGCGCATCTGACATGGCCGCATGGTTGTGGGGCGATGTGTACTTCAACGCGAAGACTCGACGTTTCACAAAGAAATCGCCACACGCGTCAGCCCAGCGAAGCTTCGTCGAATTTATATTGGAGCCCTTGTACAAGATATTTGCACAGGTGTGTTTTATGTTGTATGTAAATAAAATAAAATAAATATAAATAAACACTCACGCCTGTCACCCAGAGGGGTAGGCAAAGATTATGGACTTCCATTTGGCACGATCCTGACACACCTCTCTCGCTTCCTCCACATCCATATACCTACGCATACACGCTCGTCGGTTAAAGGTACTCTTGATTTGGCCCATTTTTAATATATCGCCAATTTGGTCGATAAACTTTCGCCTAGGGCGACCCTTCCCGACTAAGTCGTTCACCTCTGCAACATAAATTTGCTTTGTCACTCTTTCCTCATTCATTCTTTCTACATGGCCAAACCACCGAAGCATTCCTTTCTTAATGCTGGTCACAACATCATCTTGCAAACCACACTCTTCTCTTATTAAACAAGTTCTCACTCTGTCATTCAGCTTCATCCCTAACATACTCCTTAATGACCGCATTTCTACAGCATTTATTCTACTCTCATGCTTCTTCTGCCACACCTAACTTTCACTACCATACATTAAAGTAGGTACTAACACAGGATTGTGAATTGCCATACGTGCCTTTTTGGACACATTTCACACTTTTCACAATAGAGTGTAGAGCCCCATTCACTCTATTTCCTGCATTCACTCGTCGTTCTATATCCTTATCATATCTACCATCCCTGCTAAACACACATCCCAAATATACAAACTCATCTACTTGCTCTACCAACTCCCCTTCTATTCTTATTTCACATATCGTTTTACTTTCTTCTCTTTCAAAAACCATAACTTTCGTCTTACTTGCGTTCACTTTCATTCCCTTTTCTTTTAATGTCCTGTTCATTAATGTAACCATCATTTGCAACTCGGCTGCCGACGATGCAAGTATGACTTGATCATCGGCGTACAAAAGGCATTTGACGGTTAACTCACCCATTCTTAACCTGCATTCTTCTACTTTCATATTTTCCAAACAACTGTCCATAAATAGGTTGAACAACCACGGGGAAGCCACACAGCCCTGTCTGACATCTTTATGGATGCCAAACCAGTCCGAGTAGGCCCCGTTGATCCTGACACAAGCACTAGAGTCCCTATATAGAGACTTCAATGCCTGTATCAGACCAGCGGTCAACCCAAATGAGTTCAGTGTTTGCCATAACACATCCCTGTCCACTCTGTCATAAGCCTTCTCCAAGTCTATGAACGCACAAAAAACTTTTTGGTTTTTGGCCAAAAACTTCTCCGCGATCATGCGCATGGAGAAGACCTGATCCGTACATCCCATTCCCTTTCTAAATCCCGCTTGCACATCCCAAATTTTTCCATCAGTTTCTTTCATAACTCTTTCAATTAGTACCTTAGCATACAGTTTTCCCACAATGCTAAGAAGGCTGATACCACGGTAGTTTTTACAGTCCTGCTGTGATCCTTTTCCCTTATATATTGGGACTATCACGGCTTTGCACCAGTCTCCCGGTACCCGCTTAAGTTCCCAACATAAATTAAACAAGGTGTACAGCAGGTCTGCCACCACTCCTTCTCCAGCCCTTAGCATTTCGAGAGATACTCTATCATAACCGGCTGCCTTACCTGCTTTCATACTTTTCATTGCTTTCATTATTTCATCTATACTTATATCTCTATCTATTTCCTCTTCTTTCGGAATTTCTTTTTCATTTAATTCAAACGTCTCATCACTCATAAACACGCTTTCAAAGTATTCCTTCCATCTCCTTAAACTCAAAACTTCGTCATTCAGAATACAGCCATTCTGGTCTCGTATAGCATTAATTCTAGGCTGTTGTGAATGTCCCCTGGTAGTTCTTACGAGTTTCCAGAACATTTTAATGTTTGCCTGGAAGTTATCCGATATTCTTCTATCATTCTTATCCGTTCTTTCTTGCTTTTTCCTTTCAACTACTTCTTTTACTCTCTTATTTAGGTGTCTAAAAACTGCCTTTTTCCTTTCAATATCATCATTCATACAGCTAGAATTACTAGTCTTGGTTGCTAGTAAATCTAGCCATGCTTTCTTCTTTGCTTCAACTTCCATCCGTACCTCATCATCCCACCATAACGTGTTATTTTTCCTTTCAATTGTTCTCTTACTTACACCACATACTTCGGTAGCTGCATCCACTAAACCGTTCTTGACATTATACCACACAGTCTCCAAGTCTAAATCATTCATACACAATTTAGCCATACCACTTATATTTTCTCTCAATCTACATTTGAACTTCTCTTTCACACCTTCATCTTGTAACCTCTCTGTTCTTATACGCTGTAACGCAGTGGTAGACACAGATGTCCGATGCCTCCAACGTCTGAAAAGACCATTAATTCGGCATAAGACCAAGTAATGATCAGTCCCTACGTTAGAGCCCCGGTAAACCCTTGTATCCACCACCGCGCTGCTCATTCTTTCATCAACAATTATGAAATCTATCATACTTCTATCATCACCTCTTTCCCATGTATACGTGTGAATCCTCTTATGACGAAAGAAAGTGTTCGTCACAACAAGATTCTTTTCCACGCAAAGGCAAGAAGGCTTTCACCATTCTCATTTATACTTTCATCACCAAATGTTCCCAATATCCTTTCATAACCAAGCCTCCTCACCCCAACCCTTCCATTAAAATCGCCTAATATTACAATATTTTCATTAACCTTGCATTTCATTAGCACCATCCTTACCAACTCCCAAAACTGCTCTCGGATATAAGTGGGCTTAGACATGTCTTGGGCGTAGACCCCTAAAACAAACAACTTTTTTAAGCCCACTTTCATTCGTATCCATAGCAGTCTCGGGCTTTCACACAATGACCCATTCTTTCTGAAAGGATGATACCGACTCCCTGGCATGCCCAGATGGCAGTACCAGACCAGTATGCGGTATACATGCCATGTGTAGTGGCATCCTTTCCCTTCCGTTTCGTCTCATTTACACATAACACGTCTATTCCTCTATCATACATCATATCGCATACTTCATCCATCTTATCATTCATTCCTCCACATACATTCAATGTAGCCAGACGAGCTTCCGCAATCCACTTTTCACCCCTCCGGGGGACAGAACGTGACGGGTGGCGAACCTCGTCGCCGGTTTTCCTCCCGGAGATTCTTCGCACCCCTGCCCCAATAAAGGGGCGCCGGGAACTCGGGGCCATTTCATTAATTTTATGCCTCATGGTGCGAAAGTAAGTTGTGGTATTTTTTACGCCGCTACCACACGGCGAGGAGCCGAGTCAGTTCTTTCGGCTTTGTCGCTCGTTTAGCATCACCCGGGGGACACGTGTAGGGTGGGCCTAGGATTAGGTGGTCGAAGCCTACGGACGCGAGCGACTCATCCCCAAATGTTGTATGTTAAAAAAACTATGGATAGTTTGCAGGAGAGGTTTTGACATTTTATTTTTACTTATAATAGTTACTAATGATGGCGTAAGAATATCCACTACCCCATATCATCCCGTGGGTGTAGTAAGAGGCGACAGAGATGGGTAGCAGTGTCTTCCTAATAACCAACTGCCAACTGACAACCCGTTTGCCAAGCGTGGCAACTATGGCAAATATCTCCTTTATGAGGGAGGTCTATATTTAGCAGTAGACTAATAGGCTGTATCGATAACGGTAGTTTTTACCCACTACTTCGTCCCCGTAGAACTTAAACAAAAAGAACTTACAAAGTATAATAACTAATTTTATTACACATAAAAAAGATACCAATTTATTAAGAAAACGGCCTAAGGATTTTATAATAATCTAACCGGAATCATGAAATCTGGAAAAAAGAAGAGTTGTTTTGATATTCGCCTTCTGGTTAATGTAAAGAAAAATAAACGCTTGTAACGAACAGCGACATGAAAGTCTTCAATAGTCTGCTTTTACGTAGATAATAGCGCCATCTCACAGTCATTAAAAGCACTATTTTCCCCAATATTTTTACACATTTTATTAATAAGGTGACGTTTATGCTGGCATTTATTATTTATCCCGCAGCCTATTTACATTAGTTGCGTTCGATACGGTAAAAATAATATTACTTTTGTAATCAATAGATAGATTATAAGGAATAAATTGACATGTATTTCATTAAGTTACGCCACAATGTGTGGTGGGACCATTCTCCATACAAAAAGATCTTCTTTATGTTGTATTTGGGCAAGCAGTTTATTTATTAAAAAACTGCTTTAAACGCAGTTTATTTTTTATTATCTGGAAAACTGTGTATAATATGGCAAAATTATGAAAAAAAAAATTGAAAACCTATTAATTTAATCTAAAACAGATTGTACCACCATATCCTTTAACACTCATAGTTTTGTTATAAAATGGTGTTTAAGTAAAAAAAAAAAGTTCTAAATCGTTTTTGCGTCAAACTGAAAGATAGCAGAAAAAGTAAGAGGAAATTTTTCAATTAGGCCTTTTTTATATGTCGTATAGTTTACGAAATAACCATCAAAAACCATTAATTTGACAAAAAAATGCATGTTTTTTTGTATAAAATATAGCTCAGATCACTCCTGGCAATGCCGATAACTGATAATTATCATAATTATCAGTTTTCATCTGTTCCGAAGATTAGCCTGGACAGACAGGGAGACAATTTCTTTTCAAAATGGTTATTAATTGTCTAAATGCAAATAATCCCTTCAGCTTAAAAGCTGAAAAAAGTTTTACGAATCACACAGAGAAGTGTGAGATTCGGGATACTTGAAAGTTTAGTGAAGAGTGTTAAAAATACATAAATTAAATAAAACATACAAAATATGTACGTTATTACTCTAATGTCAATGTCAAACACTTAGTCAATAAACAATAGTCTATGTTCAAAGAGTCGCACAGAGTAGAGATTGTCGCCAAAGAATTTTAGAATGTTGCCAACGAAAAGCTGTGAATTTTGTGTGATTTCAAATGTCCTTTTATATGTGGAGCGTAGATATGTCAAGGCATAAAAGCGTTTATTTTATATTTTGTACCTATATTAGATATTAGTGTTTTATATATTAAAGTGAATAACACCTTGCTTAATGTATGAACCTAAAAGTTTAATAGGTTACGGTCGAATTTCGACTACGAGGCCACAGATAAATTATAGTACCACTACTCCTTTGATATTGACTGCTTGCTCACTTTTTAATAGCCTACATAATTATTATTAATTAGATAAATCGCGCACGCTAGCTAAATAAAACTATAACGCTGCGCGTGAGTGTCCGTATTCCCCTCCCTACATCACGGCGGACTTTTTGTGGTTACTAAGGGCTATTAATAAAGAGTAAAAAAATACATTGCAAAATGGTAAGTAAGTTACTTAGGTAAGGTACCTATACTGACTATAATCGACTGTTCATATTTTCGCTACTATGTGAATTTTGTGATGCCCAACGCATGCAACTTGCAAAGCCTTTCGTCGCTAATCGCGATGTCCTAGCCCCGACTGCGTATGTAGCCCAGGGCGCCTCGCGATTGTATGTAATTATTTCACGCAGGTAGCAAGAGTGACAGTGTCCTGACGAAGCGACCACTAGTATTTGTAAATCAGCCAATCTGAACATGGCATTCAGTGGTTTTAAAATATAAAATTAGATGTGCACTTATTTTTCTAGGTGGTAGGTGATGTAGACGACACACTACCGGCGGTACTTGCAGAATTGGGTATTAAGCTGACGAAGCAAGAATCAAAGCTTAATATACGGCCCCTGCTACGACTTGTTTGCAGTCGATTCTTTGGAGATTTCTGGTGAGTAGCCACAAATATACTTGTAATACGTAAATTCTTTTAATGAGTGGTCATCATCATTAACATAATCATCATTACAGCCCTTCACAAGTCCACTGCTGAACATGGGCATCCCCCAAGGAATGCCAAAAAGCACGGTCGTGTGCCACCTGCATCCATCGACTTCCTGCATGTCTTACCAGGTCGTCACTCCATCTAGTGGGGGCACGCCCTACACTTCGTCCTCGAGGCTGCCACTCAAGAACCTTTCTTCCCCATCGGTTATCTGTTCTTCGAGCTATATGGTCGGCCTATTGCCACTTGAGCTTATTAATCCGTTGGGCTATGTCGGCCACTGTGGTTCTACTGCGGATATCCTCATTTCTAAGTTTATCACGCAGAGAAACTCCGAGCATAGTCCCCTTCATAGCTCGCGAAATGAGTGGTATTAGTAATTAATTCAATCAATCAATACACAATTGTTTATATAGTCAATTAAAATATTTTTTAAAAGGTTGACAATACAAACATTTTATTTAAATTGTTTTAGAATATAGTGCAATGACGTCATAGCCTTTGTAGTCCAATTGTTTGTTTATTTCTGTATTCTTTATTGCACACCATATAGATGTACAGAATATACAGTTATTTTCCAATAACCGGCCAAATTTGCAGAGAAAATTCAGAATAAGCTAACACTACAAGTGTGTAGTGGCGTATTCAACTTCAATCTCTGCTGATCCCAGCTTTCGCGGATGTGAATCATGCAAAAACTCAAAGCGTTTTTTCATCATTTTATACATACTGAAAATCTAATTTAACTTAAAATGGAAAACCGATTAAGTTAGACACTATCAACAGCATTTTTTTTTTACCCCCACACTAGGATTTTCTCAATCAATCAATACAATTCATGAATGATTCGTTTGAGCAATTTAATAAGGATTTGAGTGGCTGTAAGACTAAAATTGACACAATTATTAAGGAAAAGGAAACCCTACAGAGTGATCTTATCATCATTACTAGCGTCTTAATCAAATGGAGCAAATCTCTCGGGCATCGAACCTGGAAATCCAATGTGTTCCTGAGCGTAAGTCTGAAAACGTTTAATCTATTGTAACACAATTGAGCAAAACCATATCTTACCCTATAAGCGAGTCGCATATCTTATATTGTTCACGCATTGCTAAGAAGAACCCCGAGAGTACCCGTCCCCGCTCTATTCTAGTTAGACTTAACAGCCCTCGCTCCAGGGACTCCCTGCTAGCCGCTGCTTTGAAGTACAATAAAAATCACTCACAGGAAAAATTGAACACGGAGCATGTAGGGTTGGGGCCTAACAGGAAGACTCCCATATATGTAGTAGAAAATCTTTCTCCTGAGAATAAGCTTCTTCACGCTCTGTCCCGTAAACGTGCAAAAGAACTTCAATACAAACATGTATGAGTCCGGGGCGGCCGCATATACATGCGAAAAACTGATACATCTGAATACGTCTTAGTACGTAATAAATCGACCCTGGACAATTTATCTTAGGTTCTTTTTGTTATTTTGTAATCTATCGTGTAATAGTATACGGCTTAAAGTTCAACAGTTTAAATGTATATTTTCAAAACGTTAGGGGTCTTCGAACGAAGACGACAAACTTGTACAAAAACATAATAAAATACGATTATAATATAGTTGTGTTATGTGAGACTTGGTTAAATAGCACTATTTTTGACTCCGAGTTGTTTAGTGATCGTTACGCAGTTTATAGACGCGACCGCGAGACTAGCGGCTTTCATCAGCACAAATCTGGTGGCGGGGTATTGGTGGCTGTGTCAAAGCATATTTATTCCCGTAGGCTACACCATTTTGAGAGTAAATGCGAGGATATTTGGATCGAATTGAATATACCTACGGAAAAAGGTACCCCAAATAAGCTTTTATTGTGTGGCGTCTACCTCCCGTCGCCCATTCAAAAACATTTTCTGGAACATTATGTCGACAACGCTAATAGAGTCTTAGAGTCAAACGCAAAAGTGTTAATTTTGGGAGATTTTAATCTGAGTGGTATTGCCTGGAACGATACAGAGGTACCGTTTGCTGTAAATGGCAATAATATGACTAAGACTTCATTTGAAAGCACTTTACTGGACTTCATAGCTTTAAATAATCTTACTCAATATAATACTACGGTCCTAAACCATAAAGGCAAAATTTTAGACCTGGTTCTCTCTAATCTTAATATTCTGTTGAATGTGACACGAAGTAACTCTGAGCTCAGTTCTGTAGATGATTATCACCCACCGCTGGAATTTACGCTGCCCCCCGGGTATTCAGCTAAACTTCTTTCCCGTAATTATAATGAGAGACATAACTTCTATAAAGCTGATTTTGAAAAAATATCTAATTATTTAAGCTCGATACCATGGGAGAGTGACCTGGCTTCGTGCTCCTCGGTGGATGAAATGACTAACAGATTTTACTCAATACTAAGAAGTTCTATCTTAAAATATGTTCCTAAAAGCAAACCAGCATCAAAAAAGTTTCCCCCGTGGTATACCAGGGATCTTATTCGCTTTCACGTGAGAAGTATAAGCTCAGGATGAGATACAAAAAGTACAATAACCCACTCGACGAACTGGCATTCCGTACAGTTAAAAAACGGTGCTCTGATTTAACAGAATCTTGTTATCTTAAATATATAACTGATCTCGAAAAGTCCCTATCAGTAAATCCAAGAAAGTTTTGGACCTTCCTCAAGAGTAAAAAAGATAATAGCAACGCGTATCCATCTGCAATGACATTCGATGATAAAGAAGAAACTTGTGGAACTGGTATTTGTAATCTTTTTGCTTCGTATTTTGCCTCGGTTTACCGGCCAAGCTTGCCTCTCTGCAATGTACCTGATCTAGAATACTCAGTCTCTTGCTTCCTTGGAAGTCTCACCCTTAGGCGGGAGGATGTTCTGAAAACTCTGAAAGGACTAGATAGGACTAAGGGAGCAGGACCGGATGGAATACCCGCTTTGTTTGTAGTTCAATGCTGTGAATCTCTCTCCTTTCCTCTAACAATAATATTTAATGAGTCTTTAATGAATGGCGTATTTCCCTCGATCTGGAAGGAGGCAAGAATTGTTCCAGTTTTTAAGTCGGGAGATTCAGCATCCGTGAAGAACTATAGGGCCATTTCGATACTATCAGTCTTTGGGAAGGCATTTGAATCGTTGGTTTGTCCGGTCTTGTCCTATCACATAAAGCATTTAATTTCTCCTCGCCAATCAGGTTTTTTAGTAGCTCGCTCAACGGTAACTAATTTGATCCCGTTTGTGGATTTCGTTTCTAACTCCCTTGATTCCCGCATTCCTGTAGACACCATATACACCGACTTTAGTAGGGCTTTCGATTCAGTTGATGACAAAATTTTACTGGGTAAACTTTCTCGTTTGGGTGTGTACGGCAGCCTTCTGGAATGGTTTGAATCCTATCTTTATCAACGCAAGTCGCACGTTGTGGTTAATGGCTACTCATCGCACTCCTTTCAGCCAACTTCCGGCGTTCCACAAGGTTCGCATCTGGGTCCAATCCTCTTTAATATATTTATTAATGATATCGTGGGTGTCTTTGATCATGCTGCTTGTTTCCTTTACGCTGATGACATGAAACTGTCTATGCAGATCAGAGGTATTAATGATTCATTATTATTACAGGAGGATTTGGATCGACTCGCTGGATGGTGTAGGGAGAACAGGTTATATTTAAATACTGAAAAATGTAAATTTATTAGATTTTCGAGATGAAAAACAAACTTGTCGCCGTCCTACAATATTGCCGGTCAAAAATTGCTAGAGGTGGACTCTATTCGCGATTTGGGCGTTATTATGGATAAAAAACTACGCTTTCACAAACACATTGACCAAGTCGCAACAAAAGGTTTCCAGATGCTAGGGTTTGTGCTGCGGAATGCAAAGGAATTCAAAAAGCCCTCAACAAAAATTCTCCTGTATTTGGCATTGGTTCGTTCGAGTTTGGAATATTGTAGTCAGGTTTGGTCCCCACATTATGAGGTCCATATTAAGCGAATCGAGCGAATACAGAAGAGATTTCTCTGGCACCTATCCTACCAATCTAACAAAGCCAAACTGCTGCCTTCATATAAGGAACGTCTTGTCTATTTTAAAATGACTAGCCTACAAGGGCGAAGATTGTTTTTGGATCAATTACTTTTTTATAAAATTATCAATGGCCTCATTGACTGCCCTGCGTTATTGCGATCTGTCAATTTTAATATCCCATACAAGTTGCCGCGTCGCGTACGATACGTTCCATTTTCACCAAAAGGTGCCAAAAGTAGCTTAGGTCACCACGCCACCATGAATCGCTTACAGAGAGAGTACAACGTAATATCTAAGTCTTACAACATCGACATCTTTTCTGACAAGCCGTTGAAATTTAGACGTAAGCTCGGTCAGTTTCTCGAGATAATGGTGTCTGTTTGATTCAAGTATCTATATCTATTGTTTGATTTTTTTTAACATATAAAAATAATGATTGTTAAATGATGATTAAAATGTTTAAGTTTTCATTTGCTTAGTATTAACTAACCTATTTAAGTTTTATTTGCATAGTCCACATTTGCATGCCGTGGCAGCCTATAATTAAGATGACGCTTAGCTTTAGTTTTATATTCATGTTACCTTAATATCCATGTATTAGTGTTCGTCTTGTTGGTTGTCCTTTTAAATAAATTACGTTAAGCGTAGGAATTAGATTTTGAAATTTCAATCTCATGAAATCAGTATAAAATTTCTTTACTAGTGTTCCAAGTATTTGTATTTGAATACTTTGGCTGCTTGGATACCATTGGTGCTCTGTTAGTTACTATGATTTTGAACAGTTTAAATGATCTCATATATTTGACGTTGTACATGTTCCGACATATTTCAGAAACATTAATGTTCTCAATAATTTAACAACTATGAATGGTTGAATGTTTACAATGTTTTTAGATGTTCCAAAATATTTGAACATCTTGACTGTTCATTTCTGTCGGACGTTACTGTACCACCATTCAACCACTCAATTTATGTTCCAGCGGTTTTGTAGAGATGGTGTGCCGACACATACCCTCCCCGTTGGATGCGGCCGAGCGGAAGGTGTCTCACTGCTACCGCGGCACCTCGGGCCCTCTCCGCGACCACATGCTGGCCTGTGATCAAAATGGCCCGCTAGTCGCGCACACCACCAAAATGTACCCCACCGATGACTGCACATTCTTTTTGGTGAGTGCACTGTACTGTGAATAATTAATTTAAATAAAAAAGAACATGATGTTTATTCATTGCTACAACTTACATTTACACAAAAGGAAAAAAATCTTAATAATAAAATACTTAAAAAAAGAAATATGTATTACAGCAACAAAGACGCTACCAACATACAGCATACAGCATAATGCAACAGTAACAGATTTACCTCAGCGCTCATATTCTGTCGGAGCTACAAAAGCCACAAAATTCTCATCCTTGTGGATATTTAACTATCCATGCTGGGTATGGGCTCCACCTCATTTGTAGGCTAATGGCTCGAATGAGGGCTAATGATTGTCTGCTCACCGATGTCGCTAGTTGACACTGAGGTAAAGTTTTATGTTACACAGTGTAATTTAATTGAGAAGTTGATTTTTAATAAAAGTTTATCAGTTTCTAGAGTAATTAAATTAATACACAAAACAATGCGTCAGTGGTTTGCTCTTTAATTTTTTTTTTTGCACATTTTAAATTTTTGTTCTTTTATGAATATCTGTGGTTTGGTTTATTTATTTTTAATTTTATTAATATAAAATATAGCTATTAGTACAGAAAGAAACAATAACTTTTACATCTTCTGAACAAATTAAGTTCCTCACTATGAAATCTGTCAAATATTATACCTCACTTTTTAGTAGCGCCGCCCTGGAGGCAGAAAAAGTCGTGGATGATCTCATTGATCAAGCATTTTTAGGATGCAATTGGACAGGGTAAATGTCAAAAGTGTATTGAGTAAAATGCTTTGAATCTTCTATTATTTAATTATATATTTCCAGTTTTTGTTTACTTCACTTTTTTACTATTAATTACTGTATAAGTCGTAAAAAAAAAAAATAGCGCCCAGGTTACTTATCTAATAAAAGTTACTTACACCTTCAATTTGCACCTATTAGTTACAATTTACATCTTGCATTTCCACATAATCTGTTTAATAAAAATTAAAAAATATAAAATTGTCATGGCAGAAACAACATTGTAGCTTCAATTTCACATATTACTGTTTAATAAATGTTCTAATTTGACTGGCAAAAATTTACAAATACTTACTAGTAAAAAAACTGGTTTATCAAACGCAAAATTGGAGTATAACTGTGTGTAGCTTACATTATTGTAGAATTTTAAAACTATTCTGAGGGGTGAGTTGGCGATTATTAAATATTGTTAAAACAAACCACTTAATTGTAAAACCAGCTACCTTTATAGTGTTACTTTTACAATTTTGTATCGTAATAAATATTTATGTATGAACACTGCGCATTGAATGAAACTAGGTTTTACGGTTTTTTATTCGATCAAGGCGAAAACTTACTTTTATTATCTTTATTATGTAACTTTTTTACAATATTGTCGGATTGTATCGTTTAATAGATAAGGTCTACTATAGGATTTTACTATTTTTTGTTATTTTATCATTTTAGGTGCTGGCACGAATAATGTCGGGCACATTGTACGCCGGGCAGTCGGTTCGAGTGCTCGGCGAGAACTACAGCGCGCAAGACGAAGAGGACTCGCGAATTATGAACGTCGGGCGGTTGTGGATATATGAAGCTAGGTATAAGGTTAGTACATTGCTGAATTAAATGTAGTTATTTGTCTTAATGTGATGGATGTATTATATGTTTATATGTGCTCATTACAAAATAAAATGTCCTGTATCAAATCTCACTCCCGCATTTATAGCTAATCTATATAAAAAAGGTAAAGTAGCTGGTTATATATATAACCTTTTTTTGGTTTGGTTTTTTTGATGTGTATGTCTTAATAAGAACAGAATTTAGGGTAATATTAAAATGAGAAAATTTATTTGCAGAGATCTATTGCAAAAGTATTTTTTTTTTTTTAATTTTTACACACAGACCTCCTGACGGCCGTGGCTCATATACTGAGTATCTATTCTATCCTAAAAAATCACAATGCAGATGCATTGTCAGCCCTGAGCATTAAGATGAAAAGAAGAAGTTTCTCCAGTTCAAGTCACTCACCTTATGAAACTCAGCAACATTACGATGCTCTGTGATCCTTCCCCGACCGAGTGTATTATGTCATTTCGTTTTGAATTTGATTAGTATTAGTATTAGGAAGTAGATGGATGCTGGTGGTTCAAAAGCATGCTTTGTGGCATTCCATGAAGTAGGTCTAAGTTTAGCATTGGACGTTCGAAATTCGTAATGATAACGACGATGGTGATGTTGGTGTAAACCAGATGAAAGTAGCACTTGCATAGACTATAAATTAAATTGGAACTACATGTAGGTATAAGTAGCGGCACGAAAATCTAGCGGTGACCGTTATTGCGCATAAGTCGCGCTGATTGGCTCGTGCTTATCGTTCGCACGCGCTGATTGGCTCTCCAGTCGCATTCGTGCATCAATTCGTGCGCGTCTCCTCCACGTTTCTACCTCGCGACTTGTACTATGATGATGGGCTAGAATAAAAAAATTGTTGACATAAATACTTGTGTTGATTTATTTGTCATCAATGAATTACTTTCGAATGAAAATTTACAATCGTTAGTGTTTGTTAAAATAGTCAATCGTATGCTTTCTTAAACATGGTAGAGCCATGCTGCGTTTTTTTTTATACGATATGGGTGACAAACTAGCACACAGTCCACCTGATGGTAAGTGGTTACTGCGGCCCATAGACATCTACATCTATCCTCTAATACAAATCAAAATGTAGATGCGTTGTCACCCGTGAGGACTAAGATGGAATGCCTCATTTCCAGTAAAAAAGGCCTCCGGCCACCTGCACTCACCAAGCGAAACGCAGAGGTAAACCTCTACTTCACGCTGGTTTTCTGTGAGGTCGTGGTGCTACCCCGGTTCGAGCTGGCCCATCCGTGCGACAGCAAAAGCTGCCGCGTGGCTCTACCACTGTTGCGTGCGGCTATGTCATAGTTTTAGTTCGAATGGGTCAATTCAACTGAGCAAGGACTGCAGTCTCAAAGAATACCAGCCTAAAATAGCAGCTTAATTATTGCTACTATATACTTTGTATGGAGAGTGTAGATAACCGGAGACCCTTTTTATTGGAAATAAAGCATTCCATATTAGTCCTCACGGGTGACAACGTATCTGCATTTTGATTTTTAATCGGTGATAGATGTAGATATATTTAGGCCACAGCATTCATTTACCATTCGGTGCACTGCGCTCATTTGTCACTATTATTCTAAAAAAAAATCTTGAACTAGAGAGCTTTATATTATAAGTCAATATGATTATCTCGGCTCGTGTTAACCAGGTGGAACTGAACCGCGTGCCGGCTGGTTGCTGGGCGCTGGTGGAGGGTATCGACCAGCCCATAGTGAAGACCTGCACGCTGGTGGCTGCTGACGAGGACGCTCCACTGCACACATTCCGTCCACTACGTTTCAATACGCATGCCATTGTCAAGATCGCCGTCGAACCTGTTAATCCATCCGAGCTACCTAAGATGCTGGACGGCTTAAGAAAGGTAAGCATTTTGTCTCTTTCTCTTCCCCGATCCCATGCGCCTGAACTCCAAACCGCCTAAAAGCTAGATGGCTAGAGGACGGTGAGCTTTTTTCTCTTTCTCTGTCTCGCACGTGTTCTTCAGTTATCAAGGTCCGAAGTGTCATTTATTCACCGATTGATTCACACACTTGTTCAAAGTGCAATTAAGGAGTTTATACATTGATGAGCTTGACTGCTCCGTGCTGCCAGTGGCTTAGCAATGAGTTGCAGCGCTAAGGGCCGTGGCCAAGTATTTGTAAAGCCTACAAAGAATTGTTTCGAGTCTAGATGTTTGTCCTTGTGAAGTTTATGTATTTAAACTGCCCCCATGATACAGGAAAAAATCCTAGTTTGGAGACAACGTTTTCAAAAACGTTATTAAAAAGAAAAAAAATACATTAAATTCGTGCTCCAAAGTTTACTAAACACAAAAAAAAAATATTTTGATGACAATAATCCTTTATGGTATGGAAGGAGCATGGAATGGTATCATTACAATTTATCACCAAGCTATGTTTTTTTAATGGAACATACGGCGGTTAAGTTATCACCGTCGTTCACGAACATCTGCAACACCAGCGGCATTGTTGGTTTTTTTTTCATATTGGTATGGAAAAATCGCTGGCGATGGTAAGTTCCATGGTGTGGTCGTGCGAGGCGAAAAGTTCCACATAATTCGCACGATAGTCGACCGCCAAGCATAGAGATAATTGTGCCGGACGGGCGAAGTTCGGGAGTAAATGTTGTCGACGATACTCCGCGAGTCGCTCACGTCCTACACCTATAGGTTCCGGTGGATACTACTGACTGACGTCCAATCAAAATGCACAAACTGTAGAATACAAATGGCGAGGCAGTGGCCAGTGGTTCGACTGCTCAACTATTCAACGGAAATCTTCTGTCTATTGGTTATTGACCACGGTTGTTGAATATGGTTGTTCAACTACGGTTGTTCTATATCGGTTGTTCACTATCGGTTGGTCAATATATTCTTCAGGTGACTATTTCTTCAAGTTGTTCAGTAGTAACTTGCTGCTACTAGTGCTCTCTGCTTTTATTATCACTGATTACTAGCTGCTATTATCAGCTACTATGTTGTACTACTATCACTGGTCACTAGCTGCTATTATCAGCTACTATGGTGCACTTCTATCTACTACTATCACTGGTTACTAGCTGCTATTATCAGCTACTATGGTGCACTACTATCTACTGCTATCACTGGTTACTAGATGCTATTATCAGCTACTATGTTGTACTACTATCTATTACTATCACTGGTTACCAGCTGATATTATCAGCTACTATGTTGCTTTACTATCACTTGTTACTAGCTGTTATTATCAGCTACTATGTTGTACTACTATCTATTAATATCACTGGTTACTCGCTGCTATTATCAGCTGCTATGTTGCTAGCTGCTATCTACTACTATTACTAGCTATACTATGTTGTACTACTATCACTGGTTACTAGCTGCTATTTTCAGCTACTGTTGCTGTTGCTAGTTACTATTCATTATGGTATATCTTCAGCTACTACTTGGTTCTGCTACTAGTCACTTCAGCTACTACAATGATACCGGGCCACGAGGCGCTAAAGTAGACTCGAGCTTTACTTTAAAGTGAGCCGCTTGCTATTGTCTGTTTTGCCTCTTTGTTTAGTATTTTGGCTATAGAATGGTCTTAATTCTAATTCTATTACTTGTGTGTGTGTGTGTGTGTGTGTGTGTGTGTGTGTGTGTGTGTGTGTGCGTGCGTGCGTGCGTGCGTGCGTGCGTGCGTGTGTGCGTGTGCGTGCGTGCGTGCGTGTGTGTGTGTGTGTGTGTGTGTGTGTGTGTGTGTGTGTGTGTGTGTGTGTGTGTGTGCGTGCGTGCGCGCGCGCGCGTGTGTGTGTGTGTGTGTGTTTGTGTCTATGCTTGCGTGAGTTAAAAAGAGTATGTGTGATTACAGTGTCTGAATCTGAACAAATCGTGCTACACAATCAAAAAGTAAGAAATAAGTTTCATCACGCTAAATATTCTTTTATTTCCTTAGTCTATAAACCTTAGTCTAATTAAATACCATGTTTAGCATGCAGAGCATGCAGTTCACCTGATGGTGAAGTGGATGCTGTGGTCCAACGGCATCTACATTTATCTTCGATTAAGAATCAAAATGCAGATGCGTTGTCAATCCTGAGGACTAAGATGGAATGTAATTAATAGAATCAGGCGTTACTTTGCGGAAATCCATTATTAATATAAATATATATAATATACGGAGTGACGAAAAAGTTATCACATAAAATGAAAAGACGTATGCTACATAAATTTCTTTAAACATACACAACTAAAAAAATATATAACAATTAATACATTAGCCGCGGTAGCATTTTTTTCGTTTCAATATTAAATAACATCATGTAAATGCATACAGATATCACCTGATGAATTCTAGAAGGTCAAAGACCCATGCCATTTCAAGGCGAATATAGGTAGTTTAAAGGTTATCAAACCTAACTACTCAAATAAAGAAAAAATCAAACAAAAACTGCACTTACGGCTAACAATTTAAGGCATAATTTTATGCGCGAAATTAAAAACAAAGGGAACGCACGCTGCAGGCGTATGAAAACAAAGTCAAGCGAAAAATTTACTTAAAATAATGAAGTTAAGGCATAATTCTCTACGCGCAAAGTGACAAGAAATGGGATCGGGTGTTAATATAAATTATTATTTTTCTGGCGCGTGCGACGTTTTGTAAGTCACTTCAGGTCAGTAACCTATATATCAAGGCTGATTTATTTCTTGTCAATATTTTACCCTATTTATTTTGTTTGAAAAATGCATTTTTTATTTTCTTTTATTATTGTTTATTTTATTATTTTAACAGACATATATCAACTTGTATTAACTGCTGTGCTATTTAACGTGATAACCTCGGCGCCACCCAGTATATAACGCGGATATTTGCGAAGTAAATTTTTCTAAAAGCTTTTATAAGATGGAATGCCTCCTTTTCAGTAAAAAGGTTATCCTGTACTCTACACTCAGCATACGAAACACCGCAGCAGTAAGCTGCTATTTTACGCTAGTGTTCCGTGAGAGCGTGTCCCTACTACGTTCGAGCCGACCCATTCGTGCTACAACCATACAGGATAACGCATGGGGCGCGTGGCACTCGTAGGTGGGCGCGACGCGTTCCAGCACACCGCGTACACACCTCACACCCGCGTACTTGGCCGGTTCTCACCGCTCAGAACATCGACTGATACGAGTAAAGCAATCAGAGGCAGGGATTCGCACTCCTCCCCTCGGACAGCGATTAGATAACTCAATAAACCTCAATAGAGGGGACATGATGATTGATAACAATACCAACTCATAAACCATCATCATCCTCATCCCCATCCTAATTGCCGCCTTTCCACTTTCTAAATAGCCCTGTGTCAAAAGATATAAGAGCCGCATAGGCTAACAGCGCCAACATGTCGAAAATAGAGAATGTAACTGCAGCGTGGCTGTACCACGTACACGTGGCACGTATATGTATAAGTAGATGAGTTGCGTGGTGCGTGCAGGTGAACAAGTCGTACCCGGTGCTGTCGACGCGCGTGGAGGAGAGCGGCGAGCACGTGATCCTGGGCACGGGCGAGCTCTACCTGGACTGCGTCATGCACGACCTGCGCAACATGTACTCCGAGATCGACATCAAAGGTATAACCAACTCTTTATGAAACTCAAAACTTTTTGTTCCTTTTTTATATAGAATAAGGGTGACAAACGGGCACATAGTTCACTTGATGGTAAGTGGATGCTGTGGCCCATAGAGATCTATATTTACCTCGATTAAGAATCAAAATGCAGACGCGTTGTCTATAATTATGTGGAATGTCGCGTATCCAGTAAAAAGGGTCTCCGGTTCTCTACACTCGCCATTCGAAACACAGCAGAATTAAGCTGCTCTTTTACGCTAGTATACTGTGAGAGCGTGGTCCTTTCCCGGTCGACCCGACTCATTTGTGCTACAACCATAACATAGCTGCTGCATGTTTCTACCGCGCATAAAATTTATTTTTTCATTAAAAGCGCTTCATCATCACTACAGCACTTCACAAGTCCACTGCTGAACAAAGGCTTTCCCCAAGGAATACCACAAAGCACGGCCCTGAACCACCTGCATCTATCCACTTCCTGCATCTCTTAACAGGTTTTAAGCTTTCTGGCAAGAAGCTTAAAATCCCTTATAAACATCAAAATCTACACTAGTTCGGAATAAAAGACTTTCAATAAGAAAAACTGGCATAAAACTCTGAATGGGTCAGGTGCTGTGCTTTGTAGAGATCCAAAGACCCTTTTTACGGGAAGTGAGGCATTCCATCTCTCTTTATACTGGATAACAGGTTAGTTAATCATTTCTCTAGCAATTACGGTAAATCATTCCGATAAGGGCCATTGGTCTGGATTCTAGGTCTCGCAATATCTGATGTTGCAAGAATTAGTATTCAGTAGCTATTTATTTAATTTTATCAGTTACTTATTATTAGTTTATTTAGCAGTAAGTTGATGGCGCTATTAATAAGTTGAAACTATGAAAGAAAAACTGTACCATCTAGTAATATCAGCGACCGTAAGTTGAGGTGCAAATTTTCAATTACTTACATCAGATTACAATAAGCCGATAGATAGCCAATTTAAAGAGCCTCTGTCTTAATTTTTTTTTTGTACACGGTATCGAGCATATCCGCTTAGTTAGTTATTTTGCATTGTCGCAAATCATCCCGCTAGTGGCCATTAGTCTGGATATTTTAAATTCTCAGCTCCTAATTCGAGGATATATGTATATGTCTTTGGGCCGCAGCACTAACTCATGGGAAATGTCATGCAGTTTTCAAAACCCTCCTTCAATTTTCTATACGATCATAATTTCCAGAGTTATTGATTCTCAAAGATGAAAAGAACTTTTTTGCTTTAATTGACGATAACTCCTCGACAAATCATCGTACAGACTTTTTGATTACATCTAATTAAAAGTAATTAGATGTAATCAAAAATTTTCTCTAAAATTCCTAAAAAAACTTTTAAGTGAATAATGAAAAAATATTTTTTTTCGGTAGTTTCCTTAGTATCACTCCAGAACCAAACATGACAAAAAATTTCAGCCATGCCAGATATGAAAACTAGATACTTGGAGCTACAATTTGCTTTTTATTCGTTGCTGGACGATAATTTTCCTCGGAGTTACAGCTTGTTGAAAATCACTCAAAAATTTAGAATTTTTATATATTTAATGTTTGTGACTAGTGTACATGAATGATCTATGATTATCTTAATTCCAAATGACGTCTCATTATCATACCTTTTCCAGGCGAAATATATATAGTATATTTATATACTACCGCCCCGGTTTCGCTTATAGTTATAAATGTAAAAAATTATATCAACAGTTGAACAGAGATCAGACTTAAGGTATATAGCTGTAATTTGACAGATGGGTAGATTATGTCGACGATCCGTGAAGTGCAGTCTGTGATCATATCCTCGATTTACTCCCTAATGCTAGCTCTTGTCGTGCCTTTTGTTACATACATACATAAACACTCACGCCTGTCACACAGAGGGGTAAGCAGAGACTACGGACTTTCATTTGTGACGATCCTGACACACCTCTCTCGCCTTCTCCACATCTATATACCTACGCATACATGCTCGTAGGGAAAGGGTACTCTTGATTCGGCCCATTTTTAATATATCGCCAATTTGGTTGATAAACTTTCGCCTAGGGCGTCCCTTTCCGACTCTGCCGTAACTTCTGCAACATAAATTTGCTTTGTCACTCCTTCCTCATTCATTCTTTCTACATGACCAAACCACCGAAGCATTCCTTTCTTAATCCTGGTCACAACATCGTCTTGTAAACAACATTTGTCACACAATTTTTCACCTTGTCATTCAGATTCAGTCCTAACATACTCCTTAATGACCGCATTTCTACACCATTTATTCTACTTTCATGCTTCTTCTGCCAGACCCAACTTTCAGTACCATACATTAAAGTAGGGACTAACACAGCACTTTGAATTGCCATATGTTCCTTATTTGGCACATTCTGCCTCTTCATGTTGTCTGCGTTCACTCGTCATTCTATATCTTTATCATATCATTTTAACAGTGGTAGAGCCACGCGGCAACTTTTGCTGTCGCACGGATGGGCCGGCTCGAACCGGGGTGGTACCACGACCTCACAGAAAACCAGCGTGAAGTAGAGGTTTACCTCTGCGTTTCGCTTGGTGAGTGCAGGTGGCCGGAGGCCCTTTTTACTGGAAAAGAGGCATTCTATCTTAGTCCTCACGGGTGACAACGCATCTACATTTTGATTTGTAATAGAGGATAGATGTAGATGTCTATGGGCCGCAGCAACCACTTACCATCAGGTGGACTGTGTGCTCGTTTGTCACCCTTATCCTATAAAAAAAAAAAAAAAAAAAAAAAAAATATCTACCATCCCTGCTAAATAAACATCCCAAATATACAAATAAACTCATCCACTTGCTCAATCAACTCCCCTTCTATTCTTATTTCACATAACGTATTACTTTTTTCTCTTTAAAAAACCATCTCTTTCGTCTTACTTGTGTTCATTTCCACAATAGAGCCTTTTGTTATTTATTGATTAATATTGTATTGTCTTGGTGGATGAGCGGAGTACCCAGTAATACAGGTTCCCAACCTAGTACAGGGGATCTTGCGATTGGTTTAAAATGTATCATTGCTTGCATTAATTTTTTTTCTCCTCCCGTGACCATGAGTGCTGTAAAGTGTCCGAAACATATAGAATTAAAAAAAGTTAACATTAAACGCGATAAATTTCGTAAAATTAGTTTTATTCCATGTGTAGTTCACGTAAATTTAAAAAATAATTACACTTCAAGTAAGCTTAAAATTACTTGTAATAAAAGTAGTTGACACAGTAGTCAAATGGCGGATTCAAACCCTTCTTTCCGAATTTTCCGATTTTGCAGTCCGAACCCTGCTGTCAGGCTACTGTCATTTATAATTACTTATATTTATTTATACTTTCAAAAAGTGTTTTTTATAATGTATATTGAATAAAAAGGTTTGTATTTATGTGTGGTGTGTTGCGTGCAGTGGCGGACCCGGTGGTGTCGTTCTGCGAGACGGTGGTGGAGACATCGTCGCTGAAGTGCTTCGCGGAGACGCCCAACAAGCGCAACAAGCTCACCATGATCGCCGAGCCGCTGGAGCGCGGCCTGGCCGAGGACATCGAGGCGGGCGCCGTCTGCGTCTCCTGGGACCGCAAGCGCCTCGGCGAGTTCTTCCAGAACAAGTCAGTATCAGTGCACGCGCCACCTGTACGGAACCAACCAACGTGCTAACGTGCTAGATCCACAATGCTGCTATATTATGCTTGTAGCACGAATGGGTCGGCTCGACCCGGTAAGGACCAAGCTCGCACAGAATACCAGTGTAAAATAGCAGCTTAATGCTAATTTGTTTTGTCTAGTGCGTGTAGAGAACCGGAGATCCTTTTTACTGAAAATGAGGCATTCTCATAGTCCATAGTGGCCACAATGCATTTACATTTTGATTCTTAATCGAAAATAGTCAGGTAGTCGTGGTATTATACGTGGTAGAGCCATGCAGCAGCTATATAAATAGTATAGTTGTAACAAGATTGGGTCAGCTCGACCGGGGAAGGACTACGCTCTCACAAAATACCAGCGTCAAATAGCGGCTTAACTCTGCTGTGTTTCGTATGGTGAGTGTAGAGAACCAGAGACCCTTTTTACTGTAAACGAGGCATTCCATCTTAGCCCTCACGGGTGGTAACGCATCTGCATTTTGATTCGCAAACGAGGATAAATGTAGATGTCTATGGGTCACAGCAACCACTCACCATCAGGTGGACTGTGTGCTCGTTTGTCACCCTATCCTATTAAAAAAAAAAGCTTGCGCACTTAATCAGTCAGCACAAGCAAAAAAAACAATAGGGTGCCTCTAGTACTGTTGTATATTTATGATTACCCTGATATTTGAAAAGAGTATCAAATTCAAAACTCAAAATGTATTGTCTTCCAATTTTAACACATGATCTCGGTCGATTTGTCATAAGTTCCGCGGGTAACAATAGACTATATGACGTCAGCATAAAATAGTTAAAGCACACACTGTAAAAAAAGTTGTGAATTAATAAAATCGTAATAGTGTATTAGAAATATTATATCACATTTATTAATTAATTAACTGCAGTAGGATTCTTTGCTTTTCAATAATAATTTATTTGTTCAAATTATTCACATACATTTTGTGAAACATTTTTGTTCATTGATATATTATAATAACATTTCGTTTTCACTTCAGATACGACTGGGATCTGTTGGCCGCTCGTTCAATATGGGCGTTCGGGCCGGACGCAACCGGGCCGAACATCCTTGTCGACGATACACTGCCGTCCGAAGTTGACAAGCATCTGCTCGCCTCCGTCAAAGACAGCATTGTACAAGGTAGTTAAATATAGTTAATAATATTTTTTACTAAGATTTTTCGCTTGGATGCTTGTCCTTTAAGCCATGTCTTTATTTCATTCGAGATCTTCGTTGTTATAGATTTCAGTATTTTTAACAGTGGTAGAGCCACGCGGCAGCTTTTGCTGTCGCACGGATGGGCTGGCTCGAACCGGAGTGGTACCACGACCTCACAGAAAACCAGCGTGAAGTAGAGGTTTACCTCTGCGTTTCGCTTGGTGAGTGCAGGTGGCCGAAGGCCCTTTTTACTGGAAATGGGGCATTCCATCTTAGTCTTCACGGGTGACAACGCATTTACATTTCGATTTGTAATAGAGGATAGATGTAGATGTCACTCACCATCAGGTGGACTGTGTGCTCGTTTGTCACCCTTATCCTATATAAAAAAAGTGATAATAATCCTTTATATGCTTAATATGTTGATGCGTCACATTGCTTAGTTTTTGGGAGATTTTGACGGCAACTTGAGCCAGCAGACAGTTGGCGATAGTATCTGAAGACGATTAAGCAGACAGACACCTTATCTTGAGATTTACATCACCATCAGAGCACCTGTTTCACCATTTCCACTAATAATAATGCACAGACATTTAATACACAAAATCACACCACTTTTACATATGAATATCCACTTCAAACCATTATTTAAATAATAATACAGAAGCAGCAATCCGTCACAGATCAAGTTCCCGTCAAAACCTCTCTCAATTTAACATGCGAAATAAGAATGCACAGATAATATTTAAATAAAAAGATGTGCCAACACACTATTCGTGAACGACAAGAAGAGTACTGTCAAAGTAACATTTCGATGCGCAATTCGTGTTAACTTCAATTACGTCACCATCACCATCATCATTATCGGACCACCAGACGCTCAGCTGGTCTCCACCCCCTTTTGTCGACACACCTTAAAGAAGGAATACAGTCAACTTCATAACCTCTTTACTTGTTGATTGTCGGTGGAAAATATTGTTGCGCGCCACTATTAATGTCTTGTACATGGCAACACTAGTTACACTAGCGCCCTCTAGTGTCGAGTAAATGAAAGTATTACGCGCCACTATTAATTATTTTTACATGGCAACACTAGTTACACTAGCGCCCTCTAGTGTCGAGTAGCAGAACTAGGAGAGTCGAGATCCTTCCAGAAATTTCGGGACCGATATGTACTCGAACATTCTAGATGTCGCTACAGTAGAAGGTTCTGGAAACTATCTGAGGCCCTATATAAGGCTGGTATAGACCACGACCGGGGCAGTATTGAATTGGCGATACAAGAGAATACTTCGAAGCGAAATAACGGCGAACTGTGTTTTATTATTAGTGTGATTTTAAGTTGTAATTAGTGTTGTGTAATTAAATAGTCAATTTTGGTAATTCACTCGGCAGTTTTTAATTATCTCGAATCCCAAGCTCGTAACAATATATATTAGCGTTTTTCATTCGTAGGTTTCCAGTGGGGGACGCGCGAGGGTCCGCTATGTGAGGAGCCCATACGCAACGTCAAGTTCAAGATCCTGGACGCCGTCATCGCGCAGGAGCCGTTACATCGTGGCGGAGGACAAATCATCCCGACAGCTCGAAGGGTTTGTTACAACCAAATAATATTATCTATCCGTCCATTACAGCGTCTTAAATAGGCATGCGGGTTAGCAGCTGCAGTTGTTTTTATAAATACGCTGCTGCCCATCTCCTAGTTTGTCTCCCCCTGTCGCCTCTTACGTCACCCACGGTACGATATGGGGTAGTGGATATTCTTACACCGCCACTACATCTTGCATCAACACGTGTCATATTATGCTTCGATTGTATTTTTCAATTTTATTTTTTATTCTAATTTCACAGAGCGTTAATGAATACCTTTTTGAAATAATTACAATTCAAAATAGCAACCATTTTTACCACGTTTCAAGTCCCTATCTATATTTGAAGTTTCAAATCTCTAACTCGTAGGGACGTTAGCTTAAAAACAATTGCAAAATTTGTACCCAATAGACAAGAAAGCAAGTTGGTAAAAACGTGCTAAAAATGCTCAAAGAACCTACCCCGTAACAGTACCCCCATACCCTCATAATACTGTTACCTCGATATACTACTAACTATGTATGTGATGTTTTCATTATTGAAGGTAGCGTATTCAGCGTTCTTGATGGCTACGCCGCGTCTGATGGAGCCCTACTTGTTCGTGGAAGTGCAGGCGCCCGCCGACTGTGTCTCCGCCGTGTACACCGTGCTCGCCAAGCGAAGAGGTACTGTATTACAATACCAGTAACAATACAATAGATTTTTTTTATTCAATATAGATTACATTTAATTTTTAAGGTTTGGAAAAATACTTCTGTCCTGGAAAGAACCGGCAAGAAAGGGTGACAAAAGAGCATACTGGATACCTGATGGTAAATGGGTGTTATGCCATACAAACTTCATATTAATTTTTCTCATTTAGATTTTAGATTTATTCATTTACTTTTTTATATTTTAATTAATTAGCTGTAAATTCGATCGGTTTCGTCTTATGCCATCATCAGGGTATATGAAACAAGCGAGAAGCAAGCACATGTGCCAATTAAATTTTTTTGTATATAGAATAAGGTTGACAAACGAGCACACAGTCCACCAGACGGTAAATGGATGCGGTTGTCCATGGACACCTACATCTATCCAATATCCAAAAATCAATAGTGTAGATACGCTGACACTCCTGAGAACTAAGATTTTTTTTATAGGATAGGGTGACAAACGAGCACACAGTTCACCTGAGGGTAAGTGATTACTGTGACCCATAGACATCTACATCTATCCTCAATAAAGACTCAAGATGCAGATGCGTTGTCACCCGTGAGGACTAAGATGGAATGCCTCTTTGCCAGTAAAAAGGGTCTCAGGTTCCCTACACTCACCATACGAAACACGTTAAGCTGCTATTTTACGCTGGTTTTCTGTGAGAGCGTGGTCCTTTCCCGGTCGAGCCGATCCATTCGTGCTACAACTATACTACTAATATAGCTGCAGCATGGCTCTACCACGTTGATAAGATTGAATATCTACCGTTTTTAATAAAAAGGGACTCAAATTTTCGGCATTCTATATATGAAATACAATATACAAACGCATTGTGTTTGTTTTTTATGTTACTAATATGCTTTGTTATGCTGGTTATATTGTTGTAATTTTTTTAATGTATACTTATAGAAGACTTTATTTAAATTAAATTATTTTATAAAACGGACTGCGGCCCGTTGAATAGGTAGGGAAATAATAGAGGTTCGATAATTAAGATTTGCTAGAAGAATAAAGTTTTACAATGAAATGTCTAAAATATAAGTGCAACAATCTGACATAGAATGTACATTTTATTAAGGAAACTCTGATATAAAACTCTACTATAAAATTAATCAATATATTTTATTGAGGACAAAGAAGTATGTTAATAAACTTTTCATTTGAAAGTATTGTTGCGCGCCACTATTAATGTCTTGTACATGGCAACACTAGTTACACTAGCGCCCTCTAGTGTCGAGTAGCAGAACTAGGAGAGTCGAGATCCTTCCAGAAATTTCGGGACCTATATGTACTCGAACATTCTAGATGTCGCTACATTAGAAGGTTCTGGAAACTATCTGAGGCCCTATATAAAGCCGGTATAGACCACGACCAAGGCAGTCACGATTGAATTGACGATACAAGAGAATACTTCGAAGCGAAATAACTGCGAACTTAATTGATCAGTAGTACAATTGTGTTTTATTATTGGTGTGGTTTTAGATTGTAATTAGTGTTGTGTAATTAAAGTGTCAATTTCGGTAATTCAATCGGCAGTTTTTAATTGTCTCGAACCCCAAGCTCGTAACAGTATGTTATATAATTGCATCATATATTTAAAAAATTGATATTTTAACAAATATTAACATTTAATATTGTACTGCTTTTTATACAATAACTTCCAAATTAAATTGTGACATGGCATTTAAAAAAAATTAAGACGCCAGAGTTTCTTGCCTGTTCTTCGGTATTTGTTCCGAGGTTTTCTGAGGTGTAAATTTTGATTAGTGTTCATAAAAACTTTAGCCTTAAATTCAGGAATAAAAAGTTTTGACTTGGAAAACTTGTTACTCATTTGCTTTACATCGTTCCCTACCATTATAAAATGTATAAAACGTGTTACAAAATACCCCGTAAAAATATAATTAATTATCAAAGCCAAAAATTTTGTCAACCCTAGTAAGCTGTCATGTCAGTTAACCAGATTATTTATCAGAAAGGCCTACGTACCTATTTTACCTAATAATCGTCCACGTTAATAGTTTTTCTATTTTTCATTCATTAATGTTTACTATCTCAATACAAGGATGTCATTATACTCAAGTACTGGCTTAAAAAAATGTCAAGTTGGAAAAAAATATATGTTGTCAATTTCAAATCTTCTAATCGATATCCTGCAACTGTTTCGAGTTTTTTTTTCCAACTTTTTTGTAAAATAATGATGCTTTCTAACTCGGAATATTACGATATGATGCTGTGCGTAGGCCATGAAGATAGCAATTTAAATCGTGCTCGCGAACTGTATCGGCAACGATTTATCGATGGTAGACCCCCCACTGAACAGCGACGGCTGCCTTCGTTCAGTGTTTTCTGAACATGTCAAGACGACTACATTCCACCGGCTCGTTTCATCGGTCTACTGGAAATGGACGTCCAAGCACAGTCGACGCCAGGCAGGCTGAATTAGTGTTAGAGCATTTTGAAGAAGAGCCGACCACAAGTATGAGACGAGCCGGAACAAGATTCGGTATAAACCATGTTGCAGTTTGGCGAATTCTTCGTGACGACAATCGTCACCCTTTTCACTATCGCCGTACACAGAAGCTGATACCTTCCGATTTTGCACCCAGGAGGAACTTCTGCGAGTGGTACCTCAGGCAGTTAGAGGGAAAGGGAAACCCTAATTACGTAAACTATGTTCTTTGGACGGAGGAGGCAACACGAGGTCAGGACTTCCAAATATGCATAACGATCACGTTTGGGCTCGCGTGAATCCACATGCTTCACGGCAGGGCAGATTCCATCACCAGTGGCAGCTGAATGTGTGGGCTGGCTTTTATGACGGGCATGTCATCGGTCCCTTCATTAAGCGTCTCCCACACAGAAGCGGCTTGCGGTGGCGGCCAGTTGTATTCGCTTGCAATGTAAGTGAGTCTGCAAGCCCGTGCGGCCGCATGCCCCGCACCCTCCGCCTGTTAGCGAACGTGCGGCCTCTAGCGGTAGCTAGGGGCCGCAGCGCGGTTAGTTGCAAAGTCTGAAAACAGGCCGCGCGTAGCGCGTAAAAAATTGTGCTAAATTCAAAGATTTTGATAGAAACAGTGCAAAATTATCCAGTACTTTATGGTAATTCACATCGTGATTACGAAAACATTAGGAACCAATATATGTGATAATATTGCTGAATATAATAAAATTTCGTCTCGGTTAGTCGTGTTACTGGCGTCCAATCGTAGCACAGACACCTCAGCGAATGGCGTTTCAGGCCGCCGCTGTGACCGCGGTGGTGTGTTGTTGCAGCGGCTGGAGCCGCGGCTCGTGGTTAGCCGCCACCGCAAGCCGCTTCTGTGTGGGTGACGCTTTATGCCATCATGTCTGAACGGTAGCTCCTATCTAACGTTTTTACAAACGGAATTCGAAGAGGCGATTGACGACTTTCCTGTGGCTGACTGGGATTAATTTGAAAACCAAAGAAACATGGTGTTTCAGTATGATTCAGCTGCGGCACATTTGCTCGCAACGTACGAGAACATCTTAGCGTTCGCTTTCCGCGAGGATGGATCGGCCGCGGGGGACCGGTGCTATGGCCTGCTCGTTCTCCGAACCTCACACTCTTGGACTTCTTTTTGTGGGGTTATGTGAAGGACAGAGTGTATTTCTCAGATTGTCCAACGGTTGCCGAGATGGAACAGCGTGTTAGACCGGTTTTCGCATCAATAACACACTACATAATAACACTGACGGTGTTGCGAAATGGCACACAAGCCATATCCCGACGAGCGAAGTTGTGTATTGAGCAAGACGGAGCACACTTTGAGCCGTTTCTGTAAATTTGACGTTTATTATGAAAAAGTAAGTGTTCGTTTAGGTTGTTTCGTTAGATTAGGTCTTTTAAAATTTTTGTCGTTCCGCGAATTAGGTAGAAATGTAGGTTCATTCTGCGTAGTATACTAATTAATTTTACTGAAATAGGGTTTGCACATCAGTGAAAATAATATTTTTTTATTTTTTGGGGTATGTTATACAGCGTTACTACGGTTCTTAAATATTGTGAATGGACTCGTTATAAGGCCCCATTTAACCTCATTTCGGCTTTACGGGTAGTTTTGTAACAGCCTGTGTATATGTAAAATATATTTATTCAAATATAATTTATTTATTACTTTGTCTCGCAGGCCACGTGACGCAGGACGCCCCTGTTCCCGGGTCGCCACTGTACACAATCAAGGCTTTCGTGCCGGCTATCGACTCGTTCGGCTTCGAGACGGACCTGCGCACTCACACGCAGGGGCAGGCCTTCTGCCTCCAGGTCTTCCACCACTGGCAGATCGTGCCCGGAGATCCACTTGACAAGAGCATTGTTATAAGGTGAATATTTATATATCAGGACCGATAAAGAAAAACAATAGAATAGAATGTTTTTTTGGAACGAAGTTTTGGCGAGTACAGGTGTAAGATTTTTCCGTCACGATCCCTTCTGACGTAGTGTAGAGGGCCTTGGCGGCTTCAAGGAAGCGAAATGGAATAATATCCATCTCCCTCGCACTTTTTCTTATCTTGCCATGAAAGAAATATTATTTTATTTTAAATGACGCTTCATTTTAATAGACGCTAGTAATTCATTTATTTGTATTTGTTAATGAATAACATAATACGTTTATTAATAATAATATACAACGAAAGGAACTTCGTTCCAACCGAGTGTGCGACGACACTCACGCATGTTTTTTATTCAATAACAAGTAATGAAGGCTAATAATTTTACGCTCACCAGATGTCGCTAGTTGGGACTAAGGTGAACTTATTTGTTATGAAGGTAACACAGTGCCATCATCATTGAACTTTTCGGTTTCTAGTGTATGTGTATATATAAAAGATAGCCTCAGTGCTTTATTCTTTAATTTTGTACACATTTTTTTAATTCTTTTACTTTTAGGAATATCAATATTTTTTTATCTATTTCTCTAACCTATTCAATATAAAATTTAACTAATATATCAGAAACAAACATTAATCTTTACACTTCTCAAACAAATTAACTTCCCCTGCTATGAAATCTGTCAAATATTTCACTTCATTACTATGTAAAGCCGTCCTGGTGGCTGAAAAGTTATGGATATCATTCTTATTGAAAGTCATTTTTATAAACGTTATCCCCACACTAGGATTTTCTCCTGTATCGTGGAGGCAGTTTACAAACATAAATTACTTTGTTATGTGGTAGAGCCATGCTACAGCTATATTAGTAGTGTAGTTGTAGCACGAATGGGTCGGCTCTACTGGAGAAGGACCATGCTCTCACAGAATACCAGCGTAAAATAGCAGCTTAATGCTGCTGTGTTTCGTATGGTGAGTGTAGAGAACCGTAGACCCTTTTTATTAGAAAGAGGCATTCCATCTTAGTCGTCACTGGTGACAACGCATCTGCATTTTGATTTATAATCGAGAATAGATGTAGATGTCTATGGGCCGCAGCAACCACTTACCATCAGGTGGACTGTGTGCTCGCTTGTTACCCATATCCTATAAAAAAAAATAAAGCTGCAGCGTAACTCTACCACGTAAAACATATTTCCAGACCTCTCGAACCCCAGCCGGCGACACATCTAGCCCGCGAGTTCATGATCAAGACGCGACGGCGCAAGGGTCTCAGTGAAGACGTCTCAATCAACAAGTTCTTCGACGACCCCATGTTGCTCGAACTTGCCAGACAGGATGTGCAACTAAACTGAAAATCATTTGAAGTCTTTCTTTGAGACGTAAACTATAAGGAAAATATATATAAAAATATTTTAAGTACATACTGAATGTTTTTTTTTTATATTTGACAAAACGGTGAACAACGTCCCCTCTATTAATAATAAGGATTATTGCTTCCTATTTACATCAGCTCATGAAAAGTTGACTGTTATAGCTGCTGTCCGTTTCATACTGTCCTTTATCTTTATATATACAAGGGTTCTTTTTCAAAGAGTAGCCAAATTTGAAACTTAAATTCAAATATATAAATAATTATATACGGTTGTTGCAGTTTTTGAAAATACGAGTAAATAAGGTGCCCACTTTTTTTGACAGTATCCCAAATTGAATGTGATTTATGGGTAACAACTACGCGTATACGCACGCTCCTCTGTATGCGATTCAATTCACAACGTTTTTGCCGACCGATCGACCCTTATGAACGTGTGTGTGCGTAGTAAAATAGTAGGCGTTAGATATTTTTATGAATTACAGTCAAAATAATGCATTATCACACAGAAGGACAAAATGTTTGAGATTTTTTTTGATTAATTTTTCTTACCATTTGCCTATATTACTTATTCTGAACCTTCTCTGCAAATTTGACTGGTTGTTGCAAAATAACTCTGTATAATTCTTCTGTCCGTATGTATGTGACTGAACTCCTAAACGGCTGGACCGATTTTGATGAAATTTGATGTGCGTGATTAAGTTGATTCGAGAAGTTTAGGTTCACAATTGGGACCGGTAGGGGGCGCTATTGTCGAGATCCAGAAATCGCCCGTGCGAATCTGGGTCAAATCGCTAGTAATATTATAAAAAATATAAAATAATTCAAATACAATATAACTAGTGATATAACAGTGGTAGAGCCACGCGGCAGCTTTTGCTGTCGCACGGATGGGCCGGCTCGAACCGGGGTAGTACCACGACCTCACAGAAAACCAGCGTGAAGTAGAGATTTACCTCTGCGTTTCGCTTGGTAAGTGCAGGTGGCCGGAGGCCCTTTTTACTGGAAATGAGGCATTCCATCTTAGTCCTCACGGGTGACAACGCATGTGCATTTTGATTTGTAATAGAGGATAGATGTAGATGTCTATGGGCCGCAGCAACCACTTACCATCAGGTGGACTGTGTGCTCGTTTGTCACCCTTATTCTATAAAAAAAAAACTAGTATAACGAACCTCAATATAACAATTTCCTCGATTTAACAAATTTTTGTAGAAATCTAGAACTGGCCGTAAGAGTTAATACAAAATATACCTTTACATTAAGAATAACTTGTAAAAACCTCTTTATATCAATTTTTTAATCATTGCAAAATATAAATAGAAAGTATAACTAACCTCTACATAAAGTATTCTACCAAACCATCTAACAAGAATTCATGTCTCGACAGGTTCAGACACGTTCAATACATCGTAAGACTTTACTTTTTTTTAAGTTTGCTTACCTTGCTAAAGCGAATCTTAGACCAATCTAACCTCTATATAACAAACTTCATTGTGACTAATTACTTGGCATAACTAATATTTTCTAATCTCCTTCAGATTTGTTATACTTGTCAAGGTCGTACTGTCTTGACCTTATGTGTTATTCTGGAAATGGCAGTTTAGCATGGGGATAAAATTAATTAAATTATCTAGGCCGGAGAGATCCAATTTCTGGTGCGGTATGGATTACCAGAGTGATGGTAAAAACGGTTTGTTGGTTTAAATGACCAACTGGTGATTCAGAGTTATTAAAAGGATGATTTTACGTAGATTACGAACTGTGTGATGCGGTGAGAGTATACTATCTCGCGATACTGCAAATGTCCCTAAATTCGGGCTTCAGGAAGGATGTGAAGGAAGGCATGTGCCCTGTACTGTACCTGGACTTCTGCTAATCTGTACCATGTCTCCAGACGCTGCGGAAGTTGGTTGGATGCCGCCTGTCTTCACACATAATTTTCACAGATTATTGCGAAATATAGCGTTATTGCAAATGTCTTTACACTTTGTTATGTTCTTGTACAGTTTAATATCTAAACCACACAAAGGCTGAAGCGAGTACGCAAAATAAGCGGTGCGGTTAGATTTTGACTTGGGAGCTTGTGAGAACAGAGTGCACATGGGCATAAAAGGCGGTAGATAGGAAACCCGGAAATGGGCTTTGCACTCCCATTGGATAACAATTAACGAATCTCATAAGCGTTAGGCGTTAGTTGCAAATTGGCGTGAACATAACATATCTTTTAAATAGCAGTAATTTTAACAATTTACGTAGTGTAGAATCTTGGGATTTCGCACTAAGTTCGCGCTTTTAAAGCGCGCCATAAAACGGCCTAAAATCGAGATGCGAATAAAGCTCAAAGGTACGAACTACGAACAGGTTCTACAATATGCATTCGCACAATGTTCGCGTAAACTAATCATGGGGCATTATAGATGAACATAAAAATAAACATCGACGTTTTTTTTCGACCATTTCGTATTGTGCCGTCGATCGAAGGACCGTGTAATCGCAGTGTAAGTATATCCACTACCCCATGTCGTTCCGTGAGTGTTTTAAGGCCGGCCACATACATACGGAATTCCGTTTCGATATTCCGATTCGGAATTCCGAACGAAGCAAGTTCATATATAATCTATGATCCGTCACACGTACGGTAGTTTTCCGTTCGATATTTTGCGGGCAAAACGTGATTCCGTATGTATGTGGCCGGCCTAAGAGGCGACAGAGGGAAACAAACCAGATGGGTACGCCCGTACCGTCTTCCTAGAATAATAACTAATAATAAAAACTGCGGTTACGCGTGGATAGGTCAAATATTCTCTTTATGGGAAAATTTTTAGGGAGGCCTATGTTTAGCATTTGACTTTTAATTATTTTTTTTTATTTGGAGTTTATGGCCTGGCATCTAGACCTTTAGGCCAATTTTACTATTAATATGTAACGGTAACGTTGCCATTTGCCAAAATTTGGAATCGTTTGCTTAAAATGAAATGACAGTTTTAAATGAGCGTTATTTTTAAAGACTCTTTAATAAATCAAAATCAATTTTTATTTAGTCTATCCTAATATGATGAACTGGTTATTGACAATTTTTTTTTTCAGAAACAGAAACAAACTTTTTTATTCAATATAGATTATAAATAATATTTATTGAAAGTCCTTCTTTTGTATAATTACCACTGGTTCGAAAAACAACCTCTGTCCTGGGAAGAACCAGCAAGAAACCCAGCGGGACTTTTTTTTTAATAACAGCTTATAATTGGACTCGTTTTAACGGACACTTCTAAAACAGAGACGGTTCTCCCTCTATTCTATACTCCATGCTTGGTTATAGCCAACTTCTTACTAGTTTGTGGTTATAGCGTAGATAGAGAATTTTAAGATACTAAGTCTATGGGTTATAAACAGAAACAGATACTCTATGACAAATGCCATTTAACCAGCATTCCCCAAATTGCGGGGAATTTAAAGTTGGTTGGGGATTTTTTGGGGATAGGTTTTATGCAGGTAAAGTGCGCGAATTTTGAAAATCGAAAGCCTGAGCCAAGACAGAACCTTTTTCAAGAAATCTAAAACTTATCTTTATATTTTTTTAGATTACTTATTAATATCGAATGACTCCCTTTTTTAATTATCTTCATTGCACCACATTTAATTTTCGGATTCATTTCGGCAACTTTTGTGTATTACTTAATGCTTTTCATTTCTTTATTTTTTAACTTTAAAGCAGAGAACCCTACGCATATAAATGCAGAAACTGTGTTACTTTTTAATGGAAACAGGAGAAGGAATTAAAAACACTCTATGGAGTAAAATTCTTGTTACAAAAATATGAAAAGTGTGAAAAAAAATTCGGTAAAATAAGAAAAAAAATGTTAGCTAAAAAATAAATTTTATAAAATTGGTTGAAAATTGTTTTGTTTCTTAAAATAAAATTGAAGAGAATTCGTGTGGAATCTTGTGGAGATTTGTCCTTAAATTGGGGAAAACGATATGGATTTTCGGGGAATTTGACAAATCGGTGATGGCAACGCTGCATTTGACAATCATCAATCACCAATCAGCCATGCGCAACCTAAACGTAGTGATTATATTCTCTTTGGCGCAACCAACGACAAGCAGAACTAAGGGTATTAGTGTTCTGTGAGCACTGAGCAAAGAGTATAATAAGTATATACAGGAAGCACTGAGCAGAACCCTGTCTTTTATTCTTTGGCAGAACCTCTCGAAGTCGAAGTCTCGTAGGATGGATATATTTCTCATAAAGTAGTATATTTCTAATAAAATGAAGTTATATGGAAAATAAAGAAATCGGCGTATCTATACAGAAGTAATTGCACTAAAATCACTTAAATTTCTTGGAAGAAATAAGAAACAAATGTGATGGAAATGGATAAATCTAACCATGTTGAAATCAATGGTGATCGCTTCGTGCATCGTTTAAAAGAATTGACAGATGCAGAGAAACAGTGTCTAGAGAGTCAAAACATGCGCATTATTCCTAAATTAAAAGCAGCGAAATTAGAAAAAGATGCAAAACGCCATTGGGATATTTTCTACAAACGTAATGAGACGAAGTTTTTTCGTGACCGGCACTGGACTACACGTGAGTTTCAAGAATTAATTAACTTTGATCCAGATGAACGTATCTTTTATCTAGAGTTAGGCTGCGGAGTTGGCAACATGATATTTCCCCTTGTTGAGGAAGGATTCTCGAATTTTTATTTCTACGCGTGTGACTTTTCACCACGTGCAGTCGAGTTTGTCAAGCGAAATAAGCTCTACGATGATAACCGAATGAAAGCATTTTGTGCCGATCTGACTACGGATGATTTGTTTGATAGCGTTACTGAAAATAGTGTGGATCTTGCAAGCCTCATCTTCGTTCTATCCGCGATCGATCCCACTCATTGGTCACACGTTGCCACGGTGGCTTATAAAGCCCTAAAGCCTGGCGGCATGCTTTTATTCCGAGATTATGGTAGATACGATATGGCGCAACTACGCTTTAAGGCAGGACATAAAATATCTGACAACTTCTATATGCGGCAGGATGGTACAAGGTAATTTTCTAAACTTTGTATTTTAAGCAACTTGTTATATTTAGATTTTTTTTTAATACTTAGAATAAGGGTGACGAACGAGCACACAGTCCACTTGATGGTAAGTGGATGCTGTGGCCCATAAACATCTACATTCATCCTCGGTTAAGAATCTAAAAGCAGTTACATTGTCACATATATGATAAACAGCATTTAGCTGCTGTTTTACTCTGGTATTCTGTGAGAGCATGGTCCTAACGCAGTCTAGTTGACCTATTCGTTCAACAACCATAAAAGCTGCAGCATTGCTCTACCACCTTTAAATGACATGTCATATTGTCACTTTTCCTTTTTTTTTTACTTACAAGCCAGTGCTTAACTGCAATCCCACCTGTTGGTAAGTTGAGATGAAGCCCTAGATAGTGAATCGTATTGTCTTAGCAGAATAAAAGCCTATTCACTCCTGCCTTGAAGAGTATGTGTTATATTATGTTGTAATTGTATGAAAAGAGGGGTGCCAGTATATTTATCCACTCAATTACAGTATGCATTACGAAATATTGACAATGAAGGGTTGAAGGCCTGGTAATCAACTTGTCTGGTGGTGAAAAGGGAAGGGAGGTATTAATGCATGTCATTCCTAAATATTATTTAAAAGCTTACTTAAATTTGAGTAAATTATGTTAATAGATAATTTTCTTGTCTACTTATGTTCATAAACATGCCAAGGTTATTTTAATTAAAAATGACAGCCCATTGGTTATGAATGTGAAATGAGAACTCAAAGGTTGTGGGTTCGAATCTGCCATTTAACTACTGTTGAACCACTCCTAACACAAGCATTTTAAGCTTACTTGGAATGGTTAATAGGAACACTATTAATGTACATTAAAAAAGCATTAGCAGTATTTTTTCTAAAATAATTAAATGGCTCTTGTTTGTTATAGGAGCTATTATTTCACTGAGGAGGAACTGCTGAAACTATTCATGGAGACAGGCTTTGAGATCATTATGAACACTTATGTTCAGCGTCGAACTGTCAACTTTAAGGAGGGCATTGATGTGCCCCGTATATTTGTCCAGGGGAAATATAGGAAGCCTTTGGAAGGTAATTTTCGCTATAATGCAGTCAAACTATGTAATAATTTTCATATGTTACCATTATATGACGTGTCAACATATTCCATTCTTTTATATTATACATTTTTAATTCTGTTTGGCTGTTTAGAACATCAGAAATATTTTTTTTGCTCTATATTTTATTAATGTCCAAAAAGACATTATTTATTTAGGAAAATGTATTCTGCAATTAGTCTTCAAATGATGACAAATGCTAACCATTGATGTTGCAGTGATTTTGCATGTATATTAGCTCTATCTGAATGTTATTTAAGGCTGCTTTCTTTATATATTTGAATGATTTTATTACTAATGTTAAAAAAATGTTACAGGGAAATCTATTAGCACCTGTGAAGGATGACTATGCAGCATAAAATAATGGTAAGTAATAAGATAAATTAAAAATTATGGAATCAAAAAAATTACTTGATCATTAAAAAAATTATTATATCTATATTATCTGAGCCAAATGCTGCTAGGAATGTTGATCTGTCAGTGTAATTGTGCACACAAGTTTTGAGTACTGAGAGTAATAATTATATATAATAGAAAATTATAGCACAATCACTGACCAGTAAAAAAATTTAACAATTGAGCAAGGGGATTTGTTGTTAATCACTATTTCAGCTCTTTCTTACAAGCAGACCTAAAATGCATACTGCTTATGTTATAACAGTAATGTCACTTATATAGGAATCTTGGCTGGTTTTAGTCAGGATGTGTGTTTATATGGGACTAAACCATTCCCTGTGACCCAGTTTTATTTTAATATGATGACAGCGCAGTGCAGCTGAAAATTTTCAGTTACCTCACAATGGTTTTTTAATGTAGAGTAGGTTTTTTTAGTATAAATTTTGAGGTTGGTAAAATTTTCTTTTAGTTTCTTTCTTGAATTTTTCATTAATTTTTAGTCTTGTAATTTTTTAAATTTGTAGATTAGGGACACCAGTTGTGAGGGTTGATGCAGAATTTTGCCTAAAGCAGTCTGACATAGTTTTACCAACACTGAGTTTTGTTTTTGCACATAAGAGGTTAAATAACACATATTTTTTCTTATTGCAGATTACATTGGTGTGGCTTAATTTTTTTTAGGTAAGTTAATTTTTTTAAATATCTTTTTTGAGTGAGCTGTCAGGGGTTAAGCCCTTATTATAAATATCACAGCCCAGGTTCGATCCCCACTGGAATCAATGAAATTGTTAGTTGCAATAAAGTAAAGTGTATATACATTTTTAATTAACTACACATGGCAAAATGGAGATATATATTTAAGGTGAGAGGTTAAAAGTTGCAGTTCATCCTCATCATCATCATTACAGCCTTTTATAAGTCCACTGCTGAACATAGGCCTCCCCCAACTAATGCCACAAAGCATGGTCCTGAGCCACCTGCATCCATCGACTTCCTGCATATCTTACCAGGTTGTCACTCCATCTCGTGGGGGGTCGCCCTACACTTTGCCTACCGGTACGAGGCTGCCACTCAAGAACCTTTCTTCCCCATCGGTTGTCGGTTCTTCGAGCTATATGGCCGGCCCACTGCCACTTCAGCTTACTAATCCGTTGGGCTATGTCGGTCACTCTGGTTCTACTGTGGATATCCTCATTTCTAAGTTTATCACGCTGAGAAACTGGGCATAGCCCTCTCCATAGCTTGCTGAGCAACCTTGAGCTTCCTCATATGGCCAAAAGTTGCAGTGACATTTAGATAAATTTCCAAATAACTTTTCTATTATATTATTGAACTTAAGTGATGATTTCATAGTTCATCTGACTGCTATGATGCATTGTTTATTTGTCTTTCGCTCCTATCTGATACAATTTCATACATAAAAAGTAGCTATAAATTATGTAGATCATTTTACAGCACATGATTTTTATTTTCAGATTTCATCATCATCATCATAATTACAGCCCATCACAAGTCTGTAGCTGAACAATATCCAAAGAATGCCACAAAGCATGGTTCTGAGTCAACTGCAACTGTCTTGGATTACAAAATGGGCACATAGAGTTAAAAGGCAAGAAACCAATTATCATATTTTCTTTGATACTTGTTGTACTCAAAATACAATCTTGGATGGTAAAAAGTTACATGTAGATAAATTCCTGAATTGTCCAAATATTTCTGTTATTTAACTTGATGATGATTTCATAGTTCATCTGATTGCTATGATGCATTCCTTATTTGTCTTTCGCTCCTATCTGACACAACTTTATACGTGCGAATAAGCTACAAGTCATGCAGATCATCTTATAGCACATTTCTTTTATTTTCAGATCTGAATATCAAAAAGTGAGCACAAGGAGTTGAAAGGTGAGTTACCATTATTATATTTTTTTTTTACTCTAAATAAACTCATGATGATTTCAGATAGGGACATCTGAATATGATGCTGTTAACATAACTATCTATACTGAGTAGTTTATGCTCCTTACTTATAAATTCCTTGCATTTCTAGATTTAAAGAATTTTTTTTTGTTGCAGAAAAATATGGAGTAGTCAAATGTATTTTGTGGAATAATCAAATATTCAGCCAAATTCAAGGTAATTTATATTATTTCTAGTTTCTAATCATACCATAGCTTCTTTCTTACATCTAAAACATTGTTAAAATACTTGTAAGCCTGAAACTAAGAGGAGAGGAAATCTAAGAGGGTTGAATAAATTGGCTTTTAAAAAATACTAGTTTCGTTTCTTTAGTTTTTTTTTTTCAATAACCTAAATGATGATTCTTGATAGGGACATCTGACCAATTATGCTGTTAAAATAACTATCTCTACTGATAAAAAAATCTAATTGTAAGAAATCTATAATATGTGTTTGTAAATACTTAAAAGACTTTTTTTCAATTGTTTCAGACTATACTATGTTACCGACTATTGTTGCATTCAATTTTTATACTAGGTAAGTGTAATCATATTAAAAACCAAAACATGGATTTTAGATTTGTTCATCTTGGTTTGGATTGGATTTCTGTTAAAAGTGGAATAGGGGCAATTGATTTTTTAAGCAATTAATTAATGATTCATATAGTCGTAAGGGACCGTTCAAGTATTACGTAACGCAATTTTTGAAGATTTTTGACCCTCCCACCCCCCTATGTAACGCGCCGTAACGTTTATATAGACCCCCCCCCCTCCCCCTCTCTAAACGTTACGTAACACCCAAGTGACCATTTTTACCTAAAAGTCACAATTACTTTGCGCAAATTACCGGAAAGTCGCTAAAATAACTTTTTTATTGTTTTAATCGCGTTTGCGGTAATCTATAATATAAAAATGAATCGCTGAATGTGTTGCTAAGCGCAAATCTCGAGAGCAGCTAGACCGATTTCGCTAATTCTTTTTTTATAATTTTTCCTGAAGTACTAATATGGTTCTTACGGAGAGAAAAGTTTAAAAAATTGCCTGAAAAAGTATAAAAACAACACTTTTCTATATTCCCAAACAAAAGATTCGTAACAATACTTAAAAGGCAATTTGAACTTTAACACCATACCAATAAAGTTTAAGTGTTAGTGGAGGGGTTCCGGGAAGGCAAAACAATTGAGTGACGTTATTATCGTATAAATATAATATTTGTTATATGGCAGCGAAACCTGGGTATGCCAGAAGAAGCATAAAAGCAAGTTGAATGCAGTGGAGATGCGATCTCTTCGTAAAATGTGCGGCGTTACCATGGCCGACCGAAAGCGAAACGAAGAGATTCGCAATATGGCAGGTTTGAAAGATGACCTTATCACAAAAATTGATAAGGGCGTGCTTCGATGGTTTGGGCACGTTGAGCGAATGAGTGAAGGCCGAATGGTGAAGAAAATATATAGTGCGAAAGTAAATATTAAAAGGTGTCGAGGTAGACCGAGACTAACTTTCGAAGACCATGTGAGCAAATTGCTCAAAGAGGGGAGGGCCAAGAGTACTCGGATACCTAGACGTGCATGTATGAAGAAGATAATGAATCTGAAAGAAGCGTAAGAGGTATGTAAGGATCGTGACACTTGGCGATCTGTTCTCTCTGGCTACCCCGTCAGGGATTGTGCGTGAAGGTAAATAAATAAATATAATATCTTATCGTATCGTATAAATATTTGTCAATATTTCTACGATGGTAACATTGCGGTACGAAGTTCGACGGGTCAGCTAGTAATAAATAAAACGAGATTTCTTCCTCGCAATACATTGTTGATTGTTTATTTTATTTATTCATATTGTTATTTAATAAACAATCACACAATGTAATAAACTTTTGATTAAGTTTAAAATATGTTAAAATGGGCTCAAATCAGTCCTAATAAACTTTTACTACTAACCTTACATTTAATTACGCCGTATAAAAATACGTATGTATAAAACTTGGCCTTTTCCTTACATACATTTTATTAAATAAACTCTTAAAATAAAATAACATATTTATTTTTACCTTTGGCAATGCAATGTAAAAAACAAACAAAAACCTGTGTCTGAAGTCGATTCTTTGCTGAACAAAGTCTCGGATTGGGGGCGACTAAATCTAGTCCAGTTCATTCCCCAGAAGACACAAGTTTGCGCGTTTACCGCTAAAAAGAACCCCGTGTCCTCAGTTTCAAGGCACTACCCTTGCTACCTCAGCTAGCATCGGAATCCTCGGCGTCAACCTAAACGAAAAGGGTTGCTAACTTGGGAGATTTTAATTCCCTTGTTTTTTTATTTAAAATAAAAAAATGTTACGTAACGCGTTGGTCTAACCCCCCTCCCGCCCCTGTAACGCATCGTAACGTTTTAGAAGACCCCCCCTCCCCCCAAATTGCGTTACGTAATACTTGAACGCCCCCTAAGTAGTAGTAGTAATACTCTATCTTTTATTTAATATTATATTATAACTAATACAGTGTCATAATCTTCCTGTGGAGATTTTGCTGTAATTGTGATGGCAGGTGACATGGTGGTCAGTACCAAATTGGACACTTAATGCTGCTTTCTTTGCTCTGCCTGGTTTCTTCTCTCTCTGGCTAGGTGTCATTTGATCATTTCGACACTAGCTATTAGGCTAGTTGCAGTAGGTAAGGGTTAGGGGTTAGAATCCGCCATTCTAATAATATCGTGAACCACTCCCAGCATTATATTACCTGGAGTGTTTAACGGAAATATAAATTATGTTGATATTTAAAAAAAAGTTATAATATTATGATGACTACGTTATTCACCTGAATTTTATTGATGAACATTTTTATACAGGTTCCGCTGTCTGATAAGATCTAGGTGTTTGGTATATCAACTTACATGATTTATTTTGGTATTTATGATATAATTTTTGTTTCAGATATCATAGTATATTGGAAAAAAAATTGTGTAAGTATGACAACATATTATATTTTTTGAATTTATCTGAAGGCATATCTCTATATGAAACACATGAAAAAGTTTCTGCTGCCAGCTGCAACCAATTTCTACCTCACTTATGCCTCATTAGCTCATTACCAATAAAAAGTAACTCAGGTACTTGTCAATCACCTTATGAAACAGTAACATTATGTTACACGTAGCAATGATATTTTCTTTCGAATTAAAAATGTATTCATTTAGTTCGAAATATAAAGATATTTTGTAGGGAACTCGTGATAACTTTGAATTATAGAGATGTTTGAATTAACGATAGTCGACTGTATCATGTTTGAGTGCAGTACCTATTTTTCGATGCATTGGAAGTATTGCAGTGCCTCGACTCCATGTAAATATGATGACCAGACCATTCAGGTCTCCCTCAACAGAGCGAACCCACTAAACCATGTTGACCAAACTTACGCGTCTGATAATTTTATCTTTAAATTAATTTGTTTTTTTGAAATTCCTGATTTTTAAATAAATAATTTATTTTTCAGGAAACATCCTTATTGCATATGGGAGATGCTAAAAATGAAAGTTAATAAGTGCCATTTGTGTGTCACATGTAAGTATGCATTATAAAAAAAAACTAATAATTATAATACTCTTTTGTTATAAACAAAATTAAATGATGACTCGACCATTCAGGTCTCCCTCAACAGAGCGAACCCAAACAACCATGTTGACCAACCCTATACGTCTGATAATTAATATAATTTAAATTTTTATTTTTATTTTGTTACAATGTTTAATTTTGATAAATCTTTTAATTTGGCAGGTTCGAAATGTCAATACCCGGCCACTGAGATGACTGATATTGGATTGGCTAATGTTATGTGAGTATTATAATACTTTTAATTTAGAAATAAAAATTCTGCATCTTGCATTGTTGAAATAAATTAAAAAGGAATATTTTTATTAACACTAAATTAAATGATGACTCGACCATTCAGGTCTCCCTCAACAGAGCGAACCCACTAAACCATGTTGACCAACCCTACGCGTCTGATAATTAATTATTATAATTTGAATTTGTTAAATTTTTATTTTAGCAATTGAATTTTAACAAAAATTTAATTTGTTCAGGTTTCCAGGTTCTACAAATCAATACCAAACCACGGAAGGTGGATCAGATAACGCTATGTGAGTATATTGTAATTATTTTATAGTGCAACTTAATTAAACTTATGAATCTTTAAAAAAGAAAATTATGATATTGATAATTATAATAAACTAGTTGGCCAAGCAGACGTTGTTCTGCCCTCTCTGACGACCCTGTGTCCTATAAAAATTCTTAATAAAAAACATTTAGGGTCACTTATAGGGATAAAAACTATCTCTCAAGTTGGACCAAGCTGCACACAGTGTGCAAAATTTAATTGCAATCAGTTTAGTAGTTTAGGAGTTTATCGCAGACAAACAATGTGATACGTAATTTTTATACATAAAGATTAAATGATGACTGGACCATTCAGGTCTCCCTCAACAGAGCGAACCCAAATAACCATGTTGACCAACCCTACGTGTCTGATGATAATTAGCACAGTTGTTAGGTTAAATCTTAATTGTATCTTTTGAATATTTACAAAATATAAATTTATTTGCAGGCTGTCAGTCAACATTTCATCAATAATTTAGACTGCTACTGATTTACTGCTGTTTGGAGTTTGATTACATAATGCCGTGTAAGTATATAAATTCTTTCATTATAAATAATTGAGACATTACATTAAGTGATGACTCAACCATTCAGGTATCCCTCAAAAGTCTGAAATCCTAACTGACACTATTATTTAAAAAGGATATGAGGTGTTTTGTAGACTGGCAAAGAAGTAAATAGTTTTTTTATAGCACAATTTAAGTTCATTATGTTTTCATTTCCTCAACTTTTTTTTTCAATCTACTACTAGGTTTCTTTTTTAAAAGTGCCATACTCGTTCAATATATCATTATAATATATAAAAGAATAAGATCTATCTGTCTGCAATCCTATGAAAATGCACCACTTTGTTGCATTTTCTGTAAGCTAGACAGAAAGTATTGTGGTTAAAACTGCCGGATGCATCATTGTCGTGTTTCCGGTTATATAAACACACTACAAAATTAATTGGGGCTTAGTTCTGTTCTTGGTGGAGGATGATAGCCAAGAAAAATTCAAAAAGATGTTGTATTCTTTACCTTATCTTCTTATTTTCTAGGTTGAAAATCCATGACAAGACAGTAAATAATGGTGCTGTAATATCTACGGAGCGGAGTTTTCGAAAGTCTGAAAGCGATTTCCTGACGATAATGAGCTCAAGTCCGCTTTGAATGAGCATTTTTCAGCCCAAGACGAAGAATATTTTTTCAAAGGAATAGAAAAGCTTTTTTCACGAACAAGTAAATGTATTTATGTCGTGGGAGATTATATTGAAAAATAAAAAATAAAATCATAATTTTGTCTTTTTTCTAACATACCCATACCGAGGAGAATACATTGAAAAATTATTTATTGATTTACAATGATACAATTTAAAGCAGTCGCAAGGGCCCCTGTACTAGGTTGGTTACCTGTGTTACTGGGTACCCCGGTACACATTGAACGCTCCTTGTATTTCACGAAATACGAGTATACAAACACGGGATATTTTTATTTAATAAAAATATTAAACTTATTCGTTTAGTATTATTCTAAAGACAAATCTTCGATATTGCCGATTTCATAGTTATCATTATCATTTCCACTGCTGAACAGAGGCCTCTTCCAAGGAATGCCACAAAGCACGGTCCCGAGCCACCCATCTATCTACCCGCAGACAGAACTATAGTGCCAGAGTGTATGCGCAAACACGGGAGCACTCCATTCCCTCACTCTCGTAGTCCGATAGAACAGTAATCTGACACGACCGGAGGAGATTAGGTGCAAGGCCAACCTACGTGCTTTCCGAGGCACGGGGGTGAAACTACGAGAACTTTCTGACGACGAGCTGCTACTGATAATTTCTTGAGAGAAAACCCCAATAATTGATATTGGCCCGACCTGGGATTCAAACCCAGGACTTTTAAAGAATAGTACAAGAGAAGAATCACTGATAGCAAAGTTCGAGTTTAAGCCTAGTTACAACGTACCTAATGTTCATAATACTTTGCACGCCTTGGATGCGACCTTCGTTAAAATAGCCTACCGATTATTGTAGAGCGCGTATTAAGTCAAAATGCACTTTACGTCCGCATGCAAGAGTATCACTTAGCCCGTTACCAAAGAATATATAGGTACTCTACGCGAAAAGAAACGACACTTAAGCATGTGTGCACGTAAAATCACTTGCGGCTATGTGTGGGTGTCTGGATGTGTGCGGGCGCCTTAAGAGGCGCGCAGGGCGTAGAACGGGCCGTCACCGACTGCCCTGGCTGAGGGCTGGGCTTTATACAAAAATAGTGCCTATTCATTTGTATATAATTATTCTACCGAAGGTATATATATATATATACAAATGGCTTCGAATTTTTTCAATTGTTAGAAATAATAATAAAAATAATAAAAGTCATTGAAAAAGCCAAAAATATATAAGAGTAAGTAATTTTTAAAGGGTAGTTAGGTAATACTGATTATTGTGTACTGAAATACTAAGTGTTGGTTAATTATTATTTAAGATTACCATTAACTATCGTGCATAATATTTTGTTTTGTCGGAAATTTTAATTTTTCCCATCTGTAAAGATATTTAATAAAAGTTGATTTAAAATTGATCATATCTTTCACTATCTAAATACATAAGTTTACATTATATAACATATACCTACTATGTATCTTCTTTGACACAAGTCTATAATATTCCATTTCGGTTCGGTATCAACCCTAACGTTACACGCTCTGGTCTAATGTCACCGGCGCTTTTCAACTCTCACGTACAAAGAGTGTCACCGCTGTGCCGTTACGCGCTTTTGTTAAGGCCGCTCCTACTGTAGGGTTAGGTGTTGTGAGAAAACATTGAATCTTTTGATATTAGGTGGTAGTAATACACCGAGGTGTTATGCAGTGTATTAGTCATTTGCTGATAATAAGAACGTTATTTTTCAATGTGAGGAAGGTTAAAATTCCACATCGAGAAAATTATTATAATAATGAGAACGTCTTTTAAAATTTAACTATCGTTTATACAAAACAAAATATCATGACTTGATAGGTATTACAAGTCAAATATTGTAATAGATTAAGTTGTCTTAGATATTATAACTAATGATTGCTAATGATTGTAATCTTAGATAAACTTAACTATGTATTATCAAAATACATTCTGACCTGGTATTGTGTTATTGTATAAACTCAGCAGAATAAAAATCCGAATTGCATGCATAAAATTTTGCCACCGTCAATGTATTTATTCTTGGTAGATTAGTACTTTCTGCTCTTACGATTCCGTCTTCCATGATTTCATTTCAATAAAATACATAATAACAGTTAATAATTATTGTGATGATAAAATGCAGCACATTTGATAGTTTACTTAACCAGTGACGTCACGACGGTATATCTAATAAATATGGCGGATAATGTTTTGCAGATTTGAGACATAGTTAAAAAATATTCTTAAAATTGTAATATAAAATTTATAATGCATTTTTATAAATATAAATCAATATTTCTCAATGATTTCTTATATTTACGCGAACACTACACATTGAATAAAACTATTTTTTTACGGATTTTATCGCGTTTAATTTACTGTTTTATTTCCCGACGTGACCATGTGTTGCTGTAAACCACCCGAAACGTCGCGAATTAAAATAGTAAATTAAACGCGATAAAATTCGTAAATAATAGTTTTATTCAATCAATATTTCTCGTTTACTTTTTACAAAGTCTATGTTAAATATATATTTTTTGTTTGTTTTTTTACATGGTGTAAAATACCCTATTCTCCATAACAAATCGAAAGGACATAAATTATACAATGAAGTTAAAAAAAAAATAGAAATTAAAACATAAGATGTGATAACCGTTGAGGCAAATTGGATACATAGAAAAAAAAACGGGAAGTATGATGGAAGAACTTTAAAACTTCGTGATCGTGGGATTTCAAAATGTCGTTGATCTCAAATATAGGGGCAAATTTGTTTTGGGCACTAACGCCAATGATCATCGTGTGACACATGATTCATATTGTGACACACGGTGATCATTGGTATTCATATTGTATATAGGGTTATTTTGCAATAAAATAAGAAGCCTTATTTACTCATATTTAAAAAAAACTGCAACATACGTATATCATTATTTATATATTTGAACTCAAGTATATATATACTAGCTGTTCCCCGCGACTTCGCCCGCGTTAAATTTATTACGATCGGGTTTTATGGGTTTTAATTTTTTTTGCGCTAACCCTATTTCCTTTTCTAAAATAAAAGTAACCTAAGTTACTCCTTATAACATTAGCTATCTGCCAGTGAGTCCCGTCAAAATTGGTCCAGCCCTTTCGGAGATTAGCCGGAACTAACAGACAGACAAACATTTTAAAAATTATGTTTTTGTTATAAGTACCGTATATACATTCATATGCATTTAGTAAATAGCTGTTATTTTAACATTACAAACAGACACTCCAATTTTATTTATTTGTATAGACTAGCTGTTCCCCGAGACTTAGCCCGCGTGGAATTTATTACGATCAGGTTTTATGGGTTTTAACTTTTTTTTTTGCGCGAACCCTAATTCCTTTTCTGAAATAAAAGTAACCTAAGTTACTCCTTATAACATTAGCTATCTGCCAGTGAAAGTCCTGTCAAAATTGGTCCAGCCGTTTCGGAGATTAGCCGAAACAAATAGACAGAGAGGCACACAAAAATTTTAAAAATTGTGTTTTTGTTATAAGTACTGTACATTCTTTCATATGTAATTAGTAAAAAGCTGTTATTTTGCCATTACAAACAGACACTTCAATTGTATTTATTTGTATAGATATATATATCGTGATGGTAATCAGCAGATAACCTTTGTGATCTTTATGATAAGCAGTAATAACAGTGAATCACATTATTATCATCATCATCATCATCATTACATGTCCTTTATAATTCCACTGCTGAACATAGGCCTCCCCAAGGAATGCCACAAAGCACGGTTCTGAGCCACCTGCATCCATCGACTTCCTGCATGCCTCACCAGGTCGTTACTCCATTTAGTGGGGAGTCGCCCTACACTTCGCCTACAGGTACGAGGCTGCCACTTGAGAACCTTTTTTCCGCATCAGTTGTCGGTTCTTCGAGCTATAAGGCCGACCCCTTGCCACTTCAGCTTACTAATCCATTGGGCTATGTTGGTCACTCTGGTTCTACTGCGGATAACCTCATTTATAAGTTTATCACGCAGAGAGAGCCCGAGCACAGCCCTCTCCATAGCTCGCTGAACGACCTTGAGCTTCCTCATACGGCCAGCAGTGAAGGACCACGTCTCAGATCCGTAAGTCAACACTGGCAACACGCACTGGTTGTACAATTTCGTTTTCAGGTTTTGAGGTATGTCTAACGTGAAGATGTGTCGTAGTTTCCCGAACGCTGCCCAGCCGAGTTGAATCCGTCGATTGACCTCTCGGTCGAAGTTGAACTTACCTAGTCGGACTATTTGTCCCAGGTAAACATACTCTTCAACAACTTCGAGCTTAGTGCTCCTAACAACTACTGGCATAGGTGTGATATGGACGTTAAACATGATTTTTGTTTTGTCCATTTTCATCTTAAGACCTATCCGTTGGGAGACACTATTGAGGTCATTGAGCATAGTGCTTAGGTCCTTCAGCGATTCTGCCATAAGGATTATATCGTCGGCAAATCGAAGGTGAGTGATGTACTCGTCATTGATGTTAATACCGCATCCTTTCCAGTCCAGTAGCTTGAAAACGTTTTTCACTGCAGCGGTGAAGAGTTATAACGTCACCCTGTCTTACACCTCTCTGCAGTTGGATAGGTTTCGTACTCTGATTCTGTACTCGGATAGCCATCGTAGCCCTACTGTACAAACACTTCAGCACTTCGATATACGGACAGTCAACTTGACACCGCTGAAGGGACTGCAGCACCGCCCAAATTTCGACGGAATCAAAGGCTTTCTCATAGTTCACATACGCAAGGCCAAGTGGTAGATTATACTCTTCTGTCTTCTGTACAATTTTTCGAAGGCTGTGTATGTGGTCCATGGTACTAAAGCCTTTTCGGAAACCGGCTTGTTCGGGAGCCTGGAAGTCGTCGCGTCTGCGTGCGAAACGATTCGTAATGACTCTCGAAAACAGCACGTAGACGCGGCTCGGAAGGGAAATCGGTCTTTAATTCTTCAAGAGAGCGTTGTCGCCTTTCTTGAAGAACAAGACCACCGCACTTCTGCTCATGGATGACGGAATTAAACAGCTTCTGAAAGACTTCAAGTACCGGTTTTCCACCCACTTTCAAAAGCTTCGCTGTAATTCCATCGTCACCTAGGGCCCTGTCGTTTTTAAGGTGCCGGAGAGCCTTTCTTATAATTTTAGTTACGATTACCATCACGTTATTCTAATTTTAGTTACGCAGACGACATGGTTCTGTTGAGCCCCTCAGTCAGCGGGCTTCGAAAGCTGTTGAAAATTTGTGAAGCATATGCCGAGGAGACTGGACTCAGTTACAACTCAAAAAAGAGTGAATTTATTGTCTTCAGAGGTAAGAATAAACCACTTGACTTCACGCCACGTATCCAGCTATGTGGGATTCCTCTGAGACAAGTGGCTGAGTTTAGGTACCTCGGACATATTGTAACTGAACGCCTGGATGATGACAGTGACATTGAACGAGAGCGCCGAGCGCTGTCGGTCCGGGGCAATATGTTGGCTCGCAGATTTGCACGTAGTACGACTCAAGTCAAGCTAACTTTGTTCAAGGCGTATTGTCAATCCTTTTACACGTGCAGTCTGTGGACTGACTATACGCGGCGGGCCTACAGTGCTCTGCGTGTTCAGTACAACAATGTGCTGAGGGTGATGTTGAGGAAGCCTCCACACTGCAGTGCGTCGGCCATGTTTGCGGATGCTCGTGTGGACGACTTCTACGCGATCATGCGCAAGCGTGCCGCGTCCATGATGAGCAGGCTATTGAGGAGCTCCAACACCCTTCTCAGCGCATTGGCTGTGAAGCTGGATTGCCCGCTCTGGAGGGCTTGGAATGTTGCACACACCAGCACGAGGAGAATTCCACCTGGAGTTCGCTAAGTGAGGCTGGGGGTAGGTTAAGCTACTAATATAGGATAAGTAATTTTTTGACTAACATTTTAATATTAACTTCTATTTTATTTTATACTAACATTAGGCTAAGTAAGTTTTACTAACAATCTATGACTATTGTTGGTCGAAATAAAGGATTTATTATTATTATTATTATTATTATTATCTCGCTTAGACTGACGTCATCTTCGGAATAGTGTCGGATAAGACTCGCTCTAGGATCGTTACTCACACTTGCGTGTGGCTCCAACGATGACGTGTACAGCTGCCCATAGGACCTTTTAATCTCACTCAAAATCCCAGGTGTCCCGGAAACAATGCTGTCACACTTGGTCTTTAGCTTTGACAGTTGGCTCTTTCTGGCCGACAGATCTCTGGCAAAGACTTTAGAACCTTGGTTTTTTTTTATAGAATAAGACATACTGGTGACAACGCATCTACATATTGATTTGTAATAGAGGATAGATGTAGATGTCTATGGGCCACAGCAACCACTTACCATCAGGTGGACTGTGTGCTCGTTTGTCACCCTTATCCTATAAAAAAAAATGCGTTGTCACCCGTGAGGACTAAGATGGAATGCCTCATTTCCAGTAAAAAGGGCCTCCGGCCACCTGCACTCGCCAAGCGAAATGCAGAGGTGAACCTCTACTTCACGCTGGTTTTCTGTGAGGTCGTGGTACCACCCCGGTTCGAGCCGGCACATCCGTGCGACAGCAAAAGCTGCCGCGTGGCTCTACCACTGTTAACTGTTACCACTGTTGGTAGGTTCCGCTCGATCGCTTATTCAATACAAGCTGTATTGAAGTTGCGTAAGTCCCACCGCATGCATTTGGAGATCTGATCACTATATTACAAGCTATGCATATTATGATCATTCAATAGTGTATATTCGATTTTAAGATCATTTGCATTTTTTTGTACATTTTTCAAAGAGAGACTGTGATCTTGTGGTCACTCACACACCCTTAGAGTATTCAAACACACCTCACATTCTCTTTTACAAAATAAAATAACTGTCAGTCTGTCAGTGTCACTGTCAAAGTCATCTCAAAATCTCAAAAACATCGGCCTAGACCTTTGAGCATAGAAAATATGCTCAAAGGCCCAGACCCAGTTGTTTTCAATCCTTGGTATAAAAAGATACTCTGTGGTTGTTTTGTATACTTGTTACATAGATTACAGTTGTTATTTAAGTTTAAGTGAAATTCTTAAATTATATTTATAAGTAGTTAAATCTGTAAAAAACTATACGTTTAATTTGTACAAGTAAAAAATGGCTCGCGGTAAAGATAAGAAAAAGTAAGATTTATAGGTTATATCTCGTGTTGTATAGCCTTAATATTTTATAATATTACTACTGTTATTTTTTTTACTACTGTTATTACTGTGCCCGTGACTTCGCTCACGTGTAATTTAGGGTTTTAATTTTTTTGTGTGGAACCCTAATTTCCTTTCTAAAATTAGCTAAAATTAAGCTAAAATTAGCTCTAAAAGTAGCCAAGTTACTCCTTATAACATGAGCTATCTACCAGTGAAAGTCCCGTCAAAATCGGTCCAGCCGTTTCGGAGATTAGCCGGAACAAACAGACAAAAATTTAAAAAATTGTATTTTTGTTATAGGTACCATATATACTTTTATATGCAATTAGTAAAAATCTGTTATATTAAAATTACAAACAGTCATTTCAATTTTATTTATTTGCATTTTTTTTTAATAGAAAAAGGGTGACATACGAGCACACAGTCCACCTGACGGTAAGTGGTTGCTGTGGCCCATAGACATCTACATCTATCTTCATTTGTGAATTAAAATGCAGATGCAGCCGTGAGGAGTAAGATGGAATGCCTCTTTTCCAGTAAAATAGGTCTCCGGTTCTCTACACTCAAAAATACGTATACAAACGATTATATACGAAACACAGCAGCATTAAGCTGCTATTTTACTCTTGTATTCTGTGAGAGCGTGGCCATCCCCCAGTCGAGCCAACCCATTCGTGCTATAACTATACTTTTAATATAGCTATATAATGGTGCTACCACGTTGCATAGATATAGATTAGTAAAAAGCTGTTATTTTGACATTACAAACAGGCACCAATTTTATTTATTTGTCTAGATTATTATTACTTTGTGCAATTTATGTCTAAATCACATGTCTTTGTTTTTCAAGTTGCTTAAATGTTTCATATAAGTTGACATATTATGATGTATTGATATTATTAACAATAAGATGTGACTTCTGTTTTTTTTAATGTTTTAAATTGTCATATAAGGCACTGATTCAAATTGTTATTCCCTATAACACGCATTAACATGGTATTATGACAAACATTTCTCGCTAAGGAATTAAATTTGAAAATATTTATATTATATTATGCACTGGCAAACATTTGTATTTGGCACTCAGGGTTATAAATGCCCCCCGATTTCAAGAGCTCTGTTGTAACTGTCTTCTCCTGGGGTTTTTCCATTTAGTAGGCTCTTTTCTTGAAGGTCCCTCCTAAGTTGTATCTGTCCGGAAAAATCAATTCTTTATTGGCACAATAAGTTTCACTACCAAATTTACTTTTTTAAAGTGTAAATATAAAATTTATAAACAACTAGACCACAGCCCAACCTATCATTGAATTCAGATTTTGTGGTTTTTTTTTGGCATTAAACCATCATTTAATGTAAATATGAGTCACATTTGTCTATAAATAGAGAATTTGTTTATAACTTCACTATAATGCCACCTATCAGATGTTAGCATAGTTTTGAATTATTATATTTATATTTAATGACATTTATTCTCATAAAGACTTACATTAGTCACTTACATGAGAATATTAAAAAGAATAACAAAATTTTAATTTGTTATGTTCGTCATTATAAATATCTGTGTACTTAATTGACACACTATTGCCTTGATACAGCAAATTGTGTCAATATGACCTCAATACGTCAAGTCATTGAGAAGTTTCATGATCCTCAACAGAAGCACCAATGATTTTATATAATCTTATTTATATAGAAATTATATTCATTCTATGTCACTTAAAATATCAAATATTTTTTCAGACGTAAACTAGAGAAGAAGCAAGAGGGTGATGATGTGCCAAAGAAAGTACCACACACTTTGGAATCTCTACGTGAGAAAGATGAAACAATGCTTGCTAATGTGGATGACGAGGAAAAGGAGGAGGTAAAAGATTCTTAAAAGGAATTAACAAAACTTGATTTAAAGTAAATTTGTACACAGATAATAAATTTAGTTGTGTTCTAGAAATAATCTAATTTTTAGGTTTAAATTAATGAAAAAAAAATATGAATGTCCCTTGCTATGTCACAGTATTGTCATACTTCTTTTATATTAGTATCAAGTCACTTCATAGCAGGCTTACTATCTTTCTTCATTTATTTATTCTTTCGTCATGTTTTTTGAATCGAAAAACCTTTTCTGATGGCCCATAGCTATTTCAACCAGATACTGTCAGATGTCAGTAATGTAAAACTTTGTATGTTTGAGTACAATCCAGCAATGATCTTGCAGGTATTTCTTTATATTACTTCTTACAAGATCTGTTAAATTAAATTGGGAAATATTTACTGTTATGCTACACAGTAAAGATGTAGGCACCATAAATAGATTGATAGACAGGTAACATCTTTAATATATTGTATTTCTGCAAAGTGATACCTGATTCAATCAGATAGATAACACTTAATTGCACATCCTATATTTAAATATTTGCCTATAGACATTGTTATGGCCCACAGCTGCCCCTGCAAAGGTCGCCTTGGCTAGGGCCCATAGTAGCCTCCTCGACGGGCAGCTGAGGGTTCAGGCCCAAGTGGCCTTATGGAAAAATGACCTATCATACTACACAGTAGGGAGAAGGCTAGGAAAATAAACAGTACGTACCTGGATCCAATTCTAAGACCGCCCCAAGGCTCCGTCAGGCCGTAGGTACGAGGGCTGCACTAAAAGTATCGGGAATGGAATATTTCCACTGTCCCTGTCATATTAAAATCTTTTTAATTGAAAACCCCTTGGTTTTAAAAATTGAATACCATTTATTTATTTAAAAAAAGATTCTCGGTCTTGTCACAAGGTTTTGTCAAACTTGCTTAGTCGTTGAGAAAATAGAATTGACTCGAGAAAATTCAAGAGCGATGATTTATTATGACTTTCGAAGTGGTTTAACACAAAAACAGTGTGTGATGATGATTGAGATGGGGCTTCATCACCAAATGCAGATGATTTCTGCATTTGGTGATGAAGCCCCATCCAAAACCACAATTTATCGCTGGTTTGCTGAATTTCAACGTGGACGTGTCAAGCTCAGTGATGATCCCCATCAAGGTCGTCCAAAAACTGCAGTCACCCAAGAAAACGTTGATGCTGTGCGTAAGCTGATTGAGGAAGATCGACATGTGACATACTGCGAAATTCAGGCAACTTTAGACATTGGCATGAGTCAAATACAAATAATCTTGCATGAACAATTAGGTGTAAAAAAGTTGTTTTCCCGATGGATACCGCATTCGCTCTGTGAAGAGTAAAAAGCGGCTCGCGTTACTTGGTGCGTCAGAACTCTCGAAAGATTCCACGCAGGATCCTCAAATGCTGTATACAACGTCGTATCAGGTGACGAATCCTGGATATACGCGTACGAACCCGAAACAAAAAACCAGTCACGAGTTTGGGTGTTCGAAAATGAGTTAAAGCCAACAAAAATTGTTCGTTCACGGAGTGTTGCAAAAAAAAATGGTGGCCACGTTTGTCTCCAAAACCGGTCATGTTACGAATATTCCTCTTGAGGGACAAAAAACGGTTAATGCAGAATGGTATGCTAGCATTTGTTTGCCACAGGTCGTTTCTGAACTCCGTAAAGAGAACTGTAACCGCCGCATCATCCTTCATCACGACAATGCGAGTTCTCACACCGCACTAAGAACAAAAGAGTTTTTAGAGCAAGAAAACATAGAATTATTAGACCGTCCGCCGTACAGCCCCGACCTAAGCCCTAATGATTTCTATTTTTTCCCTAAAATAAAGAATAAATTGCGTGGACAGAGATTTTCATCACCTGAAGAAGCTGTGGACGCCTACAAAACGGCCATTTTGGAGACCCCAACTTCCGAACGGAATGGTTGCTTCAATGATTGGTTCCATCGTGTGGAAAAATGTGTCAAATTTCGCGGAGAATACTTCGAAAAGCAATAAATACATTTTTAAATAGTAATGTTGTGTCACTTCCTGGATTCCCGAAATTTTCAGTGCCGCCCTCGTAGAGTAGATGCATGTAAAGTGGTGTTTAGTGCTGTGTATATGTAGGTGACCTGGCCCAGCTGAGGTGACCTGGCAGCGGCCGGTTTCCATGCTGCCCCACAATGCTGCATCACTCCAGCAGGCGTCCCCAATGGACAATTTCCTTCTTCATGTCACTATTTCAGTCTATCCACTTTATTGTACATTTAACTAACTTCAACTCGACTAATTCAACGTTCATCGTAGAATCGAACACGTGATACCCGACACAAGTTACGAACAGTAGTTCAAAGTTCAACATTCAATGTATCGGATTCGTTTATCACCAAATTACGAATAGGGAACTAACGCGATCTCTTCATGAGTCACACGGTTCAGCGTTACAAACACAACTAAGCTCCTTCGCTTGATATTAAACACCACGCCGCAATAAGAATTCAAAATCAAACTAGCTGATACGTAAACTAGCTACTGAGTCAACACCCAAAAGGCTCTTAACGCGACGGTATAATTACACAATGACTTCCAAAACAATCAACCGGGCGACGCCTCGAAAAGGGATGTGCGGTTCAATTCCAGACCGTATCTCTACTCGGCGCGCGCGCGAAATTCCACGTCACCCGAGCAAGTTAAATATTGTAAAATTGTTGAAGTGCAACACACAAGTACTATATAATTGGAGCAATTACTTTCCAACGAAATTACTTCAATCAGTCAAATACAATACAAGCCTCTTGTCACGAACTTAAAACCTAGACAAACTAAACCGAGGCGGTTTTCACGAAACCACAATTACGTAGCGAAGTAACGCGCACGAATTCTAAGAATCTAGACCATAACCCAAATCCGGTCGCGCGAAACTTCTGCAGCGGTCACCGAGATACGCTAATTAACTGAACCGCTGCCCTCGAGCTACTGTGTCTCGCCCGCCAGCGCCAAACGCCGGGAAGCTGCCTTCCGCTGCCCCCTCCCCGCGACACGCGTGACACCTGGTACCATTGGGCGATTCGCAAAGTCGAACGTGATTGGATGCCGTCTCAAAATGACCATTTCTGGCCTAAACAGACATCTATATCTACCCCATATCTTCCCGTGGGTGCCGTAAAAGGCGACAACGGGAAACAGGTAGGAGATGGGCAGCAGCATCTTCGTGATAACAACAAACTTACAATATAAAAACTGCGGTTGCCAACCCGCTCGCCAAGCGTGGCAACTATGGCAAATACCCACCTCTGATGAGAGTAAGAAAGATACGGCCCCCAGTCCCCGGCGGCCCCACTATTCCTGGCTACGGTGGCGACCATGGTAACGGCGGGGCAGGGGGTGCCAAGAATCTCCGGTGGAGGTTCGGTTGCCACCTTAGACGACTCGACCTGGCAACATACAACGCACGCACCCTGAGGACTGACGAGAAGATCGTGGAGCTGGAATAAATAGACAAGTTACGCTGGCATATTATAGGATTATCCGAAGTCCGAAGAGAGGGGAGGACCTCCCTCCACCACCTAGAATCCGGTAACTTGCTCTATCACTGGGAAGGCGACCATCTGTCCCAAGGAGGTGTCGGATTTATCGTCCACAAGTCTCTCGTTAACAACGTTGTAAAGATTGAGAGCGTGTCGACGAGGGTTGCTTACCTTATACTCAGAATCACCAAACGGTATTCGCTGAAGGTCATACAGGTTTACGCCCCAACCTCGGCGCACCTCGAGGAGGAGGTGGAGGAAATGTATGAGGATATCTCTAGAGCCATGCATTCCTCCAAAATTCAATATACGGTGTTAACGGGAGACTTCAATGCAAAACTAGGCACAAGAGAGAACGGTGAGCTGAAATTAGGGAAATTTGCAATAGGGCAACGGAACCCATGGAGCCAGCAGCTAGCCGACTTCATGGAGAAAGAGGGACTCTTTATGATGAACTCTTTCTTCCAGAAGCTCCGCGGTTCCACAAAAAATGAGATTGACTTCATTATGACGACCAGACGACAACTGTTCAGTGATGTTTCCGTGATTGCGAGGGTGAAAAATGGTAGTGATCACCGAATGGTTAGAGGCACACTGAACCTAAACGTTAAGTTGGAGAGGTCTCGTCTAATGAAGTTAACGCTCCGTCCCCCTCGTGCTCTGTTCCAAAGTCCCGAATCCTTTCAGCTCGAGTTACAAAACCGTTTTCAGTGCCTAGAAGACTGCAATGAAGTGGATGATATGAATGACAAGCTCGTGGAGACCCGCCGCAGAAGAACACAAAAACTCTCCGATCACACTCTCAATCTCATGGCTGTTAGACGGGAGATGAAGCTACATTCTTCAACAGATTTGACAGCATACAGGCATCTGGACAGACAGATCTCCAAATGCATGCTGCGGGACTTACGCAACTTTAATACAGATTGTATTGAAGAAGCGATCGAGCGGAACCAAGGCACCAAAGTCTGCCAGAGATCTGTCTGCCAGAAAGAGCCAACTGTCAAAGCTGAAGACCGAGTGTGGCAGCATCGTTTCTTGGGCACCTGAGATTTTGAGTGAGATTGAGAGGTTCTATGGGCAGTTGTACACGTCATCGTTGGAGCCACACGCATGTGTGAGTATTATCCAAGAGCGAGTCTTATCCGACACTATTCCGAAGATATCCCGGACGTCAGTCTGAGCGAGATTAGAATGGCTCTCCAGCACCTGAAAAACGGCAAGGCCCCAGGCGAGGATGGAATTACAGTGGAGCTTCTGAAAGTGGGTGGAAGAGCGGTACTTGAAGTCCTTCAGAACCTCTTTAATTCCGTCCTCCATGGTGGCATTACACCGGAGGCGTGGAGCAGAAGTGCGGTGGTCTTGTTCTTCAAGAAAGGCGACAATGCTCTCTTGAAGAACTACAGACCGATTTCCCTTCTGAGCCGCGTCTACGTGCTGTTTTCGAGAGTCATTACGAATCGTCTCGCGCGCAGACTTGACGACTTCCAGCCTCCCGAACAAGCCGGTTTCCGAAAAGGCTTTAGCACCATAGACCACATACATACCCTTCGGCAAATTGTACAGAAGTCCGAGGAGTACAATTTACCACTATGTCTGGCGTATGTGGACTATGAGAAAGCCTTTGATTCCGTCGAAATTTGGGCGGTGCTGCAGTCCCTTCAGCGGTGCCAAGTTGACTCTCGGTATATCGAAGTGCTGAAGTGTTTGTACAGTAGAGCTACGATGGCTATCCGAGTACAGAATCAGAGTACGAAACCTATCCAATTACAGAGAGGTGTAAGACAGGGTGACGTTATATCCCCGAAACTTTTCACCGCTGCACTGGAAGACGTTTTCAAGCTTCTGGACTGGAAAGGATACGGTATTAACATCAATGGCGAGTGCATCACTCACCTTCGATTTGCCGACGATATAGTCCTTATGGCAGAATCGCTGGAGGACCTAAGCACTATGCTCAATGACCTCAATAGTGTCTCCTAACGAATAGGTCTTAGGATGAACATGGACAAAACAAAGATCACGTTTAATGTCCATGTCACACCTATGCCGGTAGTTGGTTGGAGCACTAAGCTCGAAGTTGTTGACGAGTATGTTTACCTGGGACAAATAGTCCGACTAGGTAAGTCCAACTTCGACCGAGAGCTCAATCGACGGATTCAACTCGGCTGGGCAGCGTTCGGGAAACTACGACACATCGTCTCGTCAGACATACCTCAAAACCTTAAAACGAAATTGTACAACCAGTGCGTGTTGCCAGTAATGACTTACGGATCTGATACGTGGTCCTTCATTGCTGGCCGTATGAGGAAGCTCAAGGTCGCTCAGCGAGCTGTGGAGGGGGCTATGCTCGGGGTTTCTCTGCGTGATAAACTTAGAAATGAGTATATCCGCAGTAGAACCAGAGTAACCGACATAGCCCAAAGGATTAGTAAGCTGAAGTGGCAGTGGGCCGGCCATATAGCTCGAAGAACCGACAACCGATGGGGAAGAAAGATTCTTGAGTGGCAACCTCGTACCGGTAGGCGAAGTGTAGGGCGACCCTCTACGAGATGGAGTGACGACCTGGTAAGACATGCAGGAAGTCGATGGATGCAGGTGGCTCAGGACTGTGCTTTGTGGCATTCCTTGGGGGAGGCCTATGTTCAGCAGTGGACATATGAAATGCTGTAATGATGATGATGATGAATAATGATATTTAAATATGAATAAGGATTAAGGAGTACAAGAGAATAAACAATATGGTACAGAAGAGATTTATTCCAGACTACCCTTGCAAGGACAGGATTAGAAGAAAACATAAAACCAATTAGTATCATAAAAGCATTTTAATGTAGGAAATCCTCGCCTTAAATGCATAGCAGAAATTCTAATCAACAAGTTTATTAATTTAATCATTTATACCGTTCTATAACATATATTCCTTGATGATTCCTAGATGTGATATAAAAGAAAATATTTGTGGGAATATTTTCTTTTATATCACATCCAGACTCAATAATTATTGGTCTATGTTATTGTATTGTAATTGTTCTATGCAGGATTTAAATGCTTACAGCAGCACTGCGCTGTGGTACCAAGCCATCATATTTTTTAAATCCTCAGTTGCATTTATTGTAAATAACATTTGATAGCAGTAACTTTTTATTTAGAATAATGGTGAAAAACGAGCACACAGTGCACCTGATGGTAAGTGGATAATCTATCCTCGATTAAGAATCAAAATGTAAATGTGTTGCCACCTCCGAGCGCCAAAATAGAATGCTTTATTTCCAGTAAAAAGGGTCCTTGATCGAGCCGACCCAATCTTGCTACAACCATAATATAGCTGCAGCATGGCTCTACCACGTAAGCAGCCTAAGTAACGTGAAGTAAATTTTTGGTTATTTTCAGGCACAAAAAGACATGGAACTGGATGAGCTGTCATCATATTTTCAAAACTCATATGAGCCTAAAGTGCTCATCACATATTCAGACAACCCACACAACAAGACTCGGATATTTGGCAAAGAACTCATGAGGATAATACCTAACTCCCTATCAAGATATAGACAAAGGTTAGTGGTTTTGGATCATACTGAAGGTTCATGGGTTGAAGCAATAGTGTTGTTTGCTACTTCACAACAGTTTCATTATCTCTTTCACTGTCCGGTTTTCAGACACAATAGTAAGACAATAGCAATGACCTATATGTAGTGCATGGGACAACGAAAGGGTTAAGTTGGGTCCCATGCTGCAAACTGCGCTGTTGAGTCAAACACTATTTTACGCTGGGACTCTGTGAGAGTGTGAGCTTTCTCCGGTTGAGCTGACCCGTTTGTACTACAGCTATAGTATAACTGCAACATGGGTTTACTAGTTTTAGGTTTTTATGGCTGAATTCTAAATTTGCTGTTGTAGGAAGTGAGCCTGTTAAGAACAATGCAACAAACCCTCCATTGAGCATCAACTCCATCTCTACTAGCTTTAATGAGCACATCTTTTTTATCAGCGCGTAAAAGTCCACTGCTAGTCATGGACCTCTTAATTGTCACTCTTGATTGGCGGAATGACTATTGCAGTACCAGACGTTTCACACCTTTGACACTAAAGTTTTTAAAAAGTTACCTCGCGTACATCCGCTCGATAAAATAAAATGATGTGTCTTATCTAGTTTGAAGAGCACCTCCCGCTCTCCCTCATATGCGTGCACTATCCCTGTCGCCACTAATCCTAGCACCACTACCCCCAACACCACTACACTAGGAAAGACACACCACTGACGACAATACAACAAGTGTTTCGCCTCTATACGAGGCATCTTCAGGTGATGTAGACTCTGCGGTGGCTGACCGCTAAGACCTTTGACACTGCTCCCCATCGTTTCTCTTCTATCTCTTTTTTTCTTTCTTCTTTTTTTTTTATAGGAGAGGGGGCAAACGAGCATGCGGCTCACCTGATGGTAAGTGACTACCGCCGCTCATGAACAACTGCAACACCAGGGAGGGAATTGCAGATGAGTTGCCGGCCTTTTAAAAAGGAGTATACTCTTTTCTTGAAGGTCCCTAAGTCGTATCGGTCCGGAAAAATCCCTGATGGTAATCGATTCCACAAGGAAGTCGTGCGAGGAAGAAAACATCTTCTAAATCGCACAGTGATGGACCGCGAATCATCCAGATGGTGTGGATGGTATCGGGAGTTCTGCCGCGATGTGCGTTCGTGAAATTTGACGGCTGGGATTAATCCAAACAATTCCTCAGAGCACTCCCCATGGTAGATGAGAAAGAAAATGCAAAGGGATGCAACATCTCTTCGCAGTGCCAATGAATCGAGCCGATCGGAAAGGGCTCGGTCGTCGACGATTCGAGCCGCTCTGCGCTTGATGGGGTCAAGTGGAAGGAGCTGACACTAGGGAGCTCCTGCAGTGTGAACAGTATTCCATGTGAGGCCGAACCTGCGCCTTGTAAAGTTGCAGGCGGTGTGCCGGCATGAAATACTGTCCCGCTCTGCTGAGCACGCCAAGCTTTTTAGAGGCCAATTTGGCTTTCTCTTCCAAGTGAACAGAAACTGCACGTCACTCGATATGTCGACTCCGAGGATACCGATACTGGCTGAGGCAAGAAGAGGAGTGCCTTGAAACTGAGGAGATACGACAAAGGGGTTCTTTTTAGCGGTAAACGCACAAACTTGTGTCTTCTGAGGATTAAACTGGACTAGATTTAGTCGCCCCCAATCCGAGACTTTGTTCAGCAAAGACTCGACTTCAGATTCAGACACAAGTTTGTTCCGATACTCGGCGACGTTTTCCCGTTAAATATTGGCACGGACGGTGTATAGAGCATCACCAGTGCTGTCATCCGCATAGCGATGAATGTTACCCGTTAGCAACATATCATTGATATGCAGAAGAAACAACGTTGGTGATAGCACACAGCCTTGTGGAACACCGGCGTTAATAGGCTTGTAGTCAGCGGGGATGGAAAAAATCATGATTTTTTCAATTTTAATCAAATCATGCTGATTTTTTTTAAAAAAATCATGATTTTTTTTTGTATATTTGGAAATTCACGAGTTGGTAACACATTTTGACATAGTAGGATTAAAAGTTTATGAATACATATGTATGAGACTGATCAAAAGTAAAATAATTAATACTGTATTAATTACAGTTCTTATCTTAAGAGTGAATTTCTAAAAAAAGTTTATGAGACTGAAAGACCTCATCGCCATGTCTTTGTTGATTTTCCAAAGTTTATGAGACTATTGTAGTAGAATAATAAGAATAACATAAAACAATTAAAGATTTTACCTTATTTTAAGCCAGTTTTATATCATTTTCTGTCTATTACATGTTGATTTAAATCAACGATTTTTTAAATCAGAATCAAGCGATTTAAATCGTGATTTAAATCATGATTTAAATCAGTCTGATTTAAATCAGCCAACCCTGTAGTCAGAACATGCACCGTCTACAACGACCTTGATGCTCCGATCTGCAAGGAAGCTGGTGATCCAATTGCACGATTTCTCGGGAAGCCCATAGGAAGGGAGCTTCGAAAGAAGCTTCGCTTTGTGCCAAACCCGATCGAAGGCCTTCGCAATGTCCAGACTAACGGCCTACGCATCCCCCTTGGAGCCTACTGCCTCCGCCTATCTATGGGTCAGGTAGACCAGAAGATCACCAGCTGATCGACCCCGACGAAAACCGTATTGGCGGTCACTAATCAGCTGGTGATCTTTCTTCCTCTCTCTCTCTCTTTCTTCTTCACTCTTTCTGTCTGTATTTTATGTCTGCCGTAACAAAATGGTTATAGAGAGTAATTTAACAGAGACCATAAGATTTTACTGGAACTTCCCATAGTCGCTTCTTACAACTTCCTACAAGATAAAATTGTATGAGAATCTACATATTATTTCTTACACTGCCACAACACGTCATGTTACATTAACTTAATCTACCCTGTAATTAAATTGTTCCTTGCGATTATCATCATCATAATATATCATATCAGTCCTTGAAAAGTCCAGTGGTAAATATAGGCCTCCCCTAAGGAACACCACAAAATATGGTTCTCCTCTTCAACTTCCTGAATGTCTTAACCATGTCATCATTGCATTTAGTAGGGTGTAGGGGACATTACACTTGCCGGTGTGATGCTGTCGCTCTAGAAGATTTATTGTGATAATTATTAAATATTGATTTCAGGTCTTCAGTAAAACGAATAGTCCAGTCGGCCATACGTGAAAGTTATACAGATGTTATTATTGTTAATGAGAATCAGAAACAGCCCAATGGATTTCTTCTGATCCACTTGCCCAATGGGCCCACGGCGCATTTTAGACTCTCCAGCTGTAAGATCACACCCGAGTTGAGAAAGGATTACAAAGAGATCACAACACATAGGCCTGAGGTGAGATTTTTGTATTTCTACATATCTTTTCCTCCCCTACTGGACGTGGGCCTCTAATGTTGTTGGAGGTATTTGCCGAAATCGTCAAGTTTTCATTTAGTTCCTTTTTTACTGGAAACAATGCATTCCATCTTAAAGTTCTAGAGAGGTGACAACGCATTTGCGTTTTGATTCTTAACACTTTCACTTTCCGGTATCTAGACACAATAGTAAGACAGTAGCAATGGTTATGTGGTATATGTGGGTTACAGGACTGGGAACATGTTAAGCTATGATAGATGTAGATGTCTATGGGCGTCAATACTTACCATCAGATGTACCGTGTGTTCGACTGTCACCCTTATTCTATAAAAAAGTTCTGCAGGTGGATTAATATAGTGTTATAATGGATGACGTGTCAAATGGAGTGAAATAATTGCCGACGTCTATCTTTCCGTCCGAATACGTGGTATAGCCATGCTGCAGCTATATTTCTGGTATAGTTGTAACACGAATGGGTCGGCTCGACCGGGGCAGGACCACGCTCTCACAGAATACCAGCGTAAAATAGCAGCTTAATGCTGCTGTGTTTCGTATGGTGAGTGTAGAGAACCGGAGACCCTTTTTACTGGAAACGAGGCATTCCATCTTAGTCCTCACGGGTGACAACGCAACTACATTTTGATTCGTAATCGAGGATAAATGTAGATGTCTATGGGTCACAGCAACTACTTACCATCAGGTGGACTGTGTGCTCGTTGGTCACTCTTATCCTATAGAAAAAAAATAGAACCTGGGCATCTTCAAGGCAAGAGTGAATAGGCTTTTGTTACGATAAGACAGTGCGATTTACCATCTAGAGCTGCATCACCACTTACCACCAGTTGAGATTGTGGTCTAGCACTGGCTTATAATAAGTAAAAAAAAAAACGGTCAAAGTACCCGTTGCCGGTCTGGGTAATTTAGCCACAAGATTTTTCTGGTGTTTCATATATATACACCCAAGGGATAAAAAGGCGTGGTTTCTCTCAAACCGCCACCACACCACATAAATGAATATACCTACATAATTTTTACTTTCTAGGTGATACTGAACAATTTACAAAATTAGAATCAAAAATTTTTCATTGTGAATGGGGTAGATTCTTACTTAGAACCTACATCTAGATCACCTTTTTTTCAACCGTCTTAAAAAAGGAGGAGGTACTCAATTCGACTATATGTTTTTTTATGTATGTTGAACCAACTTCGATGATACTTTTTTTATTTGAAAGCTGGTGCTTCTCATGTGATCCAATTTGCTCAAGGTCTGACCAGTAGCTTTTGAGTTATTCTTAATAATTTATATTGAAGTCGGTAGTACATAATTTATAATTTTACCACTTGTTAACTGTCGAAACCATCCAAATTTTTTACATGACATCTTCTCCAGAGCAATCCCTCGACCGGGTAATGATAATACCATTTTTACTACATCTGGTTCCATATGTCAATATGATCTCAAAATGTATTCAAATGGATAATATTAAACTATAATTATGAATTATTAACTTTAGTTTAATCTAATTCTCTAATACTAATAATTAGCTCAGGCTCCCCTCCCACAGCTAGATGTTTCTTCTGTATTGTGTTGTCTATAACTCTGTATTTAGTTGGGTTTTGTTTTTCGCCTCGTTGTCACCTAAAAACCGCCAACTCCTTTCCCATCGAGAAGCCTCGAGACAAGATGTGACAGACCAATACCGAACCACAATATCAAAGACCATATGGAAGAAAGAAAAAAGATTTTTCTGGCATTCCTAGCAGTTCCTACGACACCTACAGTATAAAATGTGGTAATTTCTGTTACACTAGTATAAATGAATATATTTTGTTGCTTTTCAGGTAATACTGAACAATTTTAGCACGAGACTGGGTCTCACGGTGGGGCGGATGCTGGGAGCACTGTTCCACTATGAGCCGCAGTTTCGAGGCCGAAGAGCTGTCACCTTTCACAACCAACGCGACTATATATTCTTCCGGCATCACAGGTACAGACGACAATTACCACAAACGACCATATTCATTTTTATAACAATATGGAATAAGTCTTGATCGTCTTAAGAATATTTTTTTTCATAACCTCACTTATACGCGGACGGTTTCTTCTTATTCAGAGTGTGTTCACAGTGAACGAAAATATTTGCATTGTTAATTATTTCATACATTTGTGAGAAACAATTTAAAACTTTTTTTTATAAAAGTTAGCATGACAAACAAGCACACAGTCCACTTAATGGTAACTGTCTGCTGTGGCATATAGACACCTAGATCTAACATCGATTAAGAATCGAAATGCAGATGCGTTGTCATCCCTGAGGATTCAGGTGGAATGCCTCGTTACGTTCAATAACCATACAATATACAGCAACAATATTCTTTTTACTTTTTTTTATTTTTTATTTTTAAAAAACGTTACCCCCACACTAGGATTTTGTTGTGGAGGCAGTTTACAGACATAAATTGCACGAGGACAAACATCCAGACCCGGAACAATTACTTGTAGGCCATACAAATACTTGTTCCGTGCGGGATTCGAACCCGCGGCCCCCAGCGCAACAACTCATTGCTAAGCCACTGCGCCACGAAGCCGTCTGCTGTTTCACATAACCAAAATTAAATTTGCTGTATAATATAGTAGTTTAGTTTTATAAATACACATTACAATGCGACAGTAATTAGTTCACAGGTGTTCAGTAACTCTCTATTGTTACAGGTACGAATTTACACCGGACGGGAAACGTGCGAAGCTTCGCGAGTTAGGGCCGCGATTCACATTGAAGCTGATCTCTCTGCAGCAGGGAACCTTCGACTCTAAGCACGGAGACTACGAGTGGATCATTGCGGGCCGCCGCCACCTTATGGAAACGTCTAGAAGAAGATTCTTTTTATAGATACATTAAATATTAAAATAGGATTTCAAATAAAATAATTTTTCAAGTATAGCTTTTATTTAACCCTTAATTTGATTATGTTCACTGTAATAAACATTCATAAAAAATGAATATTGAGCGACCATTATCTACTATTTTTCGGTTTATATTTTATTTATAGAAAGTTTAAAGTATATTTATCGGTATAAAAAATAATTCTACTAGTGGCAACATCGTTCATCTGTCATTATCGAGACAAGATGTCAGCGAGGCGTGGACAATCGATTCTTCGCAAGGTAAATGTTTTTATTTTACATGTTTTACATGATTAAACTAACTTTTTTGTGTTTTTTATTTACTAAACAATGTTTATGCTTTGGTTTGGAATGGGTGTTATGTGATGTTTGGTGTTTTTGGTAATTTTTTTGGAGGTAAACTTGTTTTTTCATCACGGTGAACACTGCCAAATACTCGAACAAGGTATTGTCAATTTGATACGTTTATTGTGATGAACATTGCCAAATTAGGTATAACTTTTATTTATAAATAATATGCTTTTATGTAGTGGTCTTCTACTGGGCTTATTTACTTTTTTTTGCTTGTTTGTTGAAAATATAAGAACGCACGCGTAAAATACTAGCACGTGTTCCTGTCCATGCATAGCATGCACCATCCGACATTAGTGATAAATTCGCAAATAACAGTGGTAAAGAATTGCCGCCACCTTCCCTAAGCCCTGTTTCATCTTTTGCGCCTTCCATTAATTCTTCTTTAGAACGCTTAGACATCAATAGTAGTACCGAACTTGAACATCCTCAAAATGACGATTAACAGCCTTAGGAGTTATTCGATTTATACCACTCCGAAGCTCTCCAATTAACTCCAATTTTTCAGGAAATTTGCCCTATTCCATCCAGAGAACCAAACTATGATAATGTTTCATCATTATCTTCAATAATATCGCTTCCATTTCAGATACAATCACCAACACCTGGTACGTCTTCTACTAGAATAACAATAATTTAAAATTAAAAATTTTGTGCAACCGACTTCAATATAACTTATAAAGAATAACTCAAATACTATAGGTCAGACCTTGATCAAATTTATATGGGATCACATGTGAAGCACCAGCTTTCAAATAAAAAAAATCATCGAAATCGGTTTACCCAGTAAAAAGTTATAAGGTAACACAAAAAAACACAGTCGAATTGAGTACCGTCTCCTTTTTGAAGTCGGTAGAAAACTAGAGAAAAAACGCAGATAGCTCCAGCTGCCAAAAAATCGAAGAAAATTCCAAAATTTTCTCTTTCTTACAAACGGAAAAAAGGTATTTTTCGTCATCGACTCATCGAGCACATATCGAACAAAGAACCGAAACCTATGTTGATTTTCCAGATGACCCCCTTGATTGTTTGTTTTTTTTTCTGAAGATTTATTTACCGATTTAGCAGACCACACCAATCTTTACTCCGTTCAACGAACAGGAAGATCCATACAAGCATCAGATAATGAGATAAGGGATTTTATAAGCATTCATATTCTGATGGGAATTGTTGAAATACCATGCTATATAGACAATTGGAGCAATAGGTTTCGATACGGCCTGATAGCAGACATAATGTCGTTAAAACGTTACCAACAAATCCGCAGATTTTTACACTTTAACGACAATAACCTACAGGACTCAGACAGATATTACAAAGTAAGACCCATAGCCGAAAAATCCGAAGAAATTGCTTAAAGCATGAAAACGAGAATAAATTTAGTATAGACAAGGCAGAAAGCAGAACACACTATATGAAAGACAAGCCAAATAAATGGGGTTTTAAAAATTATGTACGTGCTCGTGTAAGTGGAATCATTTATGATTTCTTTTTATATGCAAGAGAAGATACCAACAAGTTTACAGAGCAAGAATCTTCACTTGGGTGTCGAGCACAAGTAGTTATAGCCTTGACTCAGACCATACAAAATAAACCAGCTACTAGGTATATTTTGTGACAATTTCTTCTTCTCGCCAGAGATTTTTTTTACCTATTGAAAGCAAAACTATGGTGTCTTTGGTCTTGGTACCCGTACGATAATTAGCAACAGGATTAGATGAGCTGAAAAGTTTTTACAGGATGAAAGGTCGATGAAGAAAAACACGGGTGCGTTTTCTCAAGTGTTTTTGATGCAAACAAATTAGTTATTGTACGCTGGAGTGATAATAAACCTGTAACTCTTATAAGCTCATTTGTTGGATCTGAACTAGTACAAAAAATAAAAAGGCAAAGTGCAGAAACAAAAAATATAAGTTGATTGTTCGCAAATTGTTCGCGAGTATAATACATGGGGAGTCTAGACCTGGCTGATATGTTGATATCATTATATAAAGTTCCGTTTAAAACTAGAAGGTGGATATGAATATTAAGTCAATTACTTGGCTATTGCATAAACGTAACTGTTATAGATATCGACGAAAATCAAAGTAATTGAAAGTTTTTCGTATATACCTTTATACCTCATGGAAAAATGCAGGAATGTAAAATTATAAACCCAAGATCTGCTAGGCGTACAAGCCCCATCAGATTCGATAATACAGGACATTATCCAAGCACAAAAGAAGACATGGGGCGATGCAAGCTTTGCCAAAAAATACAACTGTATATTGCATAAAATGCAATATGAGACTTTGCTTGGTTACGGGAAAAAATCCTCGCAATTGTTTTTTTACATTTCCATAATAAATAGTTGGATTTATATATATTTATTTATTTATTTTACCTGTTTAAATGACACTAATTTGACGATTTTTACCACACTGAACATTACAAATTACTTGTTGTTCAACATAATATAGTGTATAGTGTTCATTGTGATGAACATTGATTTCCTGAAAACCTGTAAATAAAATATTTTTTATCTATTTTCCTCAAGTTGTATTTAAGCATGGTACTTCAGAAATATATCTTATTTCATAAAATAAAAGAACTTGGATCTCCGCCAAATTAAGTCTTACTGACTAGCCTGTACAGTATCTATTATGGCCAAATATTCAAACGCTACTCAATTTTAAGATGTTAAGTCTCGTGGTGTTACAGTCATCTGATGGTAAATTAATGCTGTGGCCAATAGACATCTACATCTATTCTCGATTCAGAATCAAAATGCAGATGCGTTGTCACCCGTGAGGACTAAGATGGAATGCCTCGTTTCCAGTAAAAAGGGTCTCCGGTTCTCTACTCGCTATACGAAACACCAGCATTAAACTGCTATTTTATAGATATTTAGAATAGTAGTTAAGATATAAAAAATCCATTCAATCCAAAAATAAAATCTCAACGTGGTAGAGCCATGCTGCAGCTATATTATGATTGTAGCACGAATGGGTCGGCTCGACCGGGGAGCCACGTTCTCACAGAATACCAATGTACAATAGCAGCTCAATGCTGCTGTTTCGTAGGGTGTGTGTAGATAACCGTAGACCCTTTTACTGGAAACGAGGCATTCCATCTCTTTTATCTGCATTTTGATTCTTAATCGAAGATAAATGTAGACGTCTATAGGCCGCTGTCTGAGACCATTTAATTCAAATGGTCTAAGCCCGCAGCAGCCACTTACCATCAGGTGGACTGTGTGCTCGTTCGTCACTTTTCTTCTATAAAAAAACACCTTTTATTGATTAAAATAAAACAATTCTGTCTTCTGCTTTTTTATTTAGTGAATAAAATGAACTAAAAATAAATAAAATTGAAGTGTCTGTTTGTAATGTCAAAATAACAGCTTTTTACTAAATGCATATGAAAGTATAATATATACGGTACTTATAACAAAAAAAAAAAACAATTTTCAAAATTTTTATATTTGTTTCTCCTGGCTAATCTCCAAAACGGCTGGATCGATTTTCACTGGTAGATAGCTGATGTTAAGTAAGGAGTTAGGTTACTTTAAAATTGTGAACAAAATCCGATTCAAATAGGGAAGTATATGGCAAGTAAATTACTAAAAATTATGCGTACGAAGTCGCGGGCACAGCTAGTATAAGTTCCGATTTTACATGAGCGGCGAAAGAGAATCCATTTTGCGTGGTTGTCATAATAGCCGACTAGGGATAATTATAACTTATAACATAAAGTAAATAAAAACCGACTTAAAATTGCTAAAAAAGAAGTAATTATTTGCTACCTTTAAAGGTGAAATATTTTACCTCCAAATTTATATGGGACCACTCTTGAAGTATAACCTATTTAATAAGAAAAGAACCATCAAAATTGGTTTACAATCTGCGAAGATATCCCGTAACATACATACAAAAAAAAAACATATATTCGAATTGAGAACCTTTTTGAAGTCGGTTGAAAAGGCCAGCAAGACCTCATGGCCTACGATGAAAGTAAGATTGTAACATTTCAATTTAACAAATTGAATAAACTTCTCTTAAATCTTAGCCGTGATTCTCTTATATCCTTGATTCCAAGGTACAAGACGAATTGAGGTGCGTTTTAAATTTTACAATTCTTTAGTGCGACACCACAGTGCCGATATTACTGAGTGTTATTGAAATTTTTTAAATTTTTAGTACTGGTTTCATCTCGTATCTGACGTGAATTGCTCGGAACCTTTTTAGTATTTCTGAGATATGTAATATAATTTAAGGGATGTTTTGTAAAATATGTTTAACAATATTTTGCAATAAGAATTGTATTAATTGCTAAAATAGGGTAATTTACAATGAAATAGTAATTTAAAGTACTAGTCGTAGCTGGTACATATTACTTTAATGGTTATTTAAAACACGAACTGGGCTTCACAACATCAATATGTCTCCGATCCATTGGATCATTAGCAGTTAGTAGCGACTGTAATAAACTTGTTTATGGCGTACAGCTGGTTGTCATCAGGCGACGATAGTAAAACAGTAAAGCTATCGTGATTCTCGCTTGTTTCTAATGGCGACGTACTATTTGGGTTCCGTAGTTTAGATTGAAAGACGGCTTTAGTATAGTATATTATTTTGCTTTGACTTGTGTGCGTGC